TACCTAGCACTTCTTGTGGTGACAGAAGTGGTGTAAGTGGTTACCACATGTGTGTAGGGAAAAGTACATGAGACGGACATTATCTGGTTCCACATACGATGGCCTACATGATTTTTCTTACTGACCCACATGTCATGACTACATACACTGTGACTGATCCACTTGTTATGATGTGATGCACTCTTAGTGCTTAACTTATAACGACCAGGAACATTGTGACAGATTCACTTGTGGAGACTAAATACGAATTGATATCCCCATTTGTGAAGACTAGATACATCATAACCCACTCTTTTTGTTGTGAATGAGTTCATTGTGACAACTCTACCTGTGGTGACTAGATACAATATGATTGCTCTGATTGCTTCACTTACATCGTGACTGCTCAACTTGCTTTTAATGTCAAGACTGTGACTTTCCCTTTTTGGGTGACTAGATGTAATGTAGATTGTAACTATTTTAGATACACTGTGACTTCTCCTTTTGTAGTGACTGAATATACATTGAATGTTCCACTTCTCGTGACCACATACATAGTGACTGTTCCACGTGTGGTGACTAGATACTCGGTAACTGATCCACGTGTGGTGACTAGATACTCGGTAACTGTTCCACGTGTGGTGACTAGATACTCGGTGACTGTTCCACGTGTGGTGACTAGATACTCGGTAACTGTTCCACGTGTGGTGACTAGATACTCGGTAACTGTTCTACTTGCAGTGACTAGATACGCATTGTTATTCATACTATATGTGTGGATATATGAATTTAATATGTATATATCTAGAAAGATAGCACATTAACAGTAACATAGTTGATTATGTTCTAGTACTTTCTTATTTATATGATTAGATGAAGGATTCACACACAGAAATCGAAAATATTGTCAAACATTTATGCCTTATGTTATCGGAAACTATATTTGGAAATGAAATCCAATATTCATAGACGTTGGGAACTAGCGTCTCTCTGAACTGTATACATTTCAGCTCTCACGACGAGATAAAGATGAATGTTTACCTCCGGATCAATAAGTTTATACTCGTCAAATTTACATTATATTTGATTGTCAATTATAATTAATAGACTTGTTAATTGGCTTAATTAGTATTAGTCACGTGGTTTTGTTTAAATATAACGTCAAGGCAAGAATTGTAATTGAGTTGAGGACAAACATGCATCTTATGATATATCAATGGTAAGCGTCTTGTGAGCATATGTTTAAGGGATTTGTCTTAACTATTCCATATGCGTATACTAACAAATTAACACTACCACACACTGAATACGAAAACTGTTAAACAATCTCCGAACGTCAGATTAACTGTTTCAGTGTTATTTTTGTGGATGTCATAAAACCTTTACTTGTGACTCTATAACAACACTGCAGTTTTCTTTGACGTCCTTAAAATGACTCTTCTAGAGTAAAAAGGAACGATATTTTGTGATATGTATTACCTAAAATGATGGTTTCCATTAAATAGGTCACGGATCATATAAACTCTGTCATGATTCAGTGATCATGATATGATATCATTCATTTTGGATATCGGGTGTGTTACACTTCATCGTGCTCCAAAAAGTTATCTTTTTCAGTTTTCAATCAATGTATGTACAAATGTGTCCTTATGTTTTGTGTTTAAGAAAAGAAACGCGTACCTAGAGATGATCCGACATTTCAGTGTTGAATATAATTAATAATCTGCTACAAGACTGAGCTATTCCTTTTTAGTATGAAAACAACACAGAACATATCTAAATTACTACATACGCAGGAGTCAATCTAAAAAATCGATTAAATTAGGGGGGAAAAGAAACACAGAGATGCCAAACAATTCAAATTTCTCAAATGAGAACAAGGTCAGCAACAACAGACCATTGAAACATTGTTTGTTTGTAAAACTTATGTGGTTTACGATTATTTTTCTGACGTGGAAGTTGTAGAAAATAAAGTATGCGATTGATAATATGGGCAAATATAATAACAATTTACTTGGGGCATTGCTATATGGTTGAATCACATTTAAACAAACATATTATGGCAGTTAAATTTTGAAATAGACATAAAGTTTTAATCAAATATACATTTCAGCGCAACCGTGTATTTAACTTTGTTATGAAATTAGCAGATAAATGAACACACGAGAATTATAATGGAATTTGAGGTCTTTATCATCACTGACGAGTCCTGGAATAACACGAAACATCTGTTTCATGAAGTTTAATTAATTATTTTGCTCTACTGTATCTTATTCTAAATTTTTAATGAAAAGTGCAAACAACTTGTGTTTTTTGTATAATCACTTTTTTGATGGATTGTGATTAAAAATTAATTGAATAACCGACGTATTAAAGACTTTCTCACACATTTCCAGAATCGCTCACAGTTGGAAAAAGAAAAATAGATTTGTGTTATAATTTGAGTGGCGCTCATAGTAAACAAAAGACAATCAAGAAGACAGCTAGGTGTCTTTTAATCAAAAAACCGAACTCTCTGTCATTTCCAACTTCTACACATCAAGTGACAATTCAATTAAGGAACTAGGATGTTCTTGCGACGTAATCCCATCAGGGCATGATTTCCACGTGCCTTCTTCGATCGATCACATTAACCATAATTAAATGATTCAGAATATATCGTAGAACATGCCTGAAGGCAAATTATAAACATATCAGTTACCTTAAAGAGATATTGTTTGATAGAAGTACCATTGTTTCGTATAATCCAATATGATACAGTAGTATGCCGGTCTTTCTGTTTGTCAGCATTTATCGAATAAGTTAATTTCCGCTAATATGCAAACTGAGGAAAAGTTTCATGTCTTATCGAATTAAAACCTGTCCTGTACTAGACTTCCCTGCAATTTAAAGGCAATACGGTTTGGTTTATTGTCACTTTACGTCCTATTAACAGCTAAGGTGATTTAAGGACGTACCAGCTTTTTTTGGGTGGAGGAAGTTTCCGGATAAAAACCACCGACCTGAGCCAGTACATGGCGACCGCCCAACGCAGGCATCAAACCTGCGACCTAGAGGTAGGTGGCTAGTGATAAAGACGCCTAGAGGCCTTAACCAGCCATCGCTGCCACTTTAAAAATATGATATAAGAATAAAAAAAAACATCTGTTCACAAATATCTTTAGTTATACTTGATTATAATGAAATCCAGTTTGATGGCTACAGACTGAGAAATATATTAAGAATATCTTTACTCCTTGCTGTCATAAGACAAGGTACTTGCAACTTGCAAAGTAGCGATAGGGTCAGAATAGGCCCTTTATGAGAAGTATCTATTTCTACATCTGCTGTAGATTTGTTATTAGAAGTGACGTGACTTCAAGTAATTTGTGTGTTAACGTATGTCAGTTAACATTGTCAATTAAGAATGACTGGAATTCTTTGATATATGGAAGTTTTCTAACGCTTCTTAATGGATATTTATTTACTCAATTTACATCAGTGACATTCGTGTCTCAATTTTACAAAACTGAATTACAAACCTCATAGAATTAAAAAGCTTTTAATTACACCGTCACTTGTAATAGTGGCGTATTAAAGACTATTATTTTATTCCCGATACATTTATCAATAATGTGAATAAATGTAAAAAATATATATATCATTGAAATGCCAATAATAAATGCTTCTTCCTATTGTACGGTCCTTATTTATAGAATAATGGGATATAGCCAGATGTTTTGGACATATTCCATATCACGAGTTTGTCTGTGTCGTTACTGTACTATCGTCATATTTTGTTGTTACTTACTACAGTAGAACATCTAGGCGTACAGGATTTTGAAAAGAGAAAGTGAGAAAGAGGGAGGGGAGAGAGAAAGAAAGAGAGGAGGGTGGATATGAATATAATTAAGATAGCTATGGTTAGTTCTGAGAAAGTTATAAATAGTACAACTGATGTTTAATCCTTGTGTATTTAGACACTTCACATGTACTTTGTGACAAAATCTACGCATAAGTATGACTATTGTATAAATGTGTATATACACAAAATGACACCATGCTTGGTCCTTGTTGTGGGAGGATACTTCGACGAGAAAGTGTTACATAATACAGAGGACTGGGGATTCGGTTCTATATTGTCCTTAGTACGGATGTTTTACCGCTATCGTATGGAAAAGAAGGTAACTAGAAAACCATATTTAATTTCCACAGACGCTCAAAAAGCAATCTAGATCTTACGCTTTGTTTTCTTGTTGACACAGGTATTAATCAGGAATGCTAACTTGTTTTATGTAAACGTTTGATTTGCGCTTCATTAAGCTGAATATACTTGGAGCTATGGGTTGTGGTGACGGTTGTGTTGTTGTTGATGTGAGGTATTGTTGCTGATGATCTAATGTATGATTAGTTCCACATGGTTATTGCCGGGTGTAACACACAGTATATACGTACTGTATGTACGTATCAATGCCTGCATCCTTCCACGTAATGAATATAAGCATAACTTGATTATTTGTAGAAGAAAGGACTGCAGCAGGAGCACAACATATGTGTTTTCAGCAACAGCCCTTTTTCACCGAAGAGGACATGACATATTAATGCTAAAAATACTCTTAGAAAATTCCTTTTCCCATAAAACATCTAATGGTTTGGAAGTTGTATGAAAGCTTTAACGATGGCAGTTGAGCGATATATAAAGACTTTAGTCATAGATGTGTGACAATATTTTAGTACGGATTAGTACTTGTATACTTAGTCTGACGCCAGATGAGGTGGTGCCAGTGGTGTGTAGCCTGACCGATGACAGTTGTCAGCGACTGCCTCACTTAAGTCTTACATATTCAGGTGGAGTGTGTCTTCTCCGAATCAGGACGAAATGACTTTTTACATCAAAACAAAGTACCTGGTGTGACGATGTAGCCGAAAATCTAAGTTGATGTTGTTGCAAACTTTATTTTTTATTCGTTGCTGCAATGGCAACTTACAGCGCCATGAAGTCCATGTGGTACTTCATTAGAACCACTGCTTCATCTTTTCAGGTCAAGGTAAAGATATGCGTGCAATTCTTCAAAGTTGGCGAAATTGACACTCTGAAGGAACAATATACGGCAGATGTAATTGTGAAAGCAAAATGGCGGGAACCTTCACTTGACGGACAAAATAAAACGGTAGGTATTCGTCATGTATTTGTAATATATTTTTTTTTAAATTCAATATGGATTAGCAATATTATATTCACTTTTATTGAGATGCATTATTTACATTAGAAAAACATGTGTGATCTTCAAACATGTTTTAGTTTGACTTACATGTCGATTCCAAAACGTCTTGTCGTGACTATTTTTCCCTGGTTATGAAATTCGAAAACATTTATGAGATATCGTTTATACCAGAATACTAGCGTCAGAAAAAACAGTAATATTAAATCATTGAATGATCAGGACTCCCGTATAATTATCTATCTTAAAACACTTGGGAGGAATAACAGCAGAGGATTTACGGTATTTTTTTCCAAACATGATTGAGATATTATGTCATTGGTCAGCATATGTACACTATGGACCCTGTCGTCTAGACTGGTGAGTTGATGTTACACCAGTTAGCTAGCCTACCATGAACACGCTCCTATCATTCCTACACGAAGGGCATGTCCCTCCGTGACCTTTAGGATATATATGACATGTGGCACATACAAAAAGACTACCTCAGGTGTCTAGCCTTTTAAGAGCGTTTCGTTCGAATGGATCTTTAGAAGTATAATTTATAAAGGAACATTTTCCTTGTAAACTAGTAAATGTAGCCTGTTGGATCTGGGTTTTTTTTAATGGACTGTTCCATGGTGATACAATCTATGGTAAAATTGGTATCGTCGATATGGACCTTCACCTCGTCACATATATACATTATGAAATCATGAATTAGTAAAATTTATGTATGATAATTGTTCATAGTAATGGAGCATATATGTATTAACGTGAATATGAAATGTAAAAATAGTATAGACACAAATAGTTGTATAACACGTATGACTTCATTTGTCCCCAACATATGTTTCTGCACTGGGAATGATCGTGTATCGGATGTCAAAGTGGGGATATCATAAGTGTAGTGAATTTATTGGGAACGACACCATGAGGCACCGATAGGAAATACCACAAATTGCACTGTCAATATGACTGCAATTCAATACACAAAAATTCCAAAAAGCATCGTCTTTGCCGTAATCATACATTTCTGTGTTTTTAATATAATGGATATATGTATAAATACCTAAAACACCAATAATGAATTCATTTATCATTTTTAAAATTTATTTTTGTTTGTTTGGTTTTTTTTTGTTTTTTTGTTTTTTTTTTTTTGTTCTTTTCATGTTTAACTTTTTAACGTTCAATGTATATACTGACCATTTGTCTGTCTATCCCTCTGTGTGTCTGTCAGGCTGTCTATTCTTCTATCTATCCGGCTGTCTGTCTGTCTGTCTGTCTGTCTGTCCGTTCTCTTATGCGCGTCTAAGATACTAATTGTCCTATGTTTATTTCTTTCAGTCTGAGTCGGTGGAGTTCAACAAAATGTGGAATCCAAAACTATATATAGAAAACTCTTTAGGCGATCCTAAAGAGCAAATCCGATATCAAGTGTTATATAATGATAAAGGAGAGGCGTATGTGTCTGAGAAGCGAGTCATTAAGGGAACATTTATGGAAAATCTAGAGCTTGACGACTTTCCATTCGACGTCCAGGTAAGTAAAACATGTATGATGTGGCCTGGACACCAACCTGAAACTCTTGTTTACACCATCTTTGATTTTTTGTTTAAGATATTGCATAATCGGTGACTAAATTACCGGAGATTTTACGTAGAATGCAGCAAGCTATCTCCAAGGAGAAAGGTTTTGTGACAGCCTTTTGGTGATGGTTTTATTAGCGAGGCTTAATGGTCATTAAGAGTGCTCAGCTTGACAGTATTAAATATCATCTAAGGCATTCTAAATAAACAACCCAGCTTACCAGAATGGAGCAGTATGTATATATAGTCCATATACGGCCAAATTAAGTTGTACGGAAGTTCATGACAACAAATTCCTTCAAGGAAATGTGTTAGATACTCACAAATCTAAAAGTGTTCTGTCCTTATGCTTGATCTTCTTGATCTCTTGTCATACACATCATACCAGACTTTTGTATGAGGCTACTGTACATCACGAGGTGTGTCAGTACCAATAAGGCAAAATGTCACTATCCGAACCACATTTTAAAGTCCTCTTACCGGTTCCAACATGCCGGAAAATTATTTCCTGTTTTGAGTTCAATTACCGTTTTGTTAAAACGTCAATATATCTCAATATCTTTAAACTACTACACAGTCTGTTTTCAGCGTACAAATACGGGTAATGAAATGCTTGAATGGATTCATATCCTTTTTCGGACTTCTCCATAATACAACTATGTCTCACGCGTAGGCGAAGAAATTTAATTCTTCACCATTGTTGTGAATCCTTCTTCCCATAGCCTACTGCTTTTCAAGGCAAAGTAATGCGATTGAACATGAAGAAATAATTTGACGGGGGAATTATTTTAGTTGTATGTTGTAAAATAGAAAGATACCTACTGACTGTAATGTTATTATTTTACGGTAATCTTCAACTGCAGAAGTGAATATTTAATTTAAAATCATTTAGTTCTTTATAAATAATTTACATGGATCCAAATGCAAAATATCAGAGATAAAAAGCTATTAAAAACATGCAAAAACAAAAAAATACTGGTGTCTACACAATTTTAGTTCAAATTCAAATTCTATAAAACTAAAGTAAATTATGATCAAAATAAAGTTACACAATAAGGCATCTGAAAGAAGTACAAGGAGAGGGAGATATGGTGTTCTTGAATGATAAGCGTCTTCTGTTTCATCGACGAAATCCTCTTTGCAAATCGTGGTCAATCAAAGTAATTAATGTCGCGTTCTCAAAGAAAAAATAATGTTAACAACGATGGAACCTCAGACATTCTAATGATTATCAACCAATTCAAATTTCACACTCAAAAGGAAATAAATTTTATTCCTAATGAGATCATTATGACGACAAGAAAACATCCATATAATCTTCCTCGGTCTTCGTCTCTCGAAATTCTGTATGTGAGTATATACTCAGGTGAAGTAATAAAAATTATTAAACAATGTTATGTAGGCTTATGATAACGGACACATATTACCATTTAGTAAATCAGTTTGGCACGCATCATCAAACTGCTTGTGATATGAACAGGGACTGCAGTACAGATGATGTAATCCCTGTTCTGCACATGTTTCTGTGATGTAAATGTCACGAATCCCAGAAGCTAATGGCGCTGTCATTTCGTACCTTAGATTAAAGACCGTATCAAAAACACTACACTTAAGCAAATAACTTGAAGTATATCATTAGGATAAATATTCGGTACTGTATTTTAAGACCGGTATCATTATACTCAACACTTATCAAATTGGATGATATATAGTATTGTATAAATTAACCATATATATGTATTGACTTCAAGTTCTAGGCTGATCGTGGTCACCAGTCAAAGAAAGATCTTAGCTGAAATGTCACCTTTGGCCATTGTCTGAATTATACAGCAGAAAAGGGTATATATATACCCTTGCTCACCACATTTATCTATTTTGATTGAATTTTGTTTAATAGTTTGTATTAACTAATTTCGGGTAGAGAACAGCGTAATCAATCTTAATCAAGATGTGAAGGCAACAACACTTGCATTACACATAGATTGCTAGATTGCACGCCTATTTTCTTCTGTATGATGCAGTTTAATTCATTGTTTGGCTTTACTCTACCGAACTTTAAACTTCTGTTAAAACGTGTTGGTCACTTGTGTGTGCCTTTTATGCAATCTTTTTCTCTAAGTCATATTGCCTAACATCAATACAAGAAGTTCACGATATTTTGCGATGTTTTATGAGAACCAAAACAATACCCGGGCCATCAAAACGTTTGAAATACCGAAAATCTCGTGCTTCTTTTCACGAAAATATAGATGTGGTGTTGCAAATGAAATTCACTCACCGAATCGATGCCTGGCGGTCAACAAATTAACCTTCAGATTATTAGAATGTAAAATATCCCTCGAACTATTCGTATATTCCCTAAGTACGAAATTGTTTATTTCAAATGTGATGTTTTCATAGTCATTTCTTAGAAATGCGTGCCGTTATTTTGCTTTAATGATAGCGTATAATGACAACTCTGATTGTATCACATAATATCTTTTTTAAATATATCATTACTTTTGTTGAGAGAATATTGAAGTTCTGGTGCCTCGAGATAGATATTTGAGAGAATAATTTCTTTCTTATTTTTTAACAGGATATTACAATAACTGTGGCGTCGGAACTTCCTTCAAGCGAAGTGGAGCTGATTGAAGATGATGACGACCATCACGTGGTCAACAAACAGGCATTCGTTGATGAACAGGAGTGGCATTTATATATGCATACGGAATGTGTAAAACGTGACATAGTTATAGACCAGGCAGACATGAGTGTACGACGTTCGGCACTTTCCGTAAAATGTCGAGCTGCGCGGAGACCTGGATATTTTGTATGGAATATATTTGTTGTAACAGTAAGTTGTTTGAGAATTTTAACAAAATACTTTTAATATCTTTCATGGTCATCGATAGAAGGATTTTTCCATAGTGTTATCAAATGAACGTTAAATATCATGATATGAACTTATTGACATTACATTAATACATCTGTCCCATGCTAACATTATTGGGTAAACGCAGATGCAAACAAATCTATATAAGGGAAATCGTATGAAATAAAAATCATTCGTCACAACGTATATCTGTTACACTATAGCATAAAATATGTCTTTTCGGTTGAAGATATCAATAGATTACATGTGTGAAAAAGTTCGAAACAGAGATAGTTTCGGTGATGTATCATTAATTATGACATCGAAGTCATAAAATATAGAATCTTAGATTATGGCCAGGTATATACATTCTTTATACAATAAAGGCTTTTGAACAAATATCCAAATTTTGAATGAGTCAGTAGAGAGTATGAAACAATGTAAGTTGTAAATGTATTTATTTATTCACTTTCTATACCGTTATATTTTAATCATTTTGTAAGATTGCCATCGCCATTTTATGACTTACTAACACCCTGTTTCACAAGATCTGTTCATCAAAATATACAAATGTTCTTATGTTAATGATGATTTTGTTTTCTTTCAGTTTTTAATATGCAGTCTGGCATTCACGACATTTTCAGTGAATAACAACCTACCTCAAAACCGATTACAGTTGTCTTTTACCCTCGTACTAACGGCTGTCGCCTTCAAATCGGCTGTAAACTCAAGTCTTCCCAGGATATCCTATCTAACGTATATGGTAAATCTCAGACTCATCATTTTAAGGAATTGTCATATCATCTGCCAAAATCGTCTTGTGGAATTTATGTTGTGATATTATTATTTCAAGTTAAGAAATTTGAAAATGTGACAAAACTGCCTTATTGTTGCTCTTTAAACCATAAGTTAGTAGGATCACGTTATTTAAGGAACTTTCATACGGTATTTAAGCGATGATTGATCATTATGATACAGTTACATATGGAAAATGTTCATTAGCATGACATGAATTCGCTCAAGTATCAACAATGAATCATTATCGGGATATTTTTATTTGGTTACTATTCCTAGTTCTTAGATTATCGGCCCCTTCTATTCGGCTCACGTTTTGATGTTCGAAGTAATTGTCTTTAATTGCGTTTTCTCATTGTCGAATACTTTTCTATAAAATCAAATATGGACTTGCTCATGAGTATATGAAGACCAACGTAGTAAAAGCTAAATTATAATGAAGCGTTTGTGGTGCTTAATGTTGAATTTATCTTAAATTCAATTGGCATACATAATGTATAGTAATACCGCCATCAAACCTGTGATGTTCACGTTACTTACAATATTCCTAGGCCTTTGGCGTCAGTTCAGATATCGTTACAATATCATTCATCGTAAATATTAAAACATAATGTCAGGAATTCTATCCACATGTTAATGTAACAGTCTTTAGTCGAATGATAATAAATTATTGATAATAAATCATTGCTTAGATGGTATCGGAAATGTAGAAGCATATTTATTCAGTTTTTATAACACCGTGATAAACTGAGATATGTGGTCTTACGTAGTGATTTATATGACTCTAAACAGCAAATTGACTTTACTTCAAGCAACCAATCCTTATTTACGTGTGTTGTGACTTTTCGCCATTTAACTCTAAAATAATACATTTTCGCGGGTATCGAGTTCTTTTTGGAGGGGGGATTCACGAACGTTAGATACATTTATATTTCGTTAGCCCTTCGATTTCGTTGAAAGATAGTTGTTGTGATATTCACTAGTACTAACAATTGTTTTTAACTTTTCGTAGATTCAAATTCCCAAATCAACACTAATTAACCCCGAGAAATCCTTATTCACTAGGCATGTTGCCAATGGTATCAATTAGTCCAGTCCACAATATGGTATTAAATGATATCCTATGTACCTCAGATTAGCTGTATACTGTACCAAGGATGATACAGCTTATGTTAAGAGCATTTCGTTAGCTCTGTAATACGATATTGTATTATTATTGCTAATCGGATATTTCAGTGCAAGGAGGTATTTCGATAACACTTTATTGCACATACGCATAAATACCCTTAAATATATAGTTTTGGTAATTTTACATTATTGTATCAATTTCAATAGAACTGAAAGAAAAGTAGTGTGAGTATCGAGGTCTGAGATCTTAAAGTTTAGACAACAAAGGACAAAACAAATGCCAAATGAATAATAAAAATATATACACAGGATCCAGTGCAGACAAACTTGTCTCAATGTGTCTTCATCTCAAGGTCATAAATAATGAATTTCACAACATCTGCTCTGTCATCAACGGAAAGAGTAGAAAGTTTTATGTTTCGATAGTGGTTTTACTAAAGCCAATATTTGACCATGAATACAAAACAAGTAAATGGTCCTATCTTTACTTATTTACTTTTCATCTCGTTAACAAAATGTGTTACATTCACAATGATCAATACTGTGTATATTTCTATCTTTACAGGATAAATATTTACTGATAGCGATGGTGATGCTGACAGCTGTTTGTGTGTGGCATGCAATTGTATCAACATTAGCGACGCAGGAGAAACGCGACCGTATAGAAAGTGTCGTTCTCACGGTCTTGGCGGCCATCTACATATTTTATAATATTGGATTCTTCATAGTTATATATCTTTCAGTAAGTATACCAATTACGTTCGTTATCATTAATATTACTGCATTATAATTTCGTTTGGTTTTGGTTTTACTTGTCAGTTATACATTTTACATGAAAGTGTTACGTCAGTCAAACCATTTCATAGGTAGTTACATTGACAATCCCATCGAGTAAGTGAAATTAACGATCTAATACAATATCAAGCCCAAATTCTCAGAACTTCACTAACACTTTTTACACAAGTTTTGAATAAGATCAAGTAGAGCTAGACGCTTTCCAGTTTCGTCCTTCTAGGACTACTCAGTGATGCTTAGGGTCTGTTTTTTATAATGTAAGAGGCGACTGAGGAAAATTAAAGATTGATCAGAAGAAATGTCAGAATCTATATTGGGAAGTGACGAAGCCTCATAATTCAATCAGTTTTCCAAATGTGATAATTTTCAAACGACAGTCCAGAACATGTGTATATTCTGAACCATATAGCTATTTGAATGAACATAAACGATTCATGCAGGCTAGACCGAACCTCGAAGGCTTAACAAAAGAACCAAAATCGTCAAACAGCAATCTCAAAATAATGACCAGCGTCTCAACCAAACAAGAAACAAATATTGTTTATTCAAGAAGTGATTTTTAAGAACTGTAACCATCCTGTTCTCTTTTTACACCCTCCCTTGTTTGGGTTCCCTTATACCCTATGAAACCGCACAAAATTTGAGGTATTAGATATTATCTTATAGAAATTCGTTACCGCGGAGTGCTAAGAGAATACGCCTTATTGACACCTGTTAGTGGCTTAAAACTAGCCCGTATACCAGTAGAATTCACGCGAAAGATTCTACACCTTCTATCGGATTATGATTATGTTGGTAATTTCATGTTGTTTTTCAATCAACTGAATCTTAATCTAAAGTCCATATTGATGAAACCAGGACAAAATATGAACAAAAGAAAGACTTCCGGGGAGATTCCTGAATCTAAAGTCCATATTGATGAAACCAGGACAAAATATGAACAAAAGAAAGACTTCCGGGGAGATTCCTGGAAATATTCAAAGGGAATCTGACCAGGTTTTTCAAAAGTGTAATCGACTTTGGTTTTCTTCAACCACGTCAGTCATATACGATCTCGAGACGATAATGAGGCAACTGAAATTGTAAACGAAACAGAAAGTCAGGTGAAAATTAATAAAAAAAAATAGCAATAAACAGACAAAAAAACATGATGTATCAGTTTTATCTGTGATAGACTGAATTATTTGTGTTAACAAATTGCCTTCTTTGTAGCGAACCAAATAAAAGATATGGGCTAATTTGAAATTTGCCGTCAATATCATGAGCCATTAAATACAGACATTATTTTAAAATATTCGTTTGAAACTTTCCATCTGTTTTTTTCCTTCTTTTTTTTTTTTTTTTTTTTAGCAAAACGCACCACATTTTGTAGGTCTGAATTAGATATTTGATTAAGTAATGTATTTGTCTACTGAATCGATAAAGCAGAGCGATCCTGCAGGCTAGAAAATATGAATATTGGAATTCTGTAGGCGATTATTGATTTTTTTACTAAGTGTTTATATATCGATTAGTTTGAGGTTTATATTGTAAAGATATATTGGATATCTAATCAATCTCGCTGTAATTGTATCTCAGAAGTTCCATTTTTGCTTGACAATTGATGAGTAAAACAAGCATTTTCATCCAATGGTATGTTAGAATGCCTTTCATTGTCTTGTCAGGTCGACTTAATTGGACAGCTGGTGATAACAAACTTAACATTCCGAAATAGTGAGGGAAACACTTCGGAATCCATCACCACCGGTTAAGGTCGTTTTAAAATAGAATCTGATTCAAAACTTGTTTACATTTTCGTAAATTGCATTATTGTACCTTTCGTGACCTATACAAGGATCTTTAAAGTGTTTAAGTCAAATGTCAGATTTGTTTGGTGTTTCCTGCAAGACATGATGGTGCGTGTGTTTGTATTAGTGAACAAGATGTGTTTTACTTTTGCAATGATATAGCACCATTATCTTGGTAAATATATCAAACGGGGTCGGAGTGGGGAGGTTCCTTCTTTTCTTTATCAAAAACATGGCGTCCAGATTGCGTTTGTCAAAGAAATATTGAATACCCTATCTTAGGAGGTGCTTAGCAAGACAAATTAACCATTTAAACATAAATGCATAAATGAAAGGACAAGCTCTGCGTCGGCTGGTTGCTTGTTACGTATTCGCGCCATTTTCACTGAAATTATGCTATTATAATATCATTAATTTGTACATAATTATACATTTTAGTAAGTTTAGACTTCCAAAAAGTAACAATTCTGAATATACAAAAGTGTCAATGTCGTGAATGTTAGGAGATTGAAAAATCAATTAAAATTATTATAATACTCTAATCGATTAAATGATTATATTATTTAATTTATGATGGACCAAATGTCTTGTTGTCCGGACATGCCTATATTATATATTGATGTAAAATTTTGTTCGTGAAATTAGACAAGACAACGAATACTCTTTCATTCCCCATATCATTAATAATAAAACACCAGTTACAAAACTGGTGAAATTGTTTGCAAAGTATTCGCCATTGTCGAAAATTAAGGTGAAGTCACGTCAACGTTTTCCCTCTATTTATAGCATGATATTGATAGGCATCAATTAAAAAAAAAGAAAACAAATCTGTTTCTGTTAATTTGGAATTTTAATTGCATTGAAAACTATAAAAATCACCAATATTAGTAGCTTCACTGATATGACAAATATAATTTGGTGAGCATTCATGGTTCACTAGTGATATGTATGGCTACGATGTATCAAAAACTGAAATTTCTATGGAAAGCTACGATACTATTGTGTTTTTATACATTCTCAGACCCCGTAATTGTAAAAGAAATCTTCAAATGAGAAATATATTTTCTCAAAACGCAGCAAAATTGCAAATGATGGGATCTAATAACAATAATTTCTTCTCATTTTTCAGCCTTGGAAAAAACGACGAGAAATGCAACAAAAAGACAGAGAATATCAGGTAAAACTCCATTCATTTTATACAAATATTACTAAAATGACGCAGATACTGCTGACAGGTAAAGGAATCGAACTACTAACAGCAAACGTAAATACTAAATTATTATATAAAAGGAACATAATACGATAAAGGAATCTTCTGTATGAGAGATAACGTTATTATGTGTTGTTGTTATGTCAAAAAAGTAAAATGCAAATATACCATGAATAAAGTAGATTTGCTTACGAGAAAATATCCATGAAGTGAATCTAGGAAAATAGTGTCGGCTTTTTGATAGAAATTAAAAATATCTGTAAAATTATTAATGATATGCAATGCCATACGTTAATCACAAAGCCGATTAAAATCGTGTCTCGATTGTGTTTCCAAGTATCTAACCTTTAACATAATGTATACTAGATTTCACAGTGTGTACTAATTCCAAGCATAACTAGATTAACCATAACACATCAAACAATATATGATAATAACGATCAAGGTGCTTTTTAGAGCATTGTCGCAGAAATCGCGTATAAATATAATGGAAGTACCAACCTACGAGAGTCTACATGGGTCCTACCTCTCAGTTTCTTATGTTCTTTATTTTTCTTCGAAAGCAAATTTCAAATTGATTCAACATTTAGTAATTCAGTTATCATTGCAAATGATTTAATTGGAATATGAATTTTAATGTGAAACCATTATCTATTAAAAAAAGAAAAACGAATTGTCTTGGCCATATATTTTTTAGATTAATTATTTTGAAGATACAATGATTATTTCACTCCAGTTTTCTTTAAATAAATGCATAGTGTCACAGGAAAAGTTTTATATTACAATTCTAAGAAAATTTGATGTTGAAAATTGGAATATGTAAACAGTGTTTGGTGAACGTTGGCGATGACAAGCAATCATTTAATGAACAATAATCATACCTTAATGTCTGTCAGCACAAAATCTCAATTTCCATCGTTCTAGGATACTTGAATTAGAGGTTATAAGGAGCTAGAGGCCCGAATTATTTACCTAATTAAGCTTAAAATGGCTTGGTTTGTAGTTAGTTTGACCTTCAGAAAGACAACCATTTTACACCTCTTGTATTGTAGTAAAAATCATATGAATAATTCAGTGAAACGTACAGAAAATGAAAAACGTAAAATGAAAGGGACTGATTTTAAAGGGTGTGTACTCTCAGTGTTATGTCTAACATTTCAGCTACGGTCATGTCTTAGACCAGTGAGTTGTACAAATACACAATAACATATACCAATTGATATGTAACTTCTTAAATTTGAGAAATGTGAGAACACTGTCTGCACAGAAAATTATATTGAAGCATAAGAAAAGTAAAACACGTTATCAATTTGATCTAAATTGCACTATCAATATGGAATGTAATTGAATATTTACGCGTTATACAACTCCTTAGACGGGGCTGTTGTGAATATTTTAGATCAAATACGGTGCATCAGACGAACTAGCAAGAAGCATGCTATTGAGCGCGATGTTTCCAACACCAGTTAAATCACCTAATCTAAGGAACGATACCATTCCCGAATGAAATAAATTCTTCAAGCAAAAGGTATGTATATGTACATGTGTTGTAAGTTTTTGGTTTTTTTTTTTTTAAATATACGTGATATAATCACGAAATATTTCCTATGACACGTATAACGCATTAAAATGGCATCTAAAAAGAAATGTATTGTATTAGGAATAATTCTAGAAGTATGTACGATGCTTTCAAATCTAAAACTGTTAATGGACTATAGATATAACTCAAACTGTTAAACCTATTTTGATATCGAAAATATTTATTTGTTTGATGAACGAACTGACTGTTCGTCGTAATGATATTGAAGACAATATACCATAGATGTATTTGTTTGAAGTGTTGTTGTATATTCTACATACCTATCCCAGCACTTGCATGTACAATTCATCCTATTGTTCCGTTTCGTAAAACCACTGGAGTCTCCAAAGTAATTCTTCGATAATGGATATTATATTTACCTGAATGTTCCCCATGATTTCTGGTAATGTAAAACATGAAGTATCCTGCAAGGTAAAAAATCTAACTTTCTTAAGTTTCAAATTTGTATTCATACAAGGCATATGTTTATATTCTAAGTAAACATGAAAATCTTTCTTAGATAGTCTCTGTTTCTATCGCATACGTCTTGTAGACATTTCTCTTTTTTTTCATTTTTAGCCTTCATGTCCACCTTATGGCAATTCATAATCTTAACATTACACCGTGTGACTGTAACTTCATAGGAATGCGGTGGTCGAGTTGTAAGGCATCTGCATTTTTATCACAAATCCTTCATCTCTAGTTCGTCGGGTCCAAGGCCTACATGGGGCAGTCGCCAGGTACTGGACAAAGGTCGGTAGTTTTTCATTGGAAACTACGACTTTTCTCCACCACCCAAATCTGGCGCGTCCTTATATCACACAGGCTGTTAATAGGACGTTAAGGAACAACAATCTGTAATTTTACAACAAAAACGGTGTTGTTTTGGAAGAACGTTATTGTATAGACAGCTGGTTATGACAGTCGAATTTTCTCTGGTGTAGCTGTACAGTCATGGCACCACATGAATCTGGCGACCCTCTGTGTGTTGAATGTTTGTAGGTGGGAATAAGTGGTCCACCATGACTTTCTTTTGTTGACTGGTTGCTATAACAACGGAATGACCATTCATGACGTAATCGTACTTTTTCTCTTGCTGGATTCTGTTGAAGCCTTTCAAACACCTTTGTACATCAACTGTGTAGTATTGTGTGATAAATTGCAGTGCATTGTTTAGCGTTACGGGAGAGTTTTATTTAATTATAATTCAATTAAGACTAATATATTCTGCTGTGTTTACTAATCGTTAATGCAACATGACAAATGCACGCGACTAAGAATCTTTTACGAGCTTCCAAGAGTTTCCAAGAAAATTTCTAATTGTTTTGTTTTAAATGAGGATCGATCTCGTTCGCTAGTATTGATTTGTTTTAGGGATTTTATTTGGGTCTACTACTCATCATATTTTTCTTTGCTGTCAGCCTCGTGACTCGTAAAATAAGTAAACTACCAATAATCATCGATTTGAACATCATCTAAAGTTTCATTAAAGTGGCAAGCTAATTAAGATATTTTTTTCTTTTTCTTTTTTCTTTTTAATTCATTCGTACGCCTGACAGACAATTTGTCATTGATGTGATGTTTCTTTAGAACAACTAGATACTTTGCAATGGGTCAAAGACAACACAGACTTTTACTGCATTTTCTTTGTGACGTAGTGAACACAACAATTATTTTGTATTGTTACTAATGAAAATTACTCGATTTAACTAAATATAAACTGAATCCAGTTCCACAGCTCCCACTGGGCTTACAACTTTCAATCTCATACCAAATATTGCCTGTTAACGTCTTCATTAATTTTCTGTCGATATGTTCCCTAATTCTGAGTAACCAAGTCGTATTGTCTCTAGTTAGAACAGTTTAACAAACGATAATATTTTAATATTTCACACATTACCAATCATGAGTAATTAAGACATAATATTTACTGAACTGGCTTTTATTTTACATTGCAGATAAGATGCCTTACCGTTTATATGAAGAAACAAAGAATAAACATTCTGTGAAATTAATTTGTTCTGTTTTACATGTGTTTGTTGGCTGTAAATGACTATCAACAAATCTCATTATTGAAAAATAAGGGCTATTAGTTCGCATTTTTTTCTTAAAGATACGTTTTTTATCCGATTTTTAAAAAAAGCATCGTCTTGCAAATCCATTGTGAGATTGTAAAAGGTCACATATTCTCGACACATGAAAATATTCCATTAGCGCTTTTCTTTTTGACAAAAAGAAGTTAGAAATTTTGCTGGTTAGCTATTACCATATACAGTTATTACAAGGTTAGCTATTACCATATACAGTTATTACATGGTTAGCTATTACCATATACAGTTATTACAAGGTTAGCTGTTACCATATACAGTTATTACATGGTTAGCTATTACCATATACAGTTATTACAAGGTTAGCTATTACCATATACAGTTACTACATGGTTAGCTATTACCATATACAGTTAATACAAGGTTAGCTATTACCATATACAGTTATTACATGGTTAGCTATTACCATATACAGTTATTACAAGGTTAGCTATTACCATATACAGTTATTACATGGTTAGTTATTACCATATACAGTTATTACAAGGTTAGCTGTTACCATATACAGTTATTACAAGGTTAGCTGTTACCACATACAGTTATTACTTGGTTAGCTGTTACCATATACAGTTATTACAAGGTTAGCTGTTACCATATACAGTTATTACATGGTTAGCTGTTACCATATACAGTTATTACAAGGTTAGCTGTTACATGGTTAGCTTTTATGGTATACAGTTACACTCTCCATTTCATTTTTATCAGGCTATGAAAACCATTTCTATCAGGCTGTAAAAAATATGATAATAAAAACTTTATAGATATTAGAAAATGTTTAACCACAATGATCTAGTAATGCTTTAGAATATTTATAAAACAAATAATCGGCCAGTATGATACCAATATCATAACTTTTGACTGATATTTGTAGACAAGGAGAAGAAAACTTTCAGGCTAATGTTGTATAATGTTATTTTACTGTTAATGTACCTCAATTTCTTATATCTGACTTATATCAACGTGTACTATTCCACACCTTATTGCCCAGTATAAACTGCAGAAAGTATCAATACACTTCAGGTAGTTGCTTAAGTGACGTCATCGTGAATTAACATCAATTAAAACATTCGTTAAAATCCTGGTTAAATGGTGTCAATGAGACAAATTATATTTTTTGAGTGTTGTTGATGTAACAGATGACTTTCTTCTCAGAACAATATCATCAAAAGCTTCGTTTAAACCTGTCCTTGAATTAAGTTGTGCCAAACTGTACCATGCCTTTAAGTTTAAATTGTCATGTTATTTTTTTATCAATGCCTTCCGAAATAAACATTTTAAAAAAATATGTTCGTGAGGTTATGTTTCATTTGTGTATGCTTGAGTGATTCACTTGCTTCTTAATTGCTTTTATAATAAGTTTATGTAAAACGCATTTCACATGGCACGATGCAAATTGATCACTTCTCTTAAATGTTTCACAAATGTACCATTATTCTTTGAATTATCGGTTCGACTGTTGATGGGAGTTTTCATTGCTCTGTTTTTGGCACAACTGCTTTAGTAATTTTCCTGTTTTAAGTTCTGGTACAATCCTACATGTTTAAATAATCCGAAGAAGATATATAACACGAAATCCTGTATAGATAAATTTTCTTGAGAGTTTTAATGATCGAAGCTTTTAGATAGAATTGATTCAGGAACAGATATCAACATCTTTTTCACTTTAATGTGTTTCGAAAATATATATATTTCGATAACTGTTTCTAAGTCGTCTCATACCTCAAAATATGGGTCCTTCACCTCGCTGAAGAGTTCCAAATGGACGAAACAGCTGTATGATGCAGTTTAATTCACTATTTGGCTCGACTGTATCCAACTCTAAATTTGTATGTAAAGGTGTAGTTCACTTAAGTGTCTTTTACATAATAATCTATCTTACTATTTTACCTAATTCTGTTTGAATCTATGATTTAATGAATAGAAAATTTCAATATGAAACAATTAAAACCTTGATGCCGTTTATACAGTGACATAATTAATCCTGCGTTATGTAAGTTTACCATGTAACAAAGGGAAGTTAATGGTATGCTATTTGTGGTTTGAAATTTTCCTGGCGAACATCACAAATTTCAGTGAACAGTTTAACAATCTATCATTCCGGATTACTTCTATCGAAATTACCGTCAAATGCTGCACGCACAAAGTTCCTTCTCTGCAAATAATACAGAAAAATGTATTCAATTATTTTAGAATAAACGAATTAGTTTTACTTTCAAGCTAGCAATTCCTTGTCGAAAATGCACTCAATGAATCACTTTTAGCAACGATTAGTATCATAGACGCATTTCAGATTGTGGATAAGAAATAAATGAAATGGCCAACTCTCATGCAATGTTTTGTGATTAATTCATGAATGTAGATGTAGGGGCTGGGTGTGTTTTATGCATACAGCTCTTACGTTTGAAATCAATCCCGTCTCACAACTTAATAATATATTTTGTATATTATTCTCTTTTGCTGATTTCGCACACTTTGAAACAAAAGTAAATGAATGAATGAATGAATGAATAGGTAGATAAATAAATGTATCACTATAATATAATTATTTTTTTGTTTCCAGAGAACCAATATCTTATTTTCAAGTTTAAGATTGTAAAATAGACACACTAGTGAATAGCACCTTTAACAATTTAGAGCTACATACAGTTGAGCCAAATAGTTAATTAAACTTCATCTTACAGCTGTTTCGTCTTGTAGGATTCGTCAGTGATGTTAAATGCCTGAATTTTGAATCCTTTGATGCGACCGAGGAAATTCCAAAGTGACCGAAATAAAAGTAAATAATGTTATGGTTAAAAAAATCCCTGATTTGACTTTGTCGATTGTTTTGTAAATGTATCAACGTCAAATCTCAGAAAAAATTATAACTTTGTAAACAATAGGAAATCATCGTACAGTGTTGTTGTTGTTTTTGTTTTTTGTTTTTTATCTATTTTTTTTTTTTTTTTTTTTTTTTTTTTTTTGAGCACTCAGAATAGTATCAGCATGACGTTCAGCGTGACGTTCTTCGAATGTCTACGTTCATTCAGAATGTTATAAGCGTGACGTTCTTTAAATGTCTACGTTCATTCTAATATATTAGCATTAATTAACTCAAACATTAACAGGATCAATATACAAAGTAAATACTGAGACAGATAGACAGCCATAAAGTCGAAGACACAGACAACACAAGGAGACAGAGAGACAGAAATGTAGGCAGTCAGACACACAGACAGACACACCCTGACACACCGACAATCAGAGAAACAGACAGACAGACATGCACACAATCATAAACATAGACAGCCACACTAGCAAACACATGACAGTCAAATAAACATACAGCCACACAGACAGACATCCTGACACACACACCCTAACATACACAGACAGACACATAGACTGACATACTCACAGACACACAGATAAATCACATACGGCCTTCCATGAAAAATGAAACGATAAACATGCGGACGACAGACAGATTGCGTTATCATCGGTTACAAGTCACAAATATTAAGATACACAAAAGAACGGTATACATAACAGATCCTAATCATAGACATATATGATATATGATAATTAGTCTAATTTTTTAACTACACAACAGATGCATAAGAGAATTAACAAGTGTTATATTACATGTTTTGGAACTTCTCAAATCACGTCACATCAACTCTTTTTTTTTCTCTCTTCATCATAGTGCTCGTTTTATACTTTTAATTGTAATCCTGTTCTTTACAAATGAGTTGTTTATTCAATATATATGTTTAAACATAGCTTGACATTTAACTTGTAATAAAAGAATGCCTCTTTCATTGATCTAGTATCTTATTAAGTATATTTTGTGCATATTCAATAGGCAATGTTTTCTTTTTATTGGACTTTACATATAAAATTAGATTGCTAACTATTACTGATTGAACTTTCTTCTGCATTTGATTGATACTATATTTAATACTATTATGTTTTATATCATTTCTACATTTCCACATTGTCCATTTGAATGCAATTAGCGCACTATTAAATAAAATAGAAAAGATACCTTTTTCCAGATAGCCCAGAGCTAATATTTCTGGAGTCAAAAGTTCATTCCTAAAACTTGGGAACTTCACAAATATTTTATTTCTGCATTGAATAAGGACAGATTTTACAACGTTACACGAGAAGAAAAGATGTAAAATATCCTCTAATTCTGTCTTACAAAAATGACATTTTCCGTCTGAATTACTAAATTTACTTATTTTTACTTCAGTATAAATGACGTTGTGTATACATTTCCATTGCAATTCCTTCATCTGTGTTGTCGTAAATGTTAATTCTATGTTATCCCAAACCAGTTCCCAGTCAAATTGTTTTTGAAAAGTTTGTTCCCATTTCAATTTGCAATTCGGTGTCAGATTTTTATTCAGTGTATTCATGATGATTTTAGGTTTTAATTTTCTCATAGTGAGCGGTTTCCCATCTCTTCCAATAATATTTAGGTTACTATCAATAATAGGGTATAAATAATCATTGTTCTCTCTGTTGTTCCCCTTTAACTCATCTAACCATACTATTGGAAAAGCATTTTTTAATCTCGATAACTCAGACATACAATTTCGCTTATCTGTTAACAAAGAGTATATATCACGGTCTTTTTTAAAATTCTTGTTTTGTACATCCCATATATCGTTGACTGTACAGATGCCACTTTTCGTAAATGAGGTAAAAAATAAAGGTTTTTCATTAAATTGAATAAAGTGGTTACCGAATAGCGGTTGTTTAAGAATCTCGTTTCTGTTTACATGTCTTAAATTTAATTTCTGATAAGTTGACCATGATTCTAACAGTTTTTTATAAAACAATGGAAAGTTGGATAGGTTCAACGTACGTATGTCCGATAGTTTACAAACAAAAAACTCGATTCTGTATTTGTTATCCAAAGACCTAAGCCAGTGTTTGCCTATCGCGTTCCATGTATCAGTGTCACTTTTTAATATTTTGTACATAGATTTTACCTGTATACTAAAAACAAAATCTTTCACATCTATAATATTCATACCTCCTTCATGATAATGCTTTGATAATATTTTACGATTCACTAAGTCTTTTCTTCCGTTCCAAACAAAATTCCAAATTAACGAATTAATACTTTTAATATACTTTTCAGGTATACCTCGAGCTTCTGTCTCAAAGGCAATTAAGGAAAAGATAAGAGATCTTATAATTAGACTCTTGCCATATAAAGTTAAATGTCTACTTTTCCATACTTGTATACATGCTTTGATTTTTTTTATTTTCTCTTCCCATATCGCATTATTATCTATATTATAACCGTGATGTACACCTAATGTTTTTACATGTTTTTGTGTCCATGAGATATTGCTGTATACGGGTTCTTTATTCTTCCATCTACCTAAATATATTCCGGTAGTTTTTTCTAAATTAATTCTTGAACCAGACGCTGATTGATATACATTAAGCACTCTGAATGATTCTTCAATTGATTGTTCGTCAGATTCAAGGAGTTGCGTATCGTCTGCAAACATATTTATTGCAGTTTCTGTATTATCAGGTAATTTGATTCCTTTTATATTTGGGTTCGCTCTAATGGCGCATGCCAGTGGTTCCGCCTGAAGAATATACAAAATTGGTGCAGCCGGACAGCCTTGCCTCGCTGACCGCGATATAGGAAAATATTTACTTACAAATCCATTTGTTTTGATACATGTCTTAGCATTTTGTAAAAGCATGTTAATCCAGTTTCGAAATTTGGTTCCAATGTTAAATTTTTCCAGACACATATTCAACCATTCCCATTCAACCCTATCAAATGCTTTACTTTGATCTAAAAAAATTATCGCACCTTCTGTTTGTTTTAATTCCGTATATTCAATTATATCTTGTATAAGTCTGTTTGCGTCTGAAATATTTCGTCCAGGTACAAACCCCTTTTGGTCCGGATGAATAAGATAAGATAAATGTATTTTTAACCTATTTGCAAGAATTTTCGCGATAATTTTGTAGTCCACATTTAACAATGTCAATGGCCTCCAGTTTTGAATCAACTCTCTTTCACCTTTTTTGTAGAGTAAAGTAAGCATACCTTTGGTTTGAGACTCAGATAGTTTATTTTTCAGAAAAATTTCTTTTAAGACCAAAATAAATTCGAGTTTGATAATATACCAATATTTCTGATAAAATTCGGCTATAATTCCATCTTCTCCTGGTGACTTATTGTGTTTTAATTGATCGATACTTTTTACTATTTCCTCCTCTGTGATCTCTTTTTCTAAATCATCTCTTTGTTCATTGGACAATTTGTTTTGTACATGTTCTAAAAGTGATTCTGCAGCCCTTCTATCCATGCCTTCTGTCGAGAATAATTGTTTATAAAACTTTGTTTGCTCGTCTAAAATTCCATTTATGTCTGTTTTGTAATTTCCGTCATCTGATTTAATCCGATGCCAAACTTTTTCTTTTGCTCTAGTTTTCTCTAAGCTAAAAAAATATCTTGAAGAACTCTCATTGTCTTCGAAGTATTTGATTCTAGACCTTACTCTAAAACCATTCGTCTTTTGTTGATAATAATCTTTAATTTCATTTTTTAAAGAATTGACTATCTCTCCTGGAACATTTTCCATTTGATATAATTTTTCAAGCAATAGTTCTTTCGATTTTATTTCACTTTCTCTTTTATTTAATATTTTAGAAACGTGGATAGTGATCTCTTTAATTTTTAATTTTGTTATCTCCCACCAGTCAGTTAGATTATTAAACTTGTGTTTTTCTAATTTCCATATCAACCAGAATGTTTCAAACATATTTTTGAATAAATCTGAACTAATAGTGGAAGCATTCATTTTCCATGTTCCCGGTCCCATTTCGACATTACCTATTTCTATTTCGGAGTGTAATAAATTATGGTCGCTGTATAAACATGGTATTATCCTAGTACCAATTATGTCATTGCTTAGGAAGGGACTAACGAAAATGAAGTCAATTCGGGATTTGGAATTCCCTCTGCTAAATGTATGTCCCTTTTTTTCCGAATTTCTTATGCGCCATATATCTATCATTTTATGTTTTTCTAATAGCGTCTTAAATTGTCTTGTACCGGGGTCGTCCCCATTCGTACTTGGAATTCTATCATATTTGTTATTCAAAGTACAGTTGAAATCTCCCAAAAGTATGTTATTTGTTTCCGGTATATTATTATCCAAGTATTCAAAAAATATTTTTCTGTTTGCGCACGTATTAGGGGTATACACATTTGTTAAATGAAAGGAGCAATTGTCATCCGTTGTCACTTTGCATTGTAAAAATCTACCCTCGTTATCCCTTTTTGATTCCGTAATTTTTAAATTTGTTAAACTTTTAGATAACAACGCCACACCTCTCGAAGCAGAACTACCATTGTTCCAAATACTATCGTTACCTCCCATATCTTTCCATTCCTTACTCCATTTATTTTCGTCTGTATTCGTACAATGCGTCTCTTGTACGGCTATTATTTCAAATTTCCTTTTTATTAGCCATAGAAAGAATTCCTGACGTTTTGTTTTATCTCTAAGACCATTTATATTGATTGATACGATAGAAATGGATGGCATTAATACAAAATTAAGATATGATCAGTTAATCCTAAATATGTCTTAAGAATTCCGTCAAAACTTGCTCATCTTGTTGGCTTGACGTTCTGCTGACCGAGGGGTTGCTGATCTGTCACTATTGGTTCTCTTCCGGTAAGATGTCGGGGTGAAAGCAACACCAGGATCTTGAGTAAAGGTGGCATTGCGGATAAAGTTCTCCATGACTGACCACATCTCAGTGGCACCCGACTCATTGACATGAACCCCAGAAGAGTCATTAGGGTCAAACAATTCTCTAACTGTTTGACCTTGACGCTGAAATGCGATCGGAGTGTCCACATACGTAAGAGAGCCAAATCTTTCACACATTTTCTTTGCAAATTTATTTACACTTTGCGCAGTTTCGTTTATGATCTTAATCTTTTCACTCTTGCCTTTACGTGGAATGATACCACATACTCCAATCGCCGTTTCAGGAAATGATTCCTGCACTTTGTTAATTGCAGTGGATAGGTTACATGTAACCTGTTCTGGATCATCAATGTTCCTGGTGATGTCGTTGGTGCCGAGACATAGTGTAACATTTTTTACTTCGGCGTGTTCTGGAATAAGTGACAAAGCCCTAGAAATAACGGAGTCAACCTTATCCAAAGATGCACCGGAGATAGAAGCGTCAATGACATTTTTATCTGGGATGCTTATTCGCTTGACGTTGGATGCTCCAAGGATAACAGAAACATCGGGAGGTTTAACGAGAGTTGATGTGTCTTCAACATTGGTGTTAAGTACCTCATGGACTGATTCAAGATCACTTTCTACATCCGATATGTTTGTACCTTCCAATACGTCATTTGCATACTCGCCATACAGACGAGTTGGACAGTTTCTTTGCACATGGTCATTCTTTTTACAAATATAACAAAGCTTTTCCTCTTTCTGTGGACAATCGCGTGCTATATGATTGCTATTTTTACAGATAAAGCATTCCTTTGTTCGCACTGGTTTGTTTGGACATCTGTAGGACGGATGGCTCTTTTGGCCGCAGTGTATACATTCTGTTCTATTGTTATCCGCAAAAATGCGTATGTCAAATCGCCCAATAGAGTTTCGAATTGGGATCGTTGGTACACAACCTACGACACTCAAGTACCGAGTTCCGTTCTCTATGTCGGTGCCCTGTATTTTCCCTCTACGTATACTTCCAGGGATCACTTGACCAAATTTAGCCATGTACGCAATGATGACTTCGTCTTTCAATTCAAACGGCGCGTCTTTTACTGTTACATTTGTAATCGTTTTTTCAACGTCAAATAATTTCACAGTTCTTCCATTCAATTCAATATTATTGATCAGAAGTTTATTTTTCGCTTCGATGTTTTTACATGAAACTACACAGTTTTTTTCTGTTATTTGAATGGCATTGATTTCATCTACAATATTCATTTTTTTAAGTTCATCGACAACATTTTCGTGAGTCAGCCCTTGAAAAGATTTATGATAGAATTGGACCGATAAATCTCGCTTAATTCCATCCATGGTGTTGTATAGTAAGTCGGATAGTGATATGCACGTGCTAAAATAGCCTACAGTCAGTTTATGACCATGTATACGTATTCACTACATCTTCACGGTTGACTGCTTACACTAAAAAGGTAACATGGCTATACTGGCGAGTAACAGAATGAGAGTGGATATCGTGCACCCTTCCCGTTGTATAAAATACAACCAATAAACTAGTCCATACGATAACCAACTGATAAACAAAAGCAGCGATATGAACCTCAAACAATATGAGTTCCGACAAAAGACGAGATACATGCAAATTTGAATAAAATGACGGAGCTCATAACTCACCCAACCTTCTCTTGCAAGGGCAGACAAAAATCAAATCTCAGAAAAAATTATAACTTTGTAAACAATAGGAAATCATCGTACAGTGTTGTTGTTGTTTTTGTTTTTTGTTTTTTATCTATTTTTGTAATATCACCATATGTATCATCAGTGTCGTTGAATGTTGTACCGTCTTTCAGAAATTTAACCTTTAGTGACATCATTTATTCGTCCGTATTACTGGACAAACGAAAGCACATCACTATATGTATTATGACTAAGAATAAGGGTTGGCTACATGTATTTGTGTTGGCCGTGTAGCTTTTTTATATGTACTTCCAGTAAAAAAATTATATTTTTTTTCAGATTTTTAGGATATTCAAGATATATCAATTATTACATGTAATTATAACGCCAGTTTAACGATTGAAAACAAATATTCTTCTTTTCTTTAAATTGTTTGATTTACTGAAGTGTTTACAAGAAATATATTGTCAATAAACGTACTGCCTACAGTAGTTAACCGATATGTATGCTTTTACGTGCAAACCCTGATTTTAATTTATCGGTGTATTCAAATACAGGAAGTTCAAGCACAGCGTATTGGGATGATAATTGATGGACGATCTGTGTATTTATTTTGTGTAGAATTAGTTTCATCCTTGATTTTTCATGCATTATGTATGTTCTTTTGTAAAGTTCATTAGATATATAAATGCATTTACCCTTTCTTGCTAAATTAATTGAATGAATAAGTTATACAGATTTTTTAGTTATTGATCCTGTAATAACTGGTGTGTTGTGTTTCCCACAATTCTTTAGTTCTTTGCGGTTTACCCTAAAGCTTAGGTCAAAGTGATGTATTTGTTACGGAAATTCTGAAACGGACCATATTTTTACTATAAATGTTTTATTATTATTATTATTATTATAAGTTTTGGGGTATTCATATTTTTTCCTCGAAAATAAGACATTATGGAGTAACGATAGTACTAAGTGTTGTGTTTCCCCACAATTCTTTAGTTCTTTGCGCTTTACTCTCACGGAAATTCTGAAACGAACCATATGTTTTCTACAAATTAGTTTTTTATTGTTATTTTTTGGTATTCATATTTTTTCCCTCGCAAAATAACACGTGATAGAGTAACTTTAGTGCCAAGTGTTATGTTTCCCCGCCATTCTTTAATTCTTTGCGGTTTACTCTAAAAGTCATACGTCAAAGCGTGTCTTTTTTCACGGAAATTCTGAAACGGACCATATTTTTCTGCAATTTTTTTTTTTATTTTTGGAGTATTCATATTTTTCCTCAAAAATAACACATGATGGAGTAAATATTTAATATAACAACACAGTCAATCTGACAAGAATGCAAACTAAATGACAGTAGGTTATATGTGACAATGTGGAATCAGTGCAGCATTTCATGATATACGACATGAGATAATGTTTTCTGCTAGTCTCGACTGATTCAGACGTGCCTATACACCGCTTCACACACGCGCAGCCACACACACATACACATATATAAATAGCCAAGGACGTATGACGTAACTATTAATCAAAAAAACGTGCTCGTGGTCGTATCCTAATTAGATCTACATTCCAATGTATATAAAGTTGACACGATATTCAGCTAGTTCTGTATAACAGACACTCTATTATCTTGTGTATGTAATATACGAGACCTGAACTATGTTTCTAAATATTGATACTCTATAATTGTTTTATTTCGGGGAGCATATATTTTCGCGGTTGTCCGGTTTGGAATACTTCACGGTATTTAATTTCGCGTTTGTCTATCAATAGCGATCAATGCATACAGGCATAACAGATAGTTATGAATCTTTAACTATCTGAAATATATTTATCTCTTCTAACAGCAAATAAAGCGAATTTGTTTACCCTGCGAATATCACCAATTACACAATACCAGCCTGAAGTGTTAAATATTAATGATATTTTAATATTTTTTCTCATTTATTCAGTGAAATTTCCCATGTAAAAGGTCTGAGTATTATTTGCCTATAAATGTCACATGTATAACAAACACTTGTCTATAACGACCACCTGTTTAGCATATAGTTATAAAGGACATCCGTATATCACAAATACCTGTCTATAAATGTCAACTGTGTATAACGTTTTGATAAATTGTATATAACAATTACCTGTTTATAGTTGTCACCTGTATATAACAATCACCTGTCTACAGTGACCACTTTTTTCAGGTTTTTGATAAGATACCGTTTATAGTAATCAACCCCCATCGGGTAACATTGCTTGCATCCTTGATAGTCCACGGGTTACAATCACTTTTACTCTGTGCACCTCTGCAACATGTCATGACAAAACTGAATGTTCAATGTGCGACACCTGTTGGACAAGACGAAAAGTCTAGTTTGATCTTTTGATGTACATGAAACTAATTAATGCTTTTGATGTTGGGTGTCTCTCCTTTGCAATCTTCAAAAGGAGCTTGTCAGCCTGTGATTGGTCAACTTTTTTTCTCCTGGAACCAATCAACTTGTTTCGCCTGTGCCTTCAATTTTTCCATGACATATTCCAGGCGTGCATACAGCGAAAGTGATTGTAACCCTTGGGGTATTAAGAAAGCATTGATCGACGACTGAGAAACGAGGCTTGAGATCCCCTATTTATATCTAGTTTCATTTTCTATGAGGTTGTTTATAGCTTAAAATGTTCAGCTACAGAAATCGCCTATAAAGGAAACAACAATCAGACTGATTTATGTTAGTTATGTTCTAAATGTAGATGTACTAGTAGTACTAAACTTTTTAGTACACTCCCCGGTTTATGTGATATCATGCGGATTGGAACAAGTATTTTCCGAGACAAACACCTCATGCCATGATGTTTCTTATAGAACTGCATATAATAACAAGACTGCGAGGGAAAAAAAGATCACATATGTGCATAATATCTTGTGTTACATTTGGCATAGTAGTGTTATTACATAATTACACACTTAAGTTTGCATTGTCTATCCACTTCAATCATTTGATACTGAGAGTAAATTTTACTTACACGATAACTGGACCACGTACAAAAAAATGAAAAATATAAGACTTGATAGAAGCTACTAGAATTCTTCTTTCGTTACAATTACTTTCAAAAGGCGTAAACCGTCCCCTGCCATCTCTTCCCGTCATTGTTGACATTGCGACGTACTTTTCATACTCTATAAACGGAAGAGTTCTCTTTCGCGCAACACGAAATTTACACCCCAGTTTATTTTGCCCGGTACACAAATAGGAAGCTACATCACCACATTTGTGCAACCGTAGGGTTGAGTGTCCTTAATTATTTTATTTTGTCAAAACAAGTGATTAGTATTCAAACAGTGCAGCAACCTTTTTCATTATACCTTGTCTTTTCCTGTCTTTTTAGGACGCTCTTCGACTAAATGCCAGAATCTAGACAACTATCCTTCCCACGAGGAGTACATGTCACAACGAGCACGCTCACCGGCTATTGATCGAGGCACTTTGGAGATCTGGGTTCAGGATGACAATAACTGTCTTATATTCCACAAAACACCTAGCTCAGGTACCTCGGAAATAGACATAGCGTGACGGGCGAACCTTAAGGTACACTTCCATGGAGTGCACAAGCGGCCGAAGAGCACGATTCGAGTCTGCGAACAACATCAGTATGTCGCTTCAATAACTTCAATAACTCGAACGTTACAATGAGGTTCAAGAGAAGGATACTTGGTCAACTGTGAGACTATATACCAGAGACTGTTCAGCTGAACAGCACATCACAATATAAAGTACAACAATTCTGAAACCTTTTTTTCCATCTGAGAGTAACGAGGTTTCTGTGACGTTAACCATTGCACGCCAATGCCATGTATATACATGTGTAACACCTTTAATGTATAGTACACTATGTAATCATAGCACATTTTCCATATGATGTGCTGTGGTAATTTCTCGTATCACCAAGGATATGATCTTTATCACTGTAATTAGAATGATATTTCAACAACATGCTGAAAGATATTTGAATATTTTTATGGGTAAATATTGAATTTGTGTTTCAGAACAAGCCAATAGCTACATGGTTCATTCCGCTGTAGTAAACAAAGGCCCATCCATGGCAACAAAATCCAACTTCCTATTGTATGTTATATTACACAATACTAACTTAATCAAATCGGATGACGTCATGGGATAAAAAAAAAGATCAAGAAAACAGTATCTTTCATTCAAAACGAATTACTGAAAGATGAAAACAAGATTTAGCAATGGAGAATACAAAAAAGAATTTTTTTTATCGAAACCGGATGAAGACAAAAGATGAAAGTCTGAAATGTAAGGATATTTCGATCTCTGAACAGAATAAATTTTAAAAACGAAAATAATGGTAGAATCTGGATCCTCTTATCATTGATTTTATCAAGTGATCAAAGAAATTAAAATACAACAGATATTTGTCAAATGATAAAAAAAATCGCGACAAGATCAGAATGTGAAGATGAGGTTGACATTTTATACCAAGTAACAGTTATTATTCTTACTAAAGTAAGCTCCGAACAACTAGTAAACATGCTAACAGTGCTAGACTGCTCCGAACAACTAGTAAACATTCTAACAGTGCTAGACTGCTCCGAACAACTAGTAAACATGCTAACAGTGCTAGACTGCTCCGAACAACTAGTAAACATGCTAACAGTGCTAGACTGCTCCGAACAACTAGTAAACATGCTAACAGTGCTAGACTGCTCCGAACAACTAGTAAACATGCTAACAGTGCTAGACTGCTCCGAACAACTAGTAAACATGCTAACAGTGCTAGACTGCTCCGAACAACTAGTAAACATGCTAACAGTGCTAGACTGCTCCGAACAACTAGTAAACATGCTAACAGTGCTAGACTGCTCCGAACAACTAGTAAACATGCTAACAGTGCTAGGCTGCTCCGAACAACTAGTAAACATGCTAACAGTGCTAGACTGCTCCGAACAACTAGTAAACATGCTAACAGTGCTAGACTGCTCCGAACAACTAGTAAACATGCTAACAGTGCTAGGCTGCTCCGAACAACTAGTAAACATGCTAACAGTGCTAGACTGCTCCGAACAACTAGTAAACATGCTAACAGTGCTAGACTGCTCCGAACAACTAGTAAACATGCTAACAGTGCTAGGCTGCTCCGAACAACTAGTAAACATGCTAACAGTGCTAGACTGCTCCGAACAACTAGTAAACATGCTAACAGTGCTAGACTACTCCGAACAACTAGTAAACATGCTAACAGTGCTAGACTGCTCCGAACAACTAGTAAACATGCTAACAGTGCTAGACTGCTCCGAACAACTAGTAAACATGCTAACAGTGCTAGACTGCTCCGAACAACTAGTAAACATGCTAACAGTGCTAGACTGCTCCGAACAACTAGTAAACATGCTAACAGTGCTAGGCTTAGTTTGTCGTTATGTTGTATCTGCCCGACAGTTTTCAGAACATCACTGAAAAAGGAGATTTCGAAATGAAAAGGAGATTAAGATATTTTATGAATTTTTGGGTTTGCGGAATCTTTTCCACAATGAAGTGGTAAATATGACAGGTTTTCTAACATCGGGCTTTTCTCATCTAATCAAAGGCACTGTTCCAGCGATAAATTTTCACGGCAGATCGTCTAACTTGAAAATCTGAATCACTCCTGGTGACGTGTATTGTTAAAGCAAAAATTACGTAATTCTGTCAAAATCTATTTTAAAAATTGAGAGCCAATATTACTGGGATAGACTTTAACTTTTAGGTTGCTATGGTAACAGAACATAGCAGTATCCTATATACTTTCCTTGTTATGATAAAGCTTTATTACTGTACCTCGTATTGCACCACCGACACGTTAGAAATGATGACGTCATCAATTTCACTGATGCTCGGTAATATTGAGCTGAAATTTTACATTAGTATATTATGTTTAATACATAACAGTAGAATCGGGCCTAATTCACAGCATTCATACGCTCAACAAAAACTGTTTATCATTTACTGTAATCAGTAGTTCAGATTTAAACTTTGTATAAAGGACCCTATATGGGACACTTGTGTTCGTTAATAATCGATTAAAGCGTTACATATGAATATTTCAAATGTGACGTCATGTTCTGTGAGGTGTATCTGAAAATTTGACCAAAAATCGTACGTAGGAATTCGACCATATGTTCGCGATAAACTTTACCAGGTCTGTAATACAAAGTTCTAAATCAACAAGTACTGGTGTCCATTAACTTGTCCGAATGTTCAGACTGTGTGGACGACATTCAGATAGAATACATACCTACGTTTTAGCTCAGGGATAGAGGCTTGGCGAACTAAATCTTCTCCTAAAACAACTTCCAATCAACAAAATCTAAACAGGTTTTAGCGTTGTTCATTACTTTCATTTTTAAATATTTTTTCCAATTAATTAACTTTTACTTCAGTTTTTCCCTTTTTTTAATTGATCAATACGTCCTTAACCATCATAAAGGTTTTTAATAAAAATAAAGGTTAATATTCCGTCGTATTTATTTTTTCATCTCAAAAATTTGGAAATGTCCGTAACACAATCCAAGCGATTGTTTTTTTTCTTTTCTCAGTGTTGAAATTCTCATTTGAAACGTGACACTACTCACTTTGATTGACCGAAATTTACATGGCGGGTTTCGTATAAACCAAAATACGCTTCCTTCCGGAAGACCTGGTCTTTTTCTCCGTGTAAATCTTTCTTTTGTTCATAGTTTGCCCTCATTTTCATCGAATTTGAGTTTGAATTAAGGTTCTTTTGATATGTCGGTATTTTCTTTGATGTGTCCGTATCGTAAGCCTGGTATTAATACTTTTTAAATAACCAAAAACGTTAATATTTTGAAGTATACACGTTGAGTGTAATTCATTTATATGTATATCAGAAAAACTCAAATTCTTTACAGTTCTTTGGGAATTCCTTGCTATTCCATCAAAAAGACTATCATCAAATCATCAATAAACGTAAAGTTTCCTTAATTTAATTTTTATCCAATATATTCCTGAAAATACACTTAAGCATTTTAACAATTTTTTCAATAAGTACATTTGTACTAAACCTAATGTTTTAGATAATTGTAGGAGATTTTTTTTCTAATTTATGGTAATTTATAGTCTAGTTATATACGGTTTCTTTTCATCTTTCAGCAAGTGTATTTCAGAAGACATGATTCAAGTAGACATATGTGTTATTGTGTCACATTTTGTAATTTCTCCCATGACAATGATTGCAAATTTGGAATTTTTTTAAATGTCTGTGCCCATTCCATTTCATTTTAATTATCAAATCATATGTAAATTTATTCATTATCAGAAACAATATCATCATGTATAATCCGAATTGTATAATTGCCACATGAACTGACGTCAGAGCAAAATTCCAAGAATTTGATGACAATTTCATGTTCAGAAATGTGATTTATTGAATTTTATCAATAAAATTTTCATTCATTAAATGAATTTGATTATTAAAATTCTAAATGTATGTAATTTGTTATTGAATCGCGTTTAAAATATGAAAAATTGAATGGCACATAAATCTTTCATGTTTTCCCACCAATACGATGATACCAAGGATTTTTCATGACTCATTCTACTAGAAGTTGTCCAGGTAAGCAACCGTTACCCGTGTAAAAGCTCCTTGGAAATCTAAGGAAAAATCTCTCCTCCCTGCACATGCTTACCAAAGCATGCGCCCCCTATAGGATGTAAACTAAAGGGAGGTAATTTGTGTCAGTGTGTATGTGTGATTAAGTATGAAGTGTTTGATTGTCGTGTGCTCTGGATTGTAAACATTATGTCTCCAACACTTGTTTTATGTACAGTGTTTCAACTGTCAATAATATGTAAACTTTTAAATATTATTTGTAATGTACAGTGTAAATTCTTAGTATGCAACGTCAGCATACTTAAAACATAAATTTCCAATTATTTTGACTACTCTATGTACGAAAGACAGAATGTGATTGGTGGAAATTTCTACCAATCGTAACTCGTTGGCGCCACAAAATCCATAGTCTTAGCACACTCGATAAGTTTCGAAAATTTAGAAATAGAAAGGTATTGATATTTAAATATCATTCTTTCCTCGCTTTATTGAATCCATGATGGTTATGAAATGTTTACATATTGAGATTCCCATGTTGTTATATAGATACATTTAACACTGTTACCTAGACAATTGAAATCAATACATGAAACTGAATGTTAAACAAGACAATTTAGATTTCAGCTATAAATATTATTGTCAAGAATACAAGAATATTGGTTATACATTATATATGTATCTAACTCGGTCGAATAATCAGCACTGATTCATTACTTATGTAGATATAAGTAAAAGGATTAAACTAGGTATAACATTATGATAATTATGTGGATACGTACACAGGTAAAATGTAATTTACATAACTAGTTTATGTAAACAACGTATATATGTTAATAAGAATGTTTGTTACATACATGCTATGATATTATAATAACAGGTTAATAAAAACCTATGTAACAAACACATTTTATATTCAATAGAAGTTACAGGCTTTATAAAACCGCGTTGAAATGAAATTAATACAGCGTCTCTGAAATTCCATGTTTAAGAGCTTGTCTTCGCTTTCCAAAATGCGCCGCGTCACATCTAAAATATGAAATATATTTCGGACCATATCGACCATGTGTATAAAAACGGCTTACATAAATTGTAGATAAATAAAACGTGAATTTTGTGATATATTGTATTCTAAATTTTTGCTTTAGCTATCATCTCATGGCTATTTCTTTAATTATTAGACTCAATGAGATGTTGTATTTTCAAACGTAGTTATAAAAAAAACTGCTTAGTTATACCCAGCCACGTGTTTGTGAAAATCTGTATTACTATGCAAATATTTGTCAACATTCTTGTAAATAAATGACTTCCTGTCCATTTGGGATTATTTGCTTGATATGATAATCACTAATGAATATTTACTTGGTCCATACGGTTCTGTAAATCCAACAAATATATTTCACAAAATGTAGGTGTTTTAGTATTAGTTATCTAACTCTGACTTGATACACACATTTTTAAATTAGATATTATCAAGGAGTAAGTTAAGACCATTTTTTGCTGTATAAAGAACATAGAAATCCTCTGTTAATTCTCCATTGATATATATATATATCTTTTTTTAATCTACGTTCTGCTTTAAAAATCTCAGTCTTAGTTCTCAGTTCTTTTAACGCACGTGTTTAATAATATGATGCATGCAATTTCGTTGTACGTTAAATTAAGTAAATACTTTGGAGGATAGAAAGCCATGTGCCAGGTTGGTCAGCGAAATGATTTTACGTTAACTCAAGTCAAATGAAACTGTTATATTGAAATTATCAGGTGTATGAAGGTTACGAAATTTATGAAATTATGGGGTTTTGTGCACACCCCATCAAGATTTTGACTTTGTGGCGATCACGTGGAAATTTCCTAACTCGCCGCCTAGTTTTCAAATTTAATGCCCCTAGTACCACCGATGAGTCCTAGAAAACGAAACAGCTGTATGATGCAGTTTAATTTATTGTTTGGCTCTACTGTATCAAACTCTAAAATTGTATTTTCAAAAAAGGTGCTATTCAGTTATGTGTCTTTTGTACGATCTTAATACTGTGAACAAAACAGAAGATTTAAAATTGATGTATTTGAAGTTGTGATAAATCAAAGTACTATACAGTATTAGGGTTAATTCCATTTCGGCTGTTTTTACTTATCTGCTGAGATTAAGAAATGACTGCAGTCACTATAACCGCCTTCGTTGTCCGCTTGTTATAAAAAACCTTTTAAAGGTGGCAAACAAAATGTCGACCCCCAAAAATAAGACACTATTCTTTTTATATATTAAGATGTTTTATCTGCTATGTTCAGTTGCTGAGATTGTTTTCAATCTTTTAACGTAAGGGCACCTGTAACATAATTTTCTGACACATTTCTGTGTAAGAATATTCACCATAGAGTTGATTAATGTAATATTCAGAACAGACACTGATACCATATGATGCAATAATACACCTGTTTTTTTGTGACAGTTGTGATAACATGTATGCAAACACTCTTCCGTCTTTCATTAAATCAGCCATGTCTACACGGATATTGTTTTATCGTCTTTTTTTATTTAGCGAGAGTTACCTCCCCTCGTTTGACATCGAATGCTGTTCAGATTTTATATACACCATTTTCAGCCTAGCATCTAGGTCAAACATCCTAATGCGAAAAATGGTAACCAATACTATTGTTAAATTTACCGTCATTTTCACCCAGACGTTGAACCAATAATATCAAAAATGATATTTACGTGATTTGGTCTACACATTACGTAATTTCCAGCATGAATTTGGAAGCGTGTACACTAAGTAGAGGTAGAAACAGGATGTCACATTTTTCGACGTGTACAGTAGATATAATTGTCAGTCTGAAGTTGTAGTAAATATCGCTAAGACACGATGCTTTAATATGTTTACTTACATATTATGTATACAATACAAAACAATATAAACAGTACTACTTGTACGATCTAGCTATTATTTTTAGGTGTAAGCTACCTACAATGGGTGGAAATAATTATATATCATGCTGGTGTTTTACATCAATTTTTTTCCGCGTCAGTGATTTCATTCAGTATGCAACTCAAATAACGCTACATGTTACAAATTTGTACATAACACGAAGAGTCACAGATCTATGATAAAACAGATATACACAACTTCTGATCTGATCAATACTAAATTAAAAAAAAGTTCACTTATCTTATACCATGAACCCATTACATAAATAAGATCAAATACAGGAGCGTAGCTTCCACAGGAAGGAAAAGCCTGGGCTTACGCATAAAAATTCGTGCATAGAGTATGTCGGACAAAATTACAAAACTAAGGTTGAAAATAAATATCTGATATTTTTTTTTTTATAAATAAAAAGATGTAAATAGAAAATTGTTGAATAACTAGGCCGGAACATTATACACGTCATACTATTTTTCTTCTTACCATCATTTCAACGTTTCCGATTATAATGTTGTTAAAGTGCAAATTTTCAAAATGTAGAAGGCTTCTGGATTACAGACGTCGATCGACAAGTTTTTGAAACCAAATAAAGTTGAATCGCGTGACCACACTAAAAGTGACACATCAAAGACCGAAGGTACATGTAACCAAGATACGGAAATCGTCATGGACATGTTCGCGAATCAAAAGAACAGAAAGTTAGCTTTTATTTAGTCAGGGGTTGAAAGTTTGGTGTTAAATAAATAAAAAAAAACCTGTCTCAGAAAACGATTCAAAACATCTTTGAAATCATGAAAATCAGATCTCTCGCCTGGGCTTACACATTTCTGCTGGGCGAGCTACGCCTATGAAATAAATTAAAAGAATTCAGAAAATACACACAATTCAGAAGAATTTTAATTCCAACTAAACTTTAATGAAATTAGGACAAATATGAACAAAGAAAATATGTACACTCCTAAAAACACAAATAGAATAAGACCAGGTGTTCTGGTATGATAAGAGTCCCTTCCTCACACGCGCCATGCTAATCTTAGTAAATTCAAGTAAGTAGTGTCATGTTTCAAAATAGAAAGCAAAACAGACAATAAATGAACTACTAGACACACTTTCGCGAATCAGACACTTTAAACTTGCAAGGAAATATTTCCTAAAAAGAGCATACCTCCCCCATTGCGAAGAGAGAAACAGAATTATATAAAGAAAAAAACGTACACAGTTTTTGGCCGAGAATCCGAATTGCTTCAAACCATGAGCAACAATATGAAGGGTGGGTTATTATGACAGAGATATCACAGCATGTACAAGGATTTTACAGTATGTTCTTATGACGTTTAATTGTGTGAGAAAAGAGGGGTGACATACCGACGAGTTTAATTGTGTGAGAATAGAGGTTATTGTCATACCGACGTGTTTAATTGTGTGAGAATAGAGGGGTGACATACCGACGTGTTTAATTGTGTGAGAATAGAGGGGTGACATACCGACGTGTTTAATTGTGTGAGAATAGAGGGGTGACATACCGACGAGTTTAATTGTGTGAGAATAGAGGTTATTGTCATACCGACGGGTTTAATTGTGTGAGAATAGAGGGGTGACATACCGACGTGTTTAATTGTGTGAGAATAGAGGGGTGACATACCGACGAGTTTAATTGTGTGAGAATAGAGGTTATTGTCATACCGACGGGTTTAATTGTGTGAGAATAGAGGGGTGACATACCGACGAGTTTAATTGTGTGAGAATAGAGGTTATTGTCATACCGACGTGTTTAATTGTGTGAGAATAGAGGGGTGACATACCGACGAGTTTAATTGTGTGAGAATAGAGGTTATTGTCATACCGACATGTTTAATTATGTGAGAATAGAGGGTATTGATATACTGACGAGTTTAATTGTGTGAGAATAGAGGGGTGACATACTGACGTGTTTAATTGTGTGAGAATAGAGGGTATTGTCATACCGACGGGTTTAATTGTGTGAGAATAGAGGGGTGACATACCGATGTGTTTAATTGTGTGAGAATAGAGGTTATTGTCATACCGACGTGTTTAATTGTGTGAGAATAGAGGGGTGACTTACGACGTGTTTAATTGTGTGAGAATATAAGGTATTGACATACCGACGTGTTTAATTGTGTGAGAATAGAGGGGTGACGTACTGACGTGTTTAATTGTGTGAGAATAGAGGGGTGACATACCGACGTGTTTAATTGTGTGAGAATAGAGGGGTGACATACCGACGTGTTTAATTGTTTGAGAATAGAGGTTAATGATATAGAGACATGTTTAATTGTGTGAAAATAGAGTAGTGACATACTGACGTGTTTAATTGTGTGAGATTAGAGGGGTGACATACCGACGTGTTTAATTGTGTGAGAATAGAGGGGTGACATACCGACGTGTTTAATTGTGTGAGAATAGAGGGTATTGTCATACCGACGGGTTTAATTGTGTGAGAATAGAGGGTATTGACATACCGACGTGTTTAATTGTGTGAGAAAAGAGGGTATTGTCATACCGACGGGTTTAATTGTGTGAGAATAGAGGGGTGACATACCGACGTGTTTAATTGTTTGAGAATAGAGGTTAATGATATAGAGACATGTTTAATTGTGTGAAAATAGAGTAGTGACATACTGACGTGTTTAATTGTGTGAGATTAGAGGGGTGACATACCGACGTGTTTAATTGTGTGAGAATAGAGGGGTGACATACCGACGTGTTTAATTGTGTGAGAATAGAGGGTATTGTCATACCGACGGGTTTAATTGTGTGAGAATAGAGGGTATTGACATACCGACGTGTTTAATTGTGTGAGAAAAGAGGGTATTGTCATACCGACGGGTTTAATTGTGTGAGAATAGAGGGTATTGACATACCGACGTGTTTAATTGTGTGAGAAAAGAGGGTATTGTCATACCGACGGGTTTAATTGTGTGAGAATAGAGGGTATTGACATACCGACGTGTTTAATTGTGTGAGAATAGAGGGGTGACATACCGACGTGTTTAATTGTGTGAGAATAGAGGGGTGATATACCGACATGTTTAATTGTGTGAGAATAGAGGGGTGACATACCGACGTGTTTAATTGTTTGAGAATAGAGGGTATTGACATACCGACGGGTTTAATTGTGTGAGAATAGAAGGATGACATACCGACGTGTTTAATTGTGTGAGAATAGAGGGTATTGATATATCGACGTGTTTAATTGTTTGAGAATAGAGGATATTGATATACCGACGTGTTTAATTGTGTGAGAAAAGAGGGTATTGTCATACCGACGTGTTTAATTGTGTGAGAATATAGGGTATTGACATACCGACGTGTTTAATTGTGTGAGAATAGAGGTGTGACATACCGACGTGTTTAATTGTGTGAGAATAGAGGAGTAACATACCGACGTGTTTAATTTATGTGAGAATAGAGGGTATTGATATACTGACGAGTTTAATTGTGAGAGAATAGAGGGGTGACATACCGACGTGTTTAATTGTGTGATAATAGAGGAGTGACATACCGACGTGTTTAATTGTGTGAGAATAGAGGGGTGACATACCGACGTGTTTAATTGTGTGAGAATAGAGGTGTGACATACCGACGTGTTTAATTGTGTGAGAATAGAGGGGTGACATACCGACGTGTTTAATTGTGTGAGAATAGAGGGGTGACATACCGACGTGTTTAATTGTGTGAGAATAGAGGGGTGACATACCGACGTGTTTAATTGTGTGAGAATAGAGGGGTGAAATACCGACGTGTTTAATTGCGTGAGAATAGAAGTGTGACATACCGACGTGTTTAATTGTGTGAGAATAGAGGGGTGACATACCGACGTGTTTAATTGTGTGAGAATAGAGGGGTGACATACCGACGTGTTTAATTGTGTGAGAATAGAAGGGTGACATACCGACGTGTTTAATTGTGTGAGAATAGAGGGGTGACATACCGACGTGTTTAATTGTGTGAGAATAGAGGGGTGAAATACCGACGTGTTTAATTGTGTGATAATAGAGGAGTGACATACCGACGTGTTTAATTGTGTGAGAATAGAGGGGTGACATACCGACGTGTTTAATTGTGTGAGAATAGAGGGGTGACATACCGACGTGTTTAATTGTGTGAGAATAGAGGTGTGACATACCGACGTGTTTAATTGTGTGAGAATAGAGGGGTGGTATACCGACGTGTTTAATTGTGTGAGAATAGAGGGTATTGACATACTGACGTGTTTAATTGATAACATTTCTACAAGTTGTCAGCGACCTTGTTTCAACGATCCTGTTACTAGTTGGGTTAAAGTTGACCAGGTGTTACTAGTTGGGTTACAGTTGACCAGGTGTTACTAGTTGGGTTACAGTTGACCAGGTGTTACTAGTTGGGTTACAGTTGACCAGGTGAGTCCTGATATTCAATCACATTTCTCATCCTGATGGAAATGAGATAAAGGTAGGATAGTTAGATCAAAAATGCATGAATTACAGTGTTTTATCAAACTCATTAACTGATGTGTATCAAATTTTGCTCTCAAATATCAACTTTTTTTTGAAAGTTTTAAAGTACGTGTATTTGTGTTGTACAAGATTGTGAGGTGATGGTAGTCGTTACATCATCAATAATCAAACCAGTGGGTAACACATATCCCACCGTGTTGATATAGCCATACAAATCATTGTTAGCTGTCGGATGTATCCAGCAGTGCGGGTGCTCACGTACAGTATGACCTTAGTTCCGACCTCTACCGCCATGCATCATTCTCTACTCTGACGTCATAAAAGGTTTGCATTCTTTGTTAATGAATACAGCATATGTAAAAAAGATCAAATATTAGGAAAAAGAACATGGAAAAGGTCCAAGTGATGTATCAACAATGTAGGCCACACGTACGATGATAAGTGCCATGATCGGCCCAGAAGTCCTTGTTTAGGAAAGTGTCGACCTTATAGTTTATATTAAACTGTTTCTTCATCAACCAAAAACCAATTCTTATATATGTATTAGGCTGGTTTTCAATTCTATTTAGTAATTTTTGATACAAAACTGTGTCTCTTCTTATCCAAAATTAGAATCAGATGTGACTGTAATTAACAAACAGAGCCTTTCCGGCAGGACGTATCCCAGACTTATCCGAAAATAATGCCTGTCTGCAGATAAGCATATCCGTATATATACTATATAGTTTTATACGACAGTGAAGGTGCGGAATTAAGGTGTACTCCGTGCGTGTCCCGTCATGTGTGTACGCACGGAGCATCCTTCACTATGACGTCATCAACATATGGGAAAACATTGTGTGATTCCGGATAACTATTCTCCTCTTTGTTAGATAACGTCTTAAGTAGTTAGAAACATTCCAAACGTTCATTGGTTTTTTGTTTTGCCTTTTTACATTATACACCAATCGCACTCAACATTGATACTTTTCATCCAACTTTGAATTATACATATCCCAGTCATCAAAATTGTACTATTCATTTAAATACATAATTTCAAAATTCTAGATTATCTTTATCGGTCGTGCTAATTACTCTGTTAAATATATAATGGAATGTGATAATTGTATAGATATCAGACACCGGATATTGTAAAGCTGTAGAAGGTAATAATTGTATAGATATCAGACACCGGATATTATAAAGTTGTAGAAGGTGATAGTTGTATAGATATCAGACACCGGATATTGTAAAGCTGTAGAAGGCGATAATTGTACAGATATCAGACACCGGATAGAGTAAAGCTGTAGAAGATGATAATTGTATAGATATCTGACACCGGATATTGTAAAGCTGTAGAAGGTAATAATTATATAGATATCTGACACCGACTATTGTAAAGCTGTAGAAGGTGATAATTGTATATATATCTGACACCGGATATTGTAAAGCTGTAGAAGGTGATAATTGTATAGATATCAGACACCGGATATTGTAAAGCTGTAGAAGGTGATAATTGTATAGATATCAGACACCGGATATTGTAAAGCTGTAGAAGGTGATAATTTAATATCTGACACCGGATATTGTAAAGCTGTAGTAGGTGATAGTTGTATAGATATCAGACACCGGATATTGTTAAGCTGTAGAAGGTGATAATTGTATAGATATCTGACACCGGATATTGTAAAGCTGTAGAAGGTGATAATTGTATAGATATCAGACACCGGATATTGTAAAGCTGTAGAAGGTGATAGTTGTATAGATATCTGACACCGGATATTGTAAAGCTGTAGAAGGTGATAATTGTATAGATATCAGACACCGGATATTGTAAAGCTGTAGAAGGTGATAATTTAATATCTGACACCGGATATTGTAAAGCTGTAGAATGTGATAGTTGTATAGATATCAGACACCGGATATTGTAAAGCTGTAGAAGGGGATAATTGTATAGATATATGACTCCGGATATTGTAAAGCTGTAGAAGGGGATAATTGTATAGATATATGACTCCGGATATTGTAAAGCTGTAGAAGGGGATAATTGTATAGATATATGACTCCGGATATTGTAAACTTTCTAACGACTTTTAGGTTTATGTAATCTATGTTGGCTATTATTATCTAACAAGTGTTGATAGGCCCGCCCGCCCTTCTATACAACGTTAGCTGCTTTATGTCACCCAGGAGAATATAAACAGTAGAAATATGACAAATTAATGATATATTATGAAATTCTTACTCAATTTCATCTCATCTTAATGAAAGTTAACCCGACTTTCTACAGATATACACAGGCGGATTTCAATCTTATGACACACCTTCATACTTTTGGTTTTATTTTAAACATGAAATTCAACATCACATCAAACATTTTTGTATGTAAGAAATAATCAGCATTGATTCCATAATGGAATTTATGACGAAACATTATCAAAATCAGCGTGTTGTACACTGTGCTTGTATTCCAACCATATCAAACCCGAACGTACAGAAAATGTATTACATCAATGTAATATGGTTCATAACGATTTGTGCTTTCAAATCTCTCCCATTGTCTATGTTGTGATAATCATCGTTCATATTAAGACTTTTGTATTCTGATAAAAGTATTTCATATCCGTTAAACAACCGTTAAACAGTTAATATAAACATAATTAATTTCACAAAAATCAAATCTCAACATTTGTAAAAATTGCGCAATATTTCTTATACACACATATCATACAGATTTTCGGCGCGAAAAGAGCTAAAATTACATTACCGCAAAAATATGTACGTCGACAGTAAGTATTTCCATTCATCACCTTTTCTATCTTGCCTGTAAAACTCGGCACTAAGCGGAAACAACTAAACTTTCCTATACATACGTGTTCACTAACTCATTGAATATCGTTTGGCAAAAACAAAAAAGATACGTGTGATTTGTTTAGAAAGAAGGTTGAAAACACCTGGTCTTACCGTAGGAAGAGTGGTTATGAAGTTGAGATTATAACTTAGTCCTGTTTTACAGCTTGCCCCAAAATAAGTGGTATTCGTCCGCTGTCGCGCTGCAGTGCTACGTGTTTCCATCTGTAACACGTACTGCCTTAATTAATCACAGCGAGAAGCGCGCCTCACCACAGCTTCTCTAAGCAGGAGTACAAACACATGGCATAGTAGATTGGGATGTACCATTGGATCAGGTTACGGGAGTGCAACGTTTGAAACACTGTGTACATAGAAAGTTAGAACGCTCAATGACCTTTTTCACAGAAGTTACGATCCCCTGTTGTATTATTAGTAGCGCGTGCAGAGCGCGTGTGCCCTAAACTGCGGTGTGTAGTTTTCAAGAGCATCTTAGATGTAGTATATGAACAAAATGGCGACGATCTCGGATGTATTTCTCCGTTACGGAGACGATGCCTATACTTTAAACGATTTTAATATTGCCGCCAGCTTTTATTCTTACGCTGCCATGCAAACTGTTGTTTCTGATTATTCAGAAATTCTCAAAAAGAGATCTAAATGTTATTATAAAACAGAAAAGTATGCTCGAGCATTCGACGATATTGTTGAAATATTGAAAATATGGCCGTCCTGGGTAGAAGGATATATCTACGCAGGAAGTTGTCTTACCTATCTAAAAGACTTTAAGAACGCCATGTTGATGTACTCACGTGGTTTAAAGTTGGATCCTGGAAATGAAATTATTCAGAAAGGTTTACTCAATGTCAAGACAAAGCTGTCCGAGAATGGCGGAACTACATACGACCCGCTAACACTCTGCACACAGGATGCGTATCCAGGAGACGATGAACTGGTTAAAATGGAGCAGTTGAGATTAGATAAAATCGGATCTGTTGATATTCCGGAATTTCTTAATGTTCCAGACACACTCAAACTTAGAGGTTTGATTCAGAGTGTTTGTAAACACAAAGAGGACGGAGAATTCAATCTAGCTGAGTCGTGTTTGATGGCGGCTATTCGCGAGGACGCAGATAACTACAGTCTTTATCACATATTGGCAGAAATTCTCTACCAAAACGGAAACTTCGAAAAGGCTTTCCAGTTCTGTGAGATGATACCTAAACAACAACGATCATATGATACATGGATACTAGGAAGTAAGTTTCTTTTGGTTCTTTTTTATGGTACGGTAAATATCAATTCAAAATGCAAATATTTACTTTATTTCCTCGTCACCAAATATATTCAAACAAATCTAAAGATTAGTTAATTTGTATTGATACCATAATAATTATTGGCATTATTTGGCAATATTATTATAGTATGTTGAGGTTATTTGAAAGTATAAAAGAACTTCAGATGTTTTCAATAACAAATTTCAATTTGATTTTCAGGTCAAATCAGGCAGGTTTTAAAAGTGCCTGTTTCCACCGAGTTGTGGTTAAAGAATGCCACGAAATTTGGTGGTAAACGCGCCGAGGAGGCAGCAATGTTATTCCAGGATGTAAGAGTTCAGCGTCTGTATGATCCTTTGTCTTCCGGTACAAAAGTCAACATCCGGTTCACAAAATTCGGTAGAACAATGCATGCCACTGATGAAGTCAACAAAGGGGGATACCTGTTCCGGGAAAAGCCTCTTATAATCGCCCAAGCCATCGACTCTCTTGATATTCCGGCATGTGGTCACTGTGGGAAAAGTCTTATCACAGCGGAACAATACTTTGGACAAGGAGTGATACGACAGAACAATCAAATTCGGGCAGCCGTTGAAAAATACTGGCCAAAAATAGATAGGTTGTCGTGTGAAAAATGTGATACTGAAATTTACTGTAGCACGTCGTGTAGAACTGAGGCTTGGGATGATTACCACCAAATCTTGTGTTCTTCGAGGAATAAGAATGTTGAAAAATTACATCAAGTTTGTCAACAGTTTAAGAAACTCCGTGAAGAGAATTGTCGAGTATGGGACGGGGTCTGGAACGCTGCTTTTAGTCCCATCACTCTAGCACAGCTTTGGGCGAGGATCATTTGTGACGCCAAGCGGATAGCTAATACTCGAGGGGCGACAACTCCAGATCGCCAAGATATAGCAAAGGCTAAAGCAAAATTTAGGAGGTAGTGTGATGTTAAAACCTATCCCTGCATGATCCAAGCGGTTATCTCCCCTTGTTCAACCCATGAGACATAGTTACTAGGGAGATAGATTTTGAAGCAGGCAAAATTCAAATAACATACCAGACGATACTTAAATCTTGTAAAATTCCAGATATTTAGATGATTAAAAATATATGTGAAATCCGCGTAGAAAATTGTTTATTTTTTCGCAATCTCTGAATAGTTATGATATTATTTTGAACTGAAATTCTTTTTCAAAAATATAGTGCCGTGTATCAGCGTTCGCGAAAATTGGCATCTTCATGTTTCCAACAATTATTACAAATTCTATGATTATTCAGCTTTATTGATAGAATGTGATTTTCACATAAAAATCGGAACAGAACAGAAATGAAAAAAGAGAGTTACAAAAGAACAAAAGAAAGGAAAATAAGCTGCATATAGATGATAGAAAATATCATCAAATATGAAAATACATGGTGACATTACTAGAGACCCAAGTTTCTTAATATTTTGATTTTGGAGTCTGTAGATAAGTGTTGCATGGTTTGAACCACCTGTTGTAAATACATGCACTTGTTTGAACTCTGACCCCTTTTGTTCCAGGCGCTTGGTTCCGTTTTCCCTTTCCCCGTGTGCCTGACCTTTCAGCGTTCCTGACCTTTCAACCCGAGATTTAGCAGAAATCAGCCTTGAAGAATAAACGATTTAACATAAGTGTAAGCAGAAAAATTAAATATATCATATTCGATCAGTTGTTGTTTCTACTTACGCAAATTGTTGGAAATGCGTTTGTAATATTTCATTTGGCAAAAATAGGTGACTTTATTTTGGTCGTTGGCATGATGATTTAATGGATCCATACAACAAGGCAAGGGTCTGCAACTGTTGCCAAATCAACTAGACCTTTTCCAACTAAATGATTAATTTTCAGGATATAATTACAATCCCTCCAGACCAATTAATACCTTGGCTAGTGATTCAAAGTCCTATAAATCCAAATTAATTTTAAAAATGTATAAATAAAATACTCATGTTGGTTGAAAAAAATTATCAAAAATTATAATTTGTTTCTATCAATATGAAATAAAAAAAATGTCTGTCATGGTTAAACCAATATCGTGATTTAAAGTCAAGGAATTTACCTTACATATATATCAAAATTAATTTTAAAATATATATCAATAAAAAACTAATGTTGGTTAAAAAAAGTATTAAAAAAATTATCAAAAATTATGATTTGTTTTAATTAATATAAAATAAACAATAAATGTCATGGTTAAATCACGTGATTTAAAATCCAGCAATTTACCGTTACAAGTATTATGAACCAAAGCATGTTAACCACATCTTTTGAGAGTTCGTAGGTATTTTCGGTGTTACGATTCGTGGTCAATGATATTAAACATTCCATTAAAAACTCGAAATTCTCCCCAAAAACTAATTAACCTTTACATCCGTAGAAAACAGAAATCGTCTTACTGTTTGTGGCTTTTTTTCTTTTCAACAAGACAATTTAAGTTAAAACTTTCAGGCAGATTTATACAAGACATGACACTATTTTTTCCGAATTCATATTAGTCGATGTAGATCTGTCGTTGGTCGAGTGTGTGATTTAGAGAGTATTTTTTGGATTGAAATAACTACGGAAGCCTGAACGGGTCATCCTTTGCTATATCATTAGCTCGTAATATAACTAGAAAAGAAAATAGTAACGATGACCCTTTCATGTTCTCGTACACCTTGAAGTAGGAGTGTAGTTAGATAAAGACAGATTATGACTCTAAACAACATTGTCATTACTCTAACACTTGTAAACAACGCGGTTAAAATTGTACGTATATAATGTATATATACGGTTGTTTAGGTGTTTGTGTGAATATGTGAAACAAAATGTGAACATGTGTTTGGTCACGTGTTTGTGTGAATATGTGAAACAAAATGTGAACATGTGTTTGGTCACGTGTTTGTGTGAATATGTGAAACAAAATGTGAACATGTCTTTGGTCACGTGTTTGTGTGAATATGTGAAACAAAATGTGAACATGTGTTTGGTCACGTGTTTGTGTGAATATGTGAAACAAAATGTGAACATGTGTTTGGTCACGTGTTTGTGTGAATATGTGAAACAAAATGTGAACATGTCTTTGGTCACGTGTTTGTGTGAATATGTGAAACAAAATGTGAACATGTGTTTGGTCACGTGTTTGTGTGAATATGTGAAACAAAATGTGAACATGTGTTTGGTCACGTGTTTGTGTGAATATGTGAAACAAAATGTGAACATGTGTTTGGTCACGTGTTTGTGTTAATAAGTGAAACAAAATGTAAAAGTGTGTAAAGTTACTCATGTTTTTTTTCTTTTTTTTTCTTTGTGAATAAATGACAAGAAATGAGAATGTTTGAGAGAAAGGTAGTATTTTTTCGAATAAGTGTAACAATCTGTGAATGTGTTGTTTACAGTTGGTATTTTTTGTGAGTTACGAGAAAGAACAAATAGGTTCTACATCTTTATTGTGTGTGTATTATACATAATGTCGTCTTTGGACACTCTTTGGAGTGTAATGTGATTTATAGAAGTTTTAGGCGAGTATTCAGGAAGAAAGAAATGAGTTACATACACTACCATCTCGCGACATAATGAAATCGTAGGTTGTATGGTGAGTAATATTTGTGTGAGTTTGTGGAAACAAATTCTAGGTTTGTATATGGTCGGGTTTGAAACTTATTAGAATGTACAAGTGAACTAATCATGGTTGCTAGATTTTTGAGAGTTTGTGGAAACAAATGATGGACGTGTATTTTCAGTTTCGTCTCTGATTTTCTCCAAGTGTAACATTTTATATTTTTTCCTAATCTTGACCACTTCCCTAAATCTCTCCTGTTCTTGGATTCTGCATGAATGAAGTGTTAACACCGTAATAATCCCATCAACATCACAAACGGAACAAGAGAATAAACTTCATTTTAATTCATCTAACATCTCCTTAAATATTGACAGTTTCTTTGTACAGAGGATAACCCATCCAATTGTCATTTTAGTTTCGTATTTTTTCAACTTGTATATTTTTTTCTATCCAATGAATACTTCAAATATTGCGAAATTATCTATGAAATCGTAGTAAGCATAAAATCTGTTTTGTTTTTTAGACCTGTTTTCTGTTATTTTTCATCTTAATTCGATTCTTGTTAACATTTAATTTTTTACGCATAATTTTGTTCGAAAATTTATTTTGTCATTTACTTTTATAGGTTCATAGCCTACGGATCTGCTAAAAATGCGAAAGTCGTACCTAGAATGCTGGCAATCATGAGAGAAATATTCAGCGATCTTGCTGACGGCGTTACCTTGGAGATTACAGATAAAGAATTTGAGGGTAGATATTTCCAGATTGCATGTAACATTCAAGAATTCGCCGATCCTGAGCCTCCGTACAGGTCGTTCATTACAAACGTCAAAGCCAAACCGCAGGTATGGGCATGCGTGAGTCCTCATATCCGGTCGGAACCTCCTGAGGCGACTTTCACTGGTTTGTTCATGCTCCATGCTTGTATGAATCACTCTTGTGACAATAATGCGGAAGTCAGGGACCGTTTTGTGGACGGTAGACCTGGAATAGCATTGCAGGCAAAGAAACCCATCAATTTGGGACAGGAAGTAACGATTTCTTATATAGATACCCGGATGTGTCGCCAGGATCGTCAAACATGGTTGTACCAATCTTACAACTTCTGGTGTACGTGTACAAAGTGCCAATACGAAGGAGATGACGCGACCTCGTGCACAAACTGCAAAAAACAAGCACCAAACGACAAACTGTTCCCAGCATGTAGTCGATGTCATCGAGCGTGGTATTGTTCGTCGCATTGCCAAAAAGTGGCCTGGAAAAAAGGTCACAAGTCCATATGCAACAAATAAAAACATACACAGTACATCTGATTGCCGCAAAAGTAAGCAAACGATATGAGTTATTCTAAATTGAACTCGATATTGGGAATAAAATTAAAAAAAAAACAATTATCAGAAATTTCGTATTAACTGAAGCTAACATTTTCCATGGGACACCAAATATTTAGAAAACAAATAAAAAAAATCTAGCAGGTGAAAATATTTTGCTGGATTTTTTTTTTTTTTTTTTTGAAACTACAGCTATATCGTAAATAACTAATGAGCTACATCTAAGTTGCGGAAATATGTTTATAGACAAAAAAGTGACTCCGCGAAGTTTATTAATTTGATACGTGTGCCTGGTATGTATGTTTAGTTTTATTTGAGAAATAGTGATAGCCAAAAATAAGTTTGATATCACAATCTTTACCTAAAAAATTAGAATTAGTAGTTAAATCCTATTTTCTCAATAGTGAATGCAATGCAGGTCATCATCACTCTGTCACGTGACAAAGAGTGTCATTATGCTATATATGAACGCGAATGTGTCAGTGCTCCCAAGGACGTGAATGAATAGTGTGTCTGATCATGTTTCTATCAACGTAGATGTGACTGTTTATTCTCCTGTGAACGTATATGAACTGTATACATGTATGTGTTCGTTCCTGTCAACGTAAGTGAATTTATGTGTCTGTTTGCGCCCCCGTGAACGTGAATGAATTGTATCGGTCTTCTCGTGTTCCTATGAACGTATAAGAACTGAACACATGTGCTTATGTTTCTATGAACGTCAATGAATTGTATGTGTCTGTGTATGTTCCTATGAACGTCTATCGTGACATTCCCGACCCGTTACACTGATATTACTTTTGATACGTATATTTTCTTACTTTGTTTGTTCCCCCACATACATAGGTGAGGATTGTCGTACCGTGGAATACAATAAAATGCCATGGATATAATCATATTGAACAGCGTTTGTTCTTTTTATCATGGTAACTGACATTTCCTATATTTGGTTTTTCTTTAGTGAGGCACGCCAATTAAAAAGTATTAAAACTGAAAGTTGTAGATTCATCAAAGAGGGAGAGAGAGAGAGAGGGGGGGGGGAGAGATTGAGAGAGATAGAGAGAGAGAAAGAAAGAAAACCCACTAAATCACTAAACGTCGTAAAAACAAAACGGAAGTGAAAAACGCCAAAATATTGACATTCACATTTGACCCATATGAATTGGAATATGGGTCAAGGTCATTTCGTTTCGCAAACTTTGGTTGGTCTTTGTTCAATGATATTTGATAAATATCAAGAATGAATGCCTTCTGGTTCATCAACAGAAGGCGTTTGAAGGTTGTAGCAAACTTGACATCTGTGACCTTGAATATAGATCAAGATAATTTCTTCCTGCAAAAGTTCCCAAGCTCCGTCTGAGGAACCTGTGAACAAAGTATCATGACCCAAGGACTTTAAAATCAAATTTCATCAGAAGGAGTGTGTGAAAGTTTTAACAGATTTGACTTTGAATATAATTTGTACATGTAGGTTAACAGAATTTCATTTGACGGAAAGTTTTGTCGGGCTTGATCCCAGAAACAAATCAGCCAAATATGATGAGTCTGTACCTGTTGTATTTAAGGAAGAATTCGAGATCACAAGACAATAAAATGACTCACTTTGCAGCATGTTGATCTACATATATACATAACGTCAATATTTTGTCCGTTGCCTTCGACACTCATTGTAGACTGGGTTACCTGTCTTTTAACAACTTTTCGACGTTTTTCGAAGTGAAATTTAATTACGACCGGCAAAACATTTTATCACCCATTATAATTTTACAACAATCATTTAGAAGATTGTGATTCTCACGAAGCTCGCTCGGATAATAAATGAACAGAGAAAAGAAATTTAAGCGTTATTAGTATCAGAAATTGACCCCAAAGTTAACTTGATAAATTTTGGGACTAGAAAGTAAAAGACATCCGCCCTGTCAAGATTTCCAATATTTCAAATCTGTTATTTGTGATGATATTTGCAGAAATATACCCAAGGTTCCCAGTGTTCTACTCAGGGGAAGTAACTCCACATCAGAAAGAAAATATTAGGAAGCAATTAACCAAATGATGACATCAACTAAACCGTCACAAAATTCACGAGTAACATTTTTACAGAACTTAATATCTAATGTTCAATTATAGCTTAGAAGTATAACTGTAAATAAGTTAACAGTCGAACCTCGTTACCTCCCCCCCCCCCCCCCCCCCCCCCCTCGAGGTTTCCCCATGGCCCCTGCGAGTTCGAGATAACGAGGTTCGACTGTCTATGAATACAAAAGTCTGCGGTATGAAATTGGAATCGTGCCCTACTTTCTCTAAATTGATTAACATTGTGATCAGCCCGTGCCTATCACGTGAATTACAATACGTATATGACCTATGTTCATCTTAGGATAACAGATAAAATAGAAGTACCTCTGTCTGGTATAAAATATACGTTATCTGACACGAGAGATAAACAGGTCATGTGGTTATTATACCTATCACAGTTATAACGTCATACTAACAGAACGAGGGAGGGAGGGTACTAGACGTAAAGGTTATGAACGTCAGTCGACGTCCCAGCTCTTTGCTATTCCCATTTACATTGCGCTTTTGACTTCCCTGTGGACATGTGGCATTCACGTATGATATGTTTGCCACTTTCCTAATGTAGAAACATGGGCACAGGGAAAACGTGTTATTTTTAGGTAATGAGTCATCGGACGATTAAATACAAATATGGCAGGTTCTTTTCGAAGTCACTTTCGAACTCTATAGAATAGGAAAAGATCGCTGGGAAACGAATATTAGGAATAACGTACAACGTATTAGCTACCTCCTATTGTTAACGAGTTGCCAGATTTCTATGGTACGGACAAAGGAGCATACTGCAGTATGCGTTGACGTAATGATATGACACGGATGACGGAAATCTATTGATTGTATCGTGCTATGGATAAAAGAAGTACCGTCATTGGAGAGTTGTTGGATTGCTGTGGCGGTGCGGCTTACAGAAAACCTACAGATATAGTTTAAATCATTGTAGTACCTGTCATAGGAGTTTCGTAATAATGAGTGGTCAGATCATCATGGCACTGCCCGAGGAGTTACATGGGAGAGGTACTGAGTGAATAACAGTTGTTGACGGTTGTATTATCGTAGTACGGATCAGAGAAATTATGCTGTCAGTGAGTTGTCAAATCACCGTGATACGTATCAGAGATTTTCTATCGATAGTGATTGGTCAGAATATCGTGACACGGATCATGCGAGACTCACAGAAACAGAGAGCTGTCATGCAATGGGTCAAAGAGGGTTTATATGTAGTGAGCATTTTGGTAGTAAGATTAATGGCAAATTTGTTGGTAATGAATTGTCGATGTGAAAAGATTTTCGATTTGTCCAAAATATGCGAAAACACAGAAAGAAATGGCCTCTTTTTCCATTCTTTAAGGAGTTATCAATATAATCCCCCACCACCCAAACCATAGTAATTAATTAACCACAGTAATTAACAGTACATGTAGCTAAAGACGTTTCGGTCCAGCCGGCATGGATGCAGTTGTCCAATAGTATGAGATGACTGAAATCCCGGTAAACCAGTCCATCTTGTACTAAACATGCTGTTTGTAATCAGAACCGAGCGGTGAATCTGTTCTCGGACTACTTCTGTCAGATGTAGGCCTTTCTCACGTGTACAACACGTGTACAATACATAGATTACTTTTCCTACAGCTAATACACGTCGGTATAGTTGTATACCACTATAACACACCTCGTTTAATGGTGGTTAATAACTACTCTTAAAGATTTCGGGCGGGGGGCAGGCTCTAATTGATGGGGAATACTTATGGAATATTTGCACGGGTTTTTCCGTGAGCAGACATATCTAAATCCCCACGAGAGATTTTGCCAGGTCGGTGTACACTAAGCTTGCCAAACACTTATATGAGGGTTGGGATTGACATTCAAGACGAATCTGACTCAGTGATGTGATCATATATTCTGTATCACAATCTCATTCAATTCGAAATCTGCTTTCAATAAAAGATTTTCCGCAAAATTCCGATTGGTGGACAAGACCTTGACATTAAGCGTTAGTGGAAGGTTAAGATAGATATAACATGGAATTTAATGGAGATTGGCGATATTGAGATTGATACTGAAAACATCGCGAATGTGTTTTCTTCAGACCGGCTTACTTATTCAATTATCATTAGAACCAACAGGATGTATCAGCATACAGTTCTCATAACACGCATTAAATAGCATGTTTCAACAATTCGATCTTATGTATCTTTCTTTCTTACTATTGTAGTCTGTAAACGTACAAATGTTCTGTATTTCACTTAGATAAAACAATTCAATGATGATGAATGCGTCTCGCTTCAGCTTGTCTAGAACAGGCGCCCGGCCACCATCTATAACGTATGTTAATACATAAGCAAATTGTTGATATAGAGTATTTAGCTGTAATTCTATCAAATTTCGCCTTTCACCACGGCGTCAAGGATTTGATTGCCGGTACGGACGTGAAAAGGTATGGAGTCACCTGCCCGACCACACAGGTTGTCTCCCGGTACAGTCGGTTTCTTCCAACATTAAGACCTCTTGCGCACTTCCATCTCGTAATCCGAGCCAACAAGAGTGAACATGCTTAATTGTTTCCCAATTGTTGTAAAATGAATGATATTTATGTATGATAAAAACCTAAATATTGTACAAAAATTACTTTTGATGAAATGATGTTATTATTATTTCTCATTTTACAACGGGACATGAAAAGAAAAGCTTTATAAAAACCCTGCCACCAGACAAATCCCATATATTACTCGAATATCAGTAATTTGTGTACACAGACGGCACATGTGTTACCACTACTGTCGTCCCACGCAGGGAAGTAAACGATACCACATCTTAACTCGATCCTTTCTGTATGCATTTCTCAGCACGTGACAGCGCGCGGTCGCGTGCGGTATCTATACTCGCATCTATTGGTTATATATAGGTAAGGTATAGTTAACTTACAACACGATAAGATATTCTGAAACCACAGTGTACACAAATGTTTACGAACTTCTCTATAAACTGTACAAGTAAACATAAACAAAAGGTTGCCAAAAGTGTATGCCTATCAAAATAGATGCGCCATACTTCTGTAGCTCGCTGTAGACAGGGTAGAGTTTGGGATCTTGAAGCTTTGATAAATCCGAGGCCAAGTTTGCCTTTGCCTCCGTGTGAGAGAGGTTATGTTACATGTACCCTGTGTCTGGTATGGTACAGCACACGTACAAATTTGTTTGTGTTTACTGGCGAAACCTTGAACACGTGCACGAAGCTGTGTTAAGAAGATGCTATACACAATTTAAATGATATTGTATTGGTGATTATAGGCGAAATAACATCAAAGGAAGATCAGAAAGAAATATAATCACTTCGGAACTCTCCAGACTCTGACGACCAGGTTGTAGTCAACTTGGGAAAGATTAATCACTATGGCGACAGCTACACAGCTTGTGAGAATTGGCGACGAGTGTTTACAGGACAAAAACTATGACATGGCAATTAGTGCGTATTCGTCTGCTTTAAACATAGGTGTTCATTCAGGTCAGACGGAAGTACTTAAGAAAAGATCAAACTGTTATTTCCAAATCTGTAGTTATGATTGTGCCTATGATGATATTATTGAAGTGCAGAAGACTTCTCCGAAATGGATAGCTGGATATCGTTATGCAGCTAATTGTCTCAGTAATTTAGGAGATGTCGAAGGTGTATGTGAGCTATATACTAAAGGACTGGAGTTAAACAGTGGCAGCGTAGACCTTAAAAACGGCCTTGCTGAAGCTAAAACCAAAATGGCGAGGGAAAATACAGAGGCGACGAGCAACAATCCATTAAGCATTTACAAGCTGGATTATTATCCTGGAGATGATGTTCGCCTCAAAGAAGAAAAAGAAAAACGCGATTCTATAGACAATGTTAAAATCCAGACGGAAGGACGTCACACGAAAGACCAATCTGTACTGGAACTTGTGCGAGAGTCCTGGAAACATCAACAAAACGGGGAGCTCCAGAAAGCATCACAGAGTTTACAAACAGCAGTAACGGTGAAACCGGATGTGACGTATTTGCGACAGGTACTTGGTGAAATATACTTTCGTCTAGACAGGTACGAAGATGCCTTTAGATGTTTGAACGCTATACCGAGCAGTATGAGATCTTTTGACACCTGGATAATTGGAGGTTTGTAAGGATACAAAGTTCTTTTTTTTTGCAAGTGCAATAAAGTAATGTTCAGATGGAAGGTTGACGGAGCTTAGTTTCTTTCAATAAAAATTATGCGATTCATCATTCTTGTCATTATATATATATGCAGTATTTGTAGATATTTGAGTTTAGATTGTGATTATATTGATAATTGTAATTTCTTGATTTTGTCATATACAATAACATGTTGCATTAGACCTAAAGACAAAATGTTGTTTCCCCCCCCACCTCCCCCCCCCCACCCCGGTCCCAAAAAACAAACAAAAAACAAAAAAAAACTGGCTATAATATAAATTGTCTAACTAATACTGGTTTGCTTCTCACATTGAAGATATTCATTGTTCAAGTCTGATCAGTGATATTAACTTTCCGTTTGGAAAATTTAAAAATATTTGTAAGATTTCAGTTTAACATTGAAATACACCACCTAATACATATTCTTAAGTATTGCGATTGCATTTCCGTAATGACTCTGTTCTTTTCTTAGGTCAAGTTCTACAGAAACTCGGACTTCCGGTTTCAGCAGAGATGTGGCTCCGTTATGCTGAGAAAGTTGGCGGTAAACGAGGAGAACGTGCTTCTATATTATTTCACGATGTCAGATCGAGGCGTTTATATCAAGACGTGACAACAGATAAACATGTTGAAGTCAGATTCAGAGAGAAGGGGCGTGCATTATTCGCCAAGCAAGATATTGGTAAAGGCAAATTAATTTTTAATGACAAACCTATTCTGCTAGCTCAAACAAATGATAGTTCAGGAATCCGAGCATGTAGCTTCTGCGCGAAAACCTTACAAACAGCTCAAGAATACTTTGGTAAAGACGTTTTAGAGAATAACAAAACACTAAAAGAAATTGTGGAGACACACTGGCCAAAATGTGACGTCATAAGTTGTTTACATTGCGACCGTGAATTTTACTGCAGTGACATTTGTCGCAAGTCTGCCTGGGAACAGCACCATCAGATTCTGTGTATCTCCGTTAACGAAAGCATGATGAAGCTTTATGACGTTTGTGACAAGTACAAGAAGCTGATTGAATCAAACCAGCGTATCTGGGAGGACATGTGGAATGCTGCGTTCAGTCCAATGCTTCTAGCCCGCCTGTGGGCAGCCATTGTTTGTGAAGTTAAACGACAGGCCAAGGGGCGGGGAGTCTCAGTTCCGGAAACACGTGACTGGATCAGAGCCAAACTCCCCTTCAGAAGGTAAAAGCATTTATGATTTTGGAAAAGGAATATCATTTATATTAGAAACGTATTAATGTTATGTACCAAATATGAATATACATACATGTATATAACGCTTTGACATAGGTTACGGCTTTACATGGCTTACATCTAAGCTTAATTGTAAATACAGACCTACATATTTAAAGATCGGTTTCAGTTAAATGTCAGCAGTATTTCGCTTTTTGTGATCGATCAGTCATTGTAAATTCTGATTTCGAAATCATGATAACGAAATTCTATCTTGAACATTCGATTGTATATTTACATAGACTTATCATATATTGATTTCGCATGAACTTAACAGCACTATTGTAGGTGTGGGTTTTTTTACTCTTTTTATTTCTTTATTTCATAATTTCACCAACGTGTAACTGTGATATCCTTTTACCCTGCTTGTGTTTGTTTTTTACTTATCAAAATCATCAAAGTAGACATAAACAAACAGATTTTTTTAAAAAATATGATCGTGTTTTAATTAATACTGCATTAAAGGGACATCACTTTTGTTATTGTATGTGTTTTACACATTTACGTTTCTGTGTTATCTCGATCTTTACAGTCGATTTCCAATGTCCATCTTGACCACATCTTAGGTTTGGGAAACGCCTCTAAAATTCAGCGCTGATAACGTCACGTGATAACTTAAAATCGAGACAGTCCGTTTTGTAAACACGAACACAAGATGGCAGGCAGAGATGACAGCGACAAAGTAATCTAAATCCCTTTATCGACACCAGATGTCGCTATGGGCGTGGCAAATGTTATTTGATAATCTTAAGTCAATTCAAAATTACGAAATAAGTAACATAAATCACAAAAACCATTATCGCAACCGATTCAGGCGGGTAGTCATGTTTGTTTACAGGCGACGATGTATGTGCGCATGCGTTATCATATACGACGCAAATATTTACATATCCAGATTGTTGATCAACAGATAATGATTTCCTTTAATAATTATTAATAAACCTCTTCCTGTGCATATTTCATCGAAAACCAACTGCCTGCGTTCATAACGTGAAACACTTGATATATACATATAATTTTAAAAAGTTTTACAAATTCCTTTTTGCCGTGATGTCGCTTGTTATACAGTCATAACAAGGTGAAAATGGGAAGCCTTGGTTTGAAGGTAGACCAATCTCATATGAAACAGCCTGTTTTGAACGTGTTTATTCTACATAGAGTAGTGTTTAATTGCTCTGATGATATTGCGGTTTTATTCATTGTATTGAAGCATGGACTTTTAAAACATCGACTTGAGGATAAGTCAATGCTCTGCCTCAAAACTGATTCAGGAAGGATAGAATATGTACAAATAAACTATTAACACGATAATGAGAAAAGGTGTAGGCGTTTTCTTCTTCCTCTATGATATCCGTTGTGTAAACATAGGAAAACCAAATAATGACAAAGTCTCAAAGTGTACTAACAAACACCGGATACTCTGAAAGTTTTAGATTAAGCAGTATTACCAGTTATACAAAGTAAGATAAGAACAAACGAAATGATAAAATATAAACATAACAGAACGTGTCCTTGAATCGAAATTTTATTATCGACAAATTAATTATTTAATTATTCTCTGAGAGCTGGTTTCCTTTGTATTCAAAAGAAATATTTCCTTTTAAGATAAGGCATTCGTTATCTATTATTCTTTCTTAAACCCATTTTCTGCTATTCCTTCTTAAGCCCTGTATCTACTATTCGTTCATAAGCCCAGTATTTATTATTCTTTCGTAAGCCCATTATCTAGTATTCGTTCTTAAACCAATTTTCTGCTATTCATTCTTAAGCCTAGTTTCTACTATTCGTTCTTTAGCCCAGTATCTACCATTCTTTGTTAAGACCAGTATCTATTATTCTTTCTTTAGCACAATATTGAATTTTGTTTTCTTATCTCTTTTGCAGCAATGGTAATCTGAAGCTTTTAACTATTTAATGAACTCATTAAATGTTTTTGTTTCGTTTTTTTTAATTTTCAGGTTTTATTTCAGTTTTGCACTACGGAGGTTAGTTCCGAAATTATCCGGCGTTGTCGGTATAGTTCCTTGTGACGTAACGACCCTCAGCATGCTCCAATACCAGCGAGAGGTGATGAACATCTGAAACATCGCTTTAGCTGAGTTATCACCCTTGGTTGTTCAAGTTATCACCATTGATTTACTAAGTTATCGCCCTTGATTTATAAAGTTATTGTCCTTTATTTATAAAGTTATCACCCTTGATTTATAAAGTTATCGCCCTTGATTTATAAAGTTATTGGATATCACACTGTGTGCTATCTTCTGAATTGTGACTACGGTATTGTACATGACAGAATAGTAGCATTGTTCAGAACATACACGTGTCTGTCCTACTGATATTATGAGTAATATGAAAATTCCGAATGTACTGACATTTTGGGCTAGTGCCCTCCTCATCTACATTTGAACATTTCTGTTGACCACTTTGGATTTTTCTCAGTCGCCTCGTATCACTAACATTTAAGCCCTTAGCTTCATTAACGATCCCTGCGAAACAAAACAGCTGTATGATACAGTTTAATTCATTGTTTTGCTTTACTGTATCTTGTCAAAGTTTGTATCAAATAGTGCTATTTGCTTGTGTTTCTGTTATATCCTGTATATAATGAAACGCTTGTCCATTTTTTCTCTTTTTTTCACCATGTATAATCTTTTTTGTCTGCCTTTATAAAGAGTTAAAATTGATTCTAAAAATAAAAATAAATAAATAAATACAAGTTATAATTTTTGCCCCATTGTAAATTGTTACGAATGTTTCTCCTTCTCAGTACTGAATTGACAATTTACCCTTACATACGTTATCTATAAGTATACTGGTGTGATGTAGTTCATTTGCATTAAATTGAACACATTCGGAAGAATAACACACTAAATATTTTCTATATTTTGTCACAAAAATCTCAACTTACTATCTGCTTTGACAAATCAGTGCATGTACATTCTCTGTTAGTTAATCCTAGAAAATAGTCGTAGCTAGCTTAACACCGTTGTAGAAAGTAGCACGAAACGTAACATTATCATACAGTGATGGATTTTGTTACATGTTTCTAATATAATTTTCCTTTCTCGATCAGATACATCGCATTTGCCCAATGTAGCTATGCACAAATGGTGCCAAATATGGTGAAGATCATGCGAGAGATATTTAGCAATGCCGGCACTGGTGTTGTTATGGAGATATCAGAGAAAGAATTCGATTGCCGATACTTCCAAATAGCTTGTAATGTTCAAGCGTTCTCCGATCCGAATCCTCCATTCGTTATTTTCAAGAGAAATGCCAAATCTGCTGGTTTAGAGGTTACACAGTTCATGACCAAAGATGAAAAATTTGCTACTTTTGGCGGGCTTTTCTGCCTTCATGCAAGCATGAATCACTCTTGCGATAATAACGCAGACGTGCACGACGGAGCAGCTGGTGACAATCCCGGAGTTCACGTGATAGCAAACAGAGCAATCAAACGAGGTGAAGAAATCAACATCACTTATATTGACACTACAATGGCGCGCCAAAATCGACGAGCATGGCTGATCCGGTCCTACAACTTTTGGTGCTTGTGTCCACGATGTCGATTTGAGGGCGATGACAGTGGGGTTTGTACGAACTGTAACAAAGCGGCGACAAAAGATAAGCCATTTCTAGGGTGTGGAAAGTGTCGCAGTGCTTGGTATTGTTCTCCTCAATGTCAGAAATCTGCCTGGAAGCGGGGACACAAAACTATATGCCGTAAGTACAATCTCACTGTCTGCTCTATATGGCGATTATGTTTCGTACTCAAATAATACTCGACAACATTTGAAATATCAGTTTATAACAACAGTGATTTACAGGAGAGGAACAAACAATGTGGACAATAAGTAGCTGTTATGAGTGTTTTAAGAAATAAAATAAGACAATAGATAATATTTTAAAGTACAGATTAATTTTATTTTCTTGCTAATTTTTCTCAAATATATCTTTAACATACATTGTGTCTCATCTGCATTACCTTTGTCAATAATGCCAAGAATCCTTTTAACCACACACTAAGCAATTATACTGTAGCCTACTGATGAGAAATACGGTTCAGTTAAATTGCATGTGTGAAATATGTGATAACATAGATTAAGGGATGTTTTAATGACTTATTTAAATGTGAGTAATACAAATATAACGATACACGATATCGACAAAAGGACAGCTGAATGTTGTCGTTATCTGGTTATGATAACGCCACTCAATTGACAGTATATAGACTGGACAAATCAGTCCTCTGTTAATTTGGCATAACACCTGATCTTATACTCCTTGTACTTTCTCAGGCGCCAATGTGTAAATATATTTTTGTTCTTATTTTGCCCTTGTTTCATCTCATTTGAATTCGAATTTAGACTCTATTGACAAGACGACGAAATGTTAATGGATTGTTTTGTTCTTGTTTTCAGGTAAGCGATGATCAAGAGACAAGAGTGCCCCCCTCCCCACACACACGCACACCCTTAGTTCTATAACAGGCCCGAATTAGTAAAAGTGGGTTTGTTATTTTTCTATGTTTTGTTTTACTTTCATAACTGGAAATTATAATAACTCGTTCTGGAATTCTTAAGAAGTATCTAGCGACATCAGATATTTTTCAGTGATCACAAACTTCAAAATGGTCTTCGTATTTCTTAAAGTACAATATTTAAGTGCAAACCAATGAAGTATGTTTTACATAATACATTGTGATACGTAGGTTTATCAGTATAAATATGTTATTTATGTGTGGTTTGTTTGTATAAATGAAGTGTGCGACATAATGCATTGTGATACGTAGGTTTATCAGTATAAATATGTTATTTATGTGTAGTTTGTTTGTATCATCGATTAATGTACAGGCACCACCATTCAATTATATAAGGTAATTATTTAAATGTTTGAAGTCATTACCATACTATTCATTCACGGGAAAAAATATTTTATTTTAAATCTAAAGTAGCTGTCGTTATTGGTGTTATATACATTACAGTAAAATCTAAAGCTATTTTAACTAAATATTCATGAAAAAAATCAGTATTGTCGGATGGCACAGTAGTAATGCACTCGTTTCACCTAGCGGTCCGGGTCTCAGAATGAAAAAGTAAGAGGTCACCTGACCTAACACGTGGGTGTTCTCCTAATACTTCGGCGTCCTCTCATATTAACACCCCGTAAGCTCTTAAGGTGTACAGTAATTGGTGTCAAATTTGCTAGGGGTCAGTACCTAATTCGAGTGACTAAGATATATATCGGTACACTTACCCCATGAATACATACCATCATGATCTGTTAATTTATCATTCTTTTAACTATATGTACAATACAATGTGTATATGATTTTGAATCCATTATGAAAATCCGTTGTCATCAAACTACTAAATGTTATGATTGTTTCTTTATTATCATAGGACAACGAGTTGTATTTAAATTGCAATCAATTTTATGATTTACTTCTCTGTAATTGAAAACTGTTTTGATATTCTATCCAATATGATTCATTGACAGTATTATAAAATAACATTCAGACTGCGACGCTGTACCGTCGAAAAAACAACAATATCCATTCACTGCTCAGAATTTTATTACGAGTTTGAATTTAACAATGGAATCCGAGATTTTAAGCCAATTTGCACAGGGATATATAATAGTAATCATCGAATCACAAGGAGAGACAATCTTCATGCGGAATCACTGATACAAAAGTAATCAAATAGTCCATTGGGGGTCAGCTTTCATGGCAGACACATTGTAATAGGTACTAAGCTGTCGCCGGTTTCTCAGTTGTCGTCGGGCTGCATATGAAACAACATACGTGCATAGAAATTACTCAATTATTCCTTCAATTGAATCAAATTGAATTTTTAAAAATCAGACGTTTGTTATGATGTTTATTTATAGTAAGTATACTACAGACCGGCTGATACATCATTAAAATTTACTTCTGTTTACAGCAGTGCTGAATCTCAGTTGTAAGATTTATGTCCAAAATCCACAAAACTTTTGAAAAACAACAACATAAGCTGGCGGTAAAACAAAAAGCATGATAACAAAAGAAAGTGTTTGGCTAGAACATAAATGGTTCCGAAACCATCACCGAAAATAAAATCCATAAATGGGCATTTCACTGCTGGATGATTGAAATCATTATGGTTACCATACAACTTGAATGAAAAAGAAGTCAAACTGCTTCGGTATAACATATATTCTCTGTCGTTACCGCAATACAAGAAACAAAAGAGTTATTTTGATGATGGTGAAAACTTTTGACACGTTTTACGTAAACATGTCCGTTTGTTTGTCTCGTATCATGTATTTAACATGTTTTACATGATGATATAATTTGTCCTTACCTGTATTTACCGCATGCACCCTCACTGAAAGAAGCTGACAAGTGACCGCTGCAATGAACAATTATTATACTAATACAGTTCTTTTTAAAGTTGTATCTTTTCCAGTGTTTTCTCTTCTAATCTATCTCTCCGTCTATCTCCCCCTCCCTCCCAGTTATATGGAATATGAACTTTCCTCTTAAGAAACATTTACAATAATTTCATTTTTACATGTCAAATTCAAGATGACTGCCTATCGGCCATTTTTGTCTCTAATAAGATCTACGATCAAACGGCCAGAACGTCATGTGGGGACCAAATGAGAACTTATGAAACATGTATTCATAAAGGAAACGTTGTTATAATGTCAAGATTCCAATGACGCCAGATTGTTTACAACAGCCATGTGTAGCAACGGCTTACGTGTTCGTGTATTTGCGTGTTGTTCTATATTTTTGAGTATTTTGTGAGGTTTCAAATGTAAGGATAATGCTAGCTTTAGTACAATGCCAAACGCAAATGCATTTCAAGCATGGACCAACGTATATGCGCCAAAATGTTCCACTGAATTTTACATGGTGGTTGAATCGAACATTATGGGCTGTAATGGTGTGTGAGGAATTGTCCTTGAAATATACCGTATTTCTGGAGATGATTACATGTATGTTTTTTGCAACTAGAATAATAGCATAGAAGTGAAAGGAAAACGGGTGTACTTCTGTAATGCCGATTCTCGCTTGGCGGTGTCTTCATATCAGTTGTTGTTCTATATCAAAACACATTAAAAAAAATTCCAGAATTTGGAACAGCATTAATACTACTTGGAAAAATGTGATGGCGCAAAAATTCTGTCTGGTATGTGTTATTTGATACTTGAATGGAATGTGCATTCAAAATAATGAACAACGATATGTGGGGGCAGTTATAAATTTCCAAAGTTACGAAGTAAATTTGTGCTTATTCAATGAAAAGATATCCCCTTACTTAAAATATGGCTGATTATGATAATAATAACTTATCTAAAAGGAATTACAACTGCTTCCACAAATATGTAAGGCTGTGCATTATTTCTAATCATATACCAAGACAAATGATAATCAGGTTGTGAACGGTGTTTCATTTTTATGCCACATGGACACTAGGGTGCAATGATCTATCAAACACCTCTTCAGATATAACGATAATTTGTTAAAGAACGCACGACGGACACAGGACGATTTGAGCAGTCACCCTTATGTTAATGATGGGATGAAAACTATCTGTTGAACAGGTTATATTTCTCTATGGATGAAACTATATATACCGACATCTGAATAGATTATAACCATCTTAATATCATCTGACTATCATAATCACTAAAGAGATCTAAAAGATGCGTGAAGTAAACAGAGACTTTGATTATTGAGTTATCTTGTCATGGAATTTCAAAGTTAGTGAAGATAAAAGGCAATCATATTTCAAGCTAATAGAGTAATTGTTTCGTCATTTTCAAGATCAAATTACTGACAATATGCGCTCTTATCGAAAAAATGTTATGTTTTTATTCAACAGATATTGTTGAAATGAATTTTGACACTCTGATTTTTATAATAATCATTGAAAGTGGTTATTTTTTGAACATGGATATTTATGCTATCACGGATTTAAATTCGAAATTAGTCCGACACGTCACGTACCATATCATTACGGACTAGTAAATATATAACCTCTATGTAGGCTACAACAGATACCTATATCAAAATTTACGGGTCTCCGAGTAACATTGTACCTACTTAGTCTGTAATTTGATAAAATCACTCATCCATTACAGTCCCCATTCCACCCTCGTGCCTACGACTCAATAAACGCTAAGGGGACGTAACCCATGACATCCCGTAGAAATAGCTGCATATTACCACCAAGGGAAATGAATGCGTGGCAAGAAACGGCATGACGTAATGGGACACATCAAGATTTGAGTATAAGAATGATAAACTATCAACATGAATTGATGTACTTATATTTCTATTGATTAGTATCTAAACATTTAAAGTTGTTGATATCATTAAGATGAGGATAAGAAAAAAAATCAATAATGCATTTAAGTTACTTTTAAGAGATATACGATGAAAGACATCACTGATAAATGCTTACAGCTGTTTGCAAACATAATTTGACCAATTTCGAAAAGTGTTTTCAACTTCCACTTAAAGAAAAAGAAATAATGATATATTTTTCAGTACATTTTGGTAACTAACTATTGTTAATGCCAAGACATGTGCTTTGTTGTAAGAAACGGTTACAAGTTCTAAAGGGAAATATTTTTGGACAAGGCGAAATTTCATATATATAGTTTATAGAATATTTTCACAATTTTAAAACAAACATTGTCTAACTTGACACTGAATCTATATAATAAAAGAGATGCAAAAATCGAAATATATTGATGGAATTGAAACTTATTTTTGGATGAACGTACTCGCATTCGGCCACACAGGAGCTGTCGTACGTCCTACCCGCAACACAGACTGGTCTGTAAATCGCAGGACACGGACAGGGCGGCGATGTTTCCTGGGCAGGAACTAGAATAAAATTCCTAAATGTATGCGTGTCACATAATTGCCTTTCTATACAAAGAAAAGATTAGTGTCGACGAACTTTTTTTTTTTACATCAGGAGGTCAGGAGTTGATTTTGAAATATTAGTAACGGCACATACACATGCAGATTATACATTATGACGTCACTATTTTATACATATAAACCTCTCCAGATAATGAGTCAAGCGCTCGAGAAAATATATAAAACAATATTGTTCATGTCCTAAATGTACATTCGTGCTAATAGACCTCGGAACTCACTTCATATCTTATATATGTGTATACCATTATTATTTCTTTTATAGTGTGAAGAGTTGTACAAAAAGAACATACATTGACATTACAGAAAGTAATAGTGCGTTTGTACACAAATATACACATAAGAAGCATTTAAATTAATATAAAGTAAACAGTAGACACAGAGTTTACGTACGTATATTGTATACATACACCAACTCCTATAGTTAAGAATATAACCGCGTGAAGTAAGCGTTTTCCATATGGAACGATATAATATAAAGAAAAGTTATATAGTAAACACATATACATACAAGAATCATTTCAATTACATACAAAGTAAACAATAGACACAGAGTTTACGTACGTATATTGTATACATACAACAACTCCTGTAGTTAAGAATATAAACGCGTGAAGTAAGCGTTTTCCATATGAAACGATATAATATATTGAAAACTTATATAGTAAACACATTGCGTAGAAGAATCATTTCAATTACATACAAAATGAACAATAGACACAGAGTTTACATGCGTATATTGTATACATACACCAACTCCTAAAGTAAAGAAAATAAACGCACCAAGTACAATATCAAGATATATATATATATATATATATATATATATATATATATATATATGATATTGTATGAAGTAATGAAAAAAAATCTTAATTTTCTTCGTAAAAAAATCATTTCGGGTATTTTTTCCCAGTTAAACCCAATAAATGTGCATATTACAACCATAGGATTTAAGACGTGAACATTTCATATTGAAGTCAAAATGACCAAACATTACAATTATATAGCATGATAATGTTGTAGGATTCTGATGATGAAAATTATTGAGTTTATTCTAAAATCCTCTAGTTCAAATGGGGATATATCGTAGTCGATAATTCCCCCGATAAGAACATGTATTAGTTGATAATTTGACAATTCATTAAGGTAAACTACAAAATCCATATCTTTCACTGTGCTTAGTAAGCACCAGAGCTGGTCTCGTAAACTCGTGTTATCATTTCAATCAAAAAATATTAAATAGAATGCATAATATGAAATTAAAATAATTTGTATTAGAATGTATTTTAATGTGGAGAATTACGCGGCCACTGAGCGAGCTGTTTTCAAGCTATGAAGAGAATTGACAGGAATACATACCCTCAGTCATGACGCTACATAGCACCATACAAACGACGGCTAACTTGACAAACATGATGAGAGTCTCCGTGTCCTGGGATGTTTTCAGGGTTATTGTTGAGAAAGATAGACTGACTTGTTATGTTCAGACAATGCCAAGAGAAAAGAAACACTCATATTTATACATATTGTGTGATAATAAACTGCTGCCGTAAAATGAAATCTCAAGTGATACTAACTTTATGTTAAGTTTCATTTATGTTTTGAATTGGGGACATTAAAATATCCGTGAAAGTTTGTGCTGGTGGCGATAGATTTTTTTATTTAGTTACGTAGCGTCAGGGCATGATAAAGCACTTGTGAATGTATTTATTGGAGTGATACTTTGTTCCACAAGGAAGAAAAAATACTATCATAAATCTAACCAAACATTTAAAAATGTTTCAAGAGTATATAAAGCCATAAATATTTTAAAAATAAAACAAATTTTAACATTATCAACAGAATCATTGCTCAAACTCTGAATTCAATCAGATTAGGGCAAAATTTACACACAAAAACTTCAGATTTACACGAAGACTCCTGAGAAGGGGGCAAGGAGTATAACACCAAAATCTTCGGAAAAGCAACCGCTTTTTCCTTTATCGACGGTTCCCACTTTGTAAATCTTGGTCGATGCATCTCTTGCAAACATATTTACAGAACAAATAACCAACGAGATTAGTTTTAACGTCAAATACACTCAAACAAAACACTTGGTTATTGCGAGCTATCATTATAACAGGTATCATCATAAAATTAATAGAATTAAATCAAAACTATTTGGTAAAAAAACGTTGATGTGGCAATATTTTCATTCTTAAAGGCCTGCATTATGTGAAGGATATAGGAATGAAGCTATGTGAGAATTTCTATGAACGCAATTTGTGTTTAACTTAGGTCAGATCCACGTTAATTTCCAATATACACAGCAGAGTGCAAGCTGCTTACTGAATATTCAGCTAGAGAACAGTAATATTCTCTGCGGCGGACATCAATAAATGGAAAAACAGTTATTTTTCATGAAAGTGAAAAAACAAATTCTGAAATTTTACGCAGAATTGTCCACTCGTTTTTCCTCATGCCCTGTGTTTAACTGTAAAATATATATCGTGATGATAAATTGTATACGTGACTTTCATCACATGGACCGTTTCTGTAAGCATATACCTTGAAACCCCTCTAATGAACAACAATATACCAGCCAGTTCAACTAATATCAGTCACATACATATCGACACTTCCTTTACCTACATTGTATCGTCTATCCTATCATAATAACCAGAAAAAAGACACTTGATCCTGCAAGGATCTTGGATATCCATGTTGCTTTCATGTCAACAGATTCAAGTTCGATTCCATCCACATCCTCATTCATTTCTCAATTAGAATCTTGGTACCATGACTGCTTACCGAGCTAAGATGATTTACCATTCCATAGCGAAACAACGTCTGAATGTAGGCCTTGTATGCACAATGGTTTGTTGTTAACGAGTCCATTGTTCTCATCTGCAGCAGTGTTACTTCATTCAACTTTTTGATTATGTGTTTTTTCAGATCGACGTATTTCATCCATTCTGGCAGATAATAAGATTGTGTAAATAAAATAGATACAGAAATGTCAAGTAATGGAGTTAACAGCTGTTTCGTCCTTTTAGGACTTGTCAGTGATGATAAGGGCCTATTTATTTAGAATCTGGACAGCGACTTAGTACAATTCAAAGTGTACTAGCCCTTAATTCAATCCATTTCCGTATTTTTCATATTTCTGATAATCTAAGAAGAACGTCAAGCACATTGAATAAATCAAAATGTGGCAAGAAATTTACGGCAAACTTCAATCGGGGGCTACACGTCCAACAGCGGTGTTTCATGGGGGCATCGTCACCGACCTCTGAAAACGCAATAACGTCTTGATAAGCAATATTCTTTACGTGTGTGTTTGGGGTAGTTTAAAAAAAGCTAGTTGTGAGGGCTGTGCTTCTCTCAAACAATCACTGTTTACCATACCTGTAATTTATCCTAACAGTCACGTGATATATAGACCATACATGTAATTTATCCTAACAATCACGTGATATATAGACCATACCTGTAATTTATCCTAACAGTCAGGTGATATATAGACCTTACCTGTAGTTTATCCTAACAGTCACGTGATATATAGACCATACCTGTAATTTATCCTAAAAATCACGTGATATATAGACCATACCTGTAATTTATCAGAACATGTTCGTTTAAAGCATAAAATGGAACCGTGGATATCTAATGAAATCTTAGAAAACATAAAACTGCGAGACAATTTTAGAAAGCTTTCAAAAAGAATGGAAAGGAAGATGACCTACGCATGTATAAGAAAATCAGAAATCATGTGCAAATACTATGCAAAAAAGCAAGGTCTAATTTTTTCAACAAGAAAATTTAAGAAAATATAAATAACCCTAAGGAATTGTGGAGACAATTCAAACAAATGGGCTATCAACAAAATACCAAATCAGGTTCTAGTATAGTTCTGAAAATAAATGATAAAACTTGCCATGTTGAAATAGCCAATCATTTGAATAATTACTTTTCAAATGTAGGTGCCAATTTAGTTAAGAAATTGCCCCAATGAAAGGGAAAATATGTTGCTTCGTTAGATACAGTAAAAAATTTCTATAGATCGAAAAGTTGTAACAAATTTAATTTTAAAACGTGTGGATGAAAACTTTGTTTATAAAGAGCTGTGTAAATTGAATATATCTAAATCTACGGGACTTGATTGTTTTCCGGCTAGATTTCTCAGAGACGCTGCCCCGTTTATTAGAATTCACCTCGCTTTTCTTTTTAATATGTCAATTTGAGAGGCTATTGTTCCAGATGAATTAAAAATGGCCAAAGTCAAACCAAATAAAGAAGATAGAATTAACGCCGAAAACTACAGACCTGTTAGTATTCTAAGTGTAGTATCAAAAATCCTTGAACGCGCTGTGTATAGCAAGTTAGAAACTTTCTTGGTAAGAATTAACTTATTTTATGAACTTCAGTCCGGTTTCAGAAGCAAATATTCTACTGACACATGTTTAATACATATGTTAGACCATATCAAATCTCAGTCTTCCAAAGGCTTGTTTACAGGTATGGTATTGCTCGACTTGCAAAAAGCCTTTGATACAGCTGACCACAATATTTTATGTGATAAGCTCTCTTTTCTTGGAGTGAAATCCCTGAAGTGGTTTATATCCTATCTCTTGGGACGGAAACAAATTGTAAATATTAATGAAGTAACATCCGAAACATGTAACATAAAAAGTGGGGTACCTCAGGGGAGTTTGTTAGGTCCTCTTCTATTCTTGATAGATGTCAATGATATGCAAGTCTGCATTGATTCTAACTGCATGTTGATGTATGCAGACGATTCTGCTATACTTTTTCCTATCTAAACCCAGCAGTAATATCACAAAAAAATGTCTTTGGTGTTTGAGTCCTGTCAAGAATGGTTAGTGGATAACAAGCTTTCTCTATATTTAGGTAAAACAGAAAGTATTATTTTGGCCCTAACAGAAAGTTGGATAAAATATGCAAATATTAGTTTTAAAATATTGTGCAATGATCATGACATTGAAGTTATGAAGTGCTATCAGGTGAAGAAATAATAGATTCAATTGTAAAAAAAAGAAATCAGTGACTTAAATTTCACTACAGAAATGAGCAATGTCTATCGTATAGGTCGAGAAAAACTTTTTGCTCGGCATTGATTCTATGTCATTTCGACTATGCGTGTGCTGGTTAGTATGAAGGGTTGTCAAAAAAACTAAAACATAATTTACAGGTAGCACAAAACAAAGTAATAAGATTTATTTTGAATGTTCAAAATAGGCACAGTATAAGATGCAGTGATTTTTTGCGTACAAACATGTTGAACATTAATTATAGGGTTAGTAAAATCAGACTGAATCATATGTTTACTGTTTTCCTTGAAAAGGCTCCAATCTATATGTATAATTCCTTTAACAAGAATATATGTCTACAAAATACTCGATCCTCGGCATATATTTTCAGTCTCCCATCAGTACAAGGTAAAGAATCTACAACATTCTACATTACAGGCGCAAAAGAATGGAATTCTCTTCCAGATTATATTAGAAGTATATCACACAAGCTCAACAAGTTCAAAACGCAAGTGAAACGTCACTTTCAAAACAAAATGCAAGAGAATCATGATAGTTGTTATGTATATTATTGAGGGAAATACATTTGTAAATCCATTTTAAGGACCCCAATGGAAATAAGCGTTTTAACGCTTTTTGGGAAATCCTAGGATATATGTACCTTTGTCTTTATTACTAATTATAACTAGCTGATACATTAAAGATATAGCTAACAACTTATTCCTGATTGTGTATAACATGTAATATGTGCCATATATTCATATGTTTGGTATACAGATCTGTACATATTTATCATGAATAAATTTATCTATCATTTATTATTATGTACAGATGCTGCAAGTGTGTTAGCAAATTAAACTTGGTAAAGTTCATGTTATCGTTGAAGTCTGAAAACGACTTGAAATACCAAAATACTAAATTTTCATTAATATATACCTTCTGACTAGATTAAGACAAAATACAGAATTAATTAATCAACCCATAATTAGATAAAACAACTTTATTAATAGAGCAAAATCAAATCAAGTTGTATATATTTTACAGGGCATTAAACTACGTCGACACATCTGTATCTCGTACAAGCTCTGACCGGTCTGATCAAAACAAGCGTTTCAGAGATGTAAATCGACTGAAAAAAGAAGGCGGTACTTCATGGTAGGCCAACTTTTAGACTATGTGTTATTCAAAACCTTTGCAACACTTAACTACTAAGAATAACAATGCGTTATATAAACGTCTAGTAAAGTTAGACATGCATGTCGCGGTAAGTGTCAGAGAAGACATGATAGATACGGGATAATGACCTGAAATTGAATGGTAACATGTCTAATTATGGATTGTCTGATGAGACTACTGTCAGTGACTACGCAGACATGTGCCCTATACAGCAGTTTGTGAAAAAAATTTGCATATCAGAACAGCTCGAGTAAAATCCATAATCCATTTTACACATTCGGGTAGATAGTGAAATAAATGTTTATTCGGGTTCAATTTCAGGATGTCAGTTCTATGCGATCATGATTCGTGCTATGTATTGTATCGTCGAGACATCGGTTTCGGACCGTTATATATTTCAGAACTGCCATTTTTTCGACGCATATCACATACAGTATTGACCTGCGTGACCCCGCACCAGGATAATTTTGGTTGTAGTAACATATCACGCCTCTAGAAAGAATAAAAAAAATAGTGATTAAAACCATTCACCATAAAATATTCTGTGTTATAATTCATTGGCAAAATTGTGTATTTTTTTTCTTATTACACTTTTTCCCATGTCAAATATACTCCCAGATATGATGTCATCTGACAAATGAATAAAAATTTGCCATGAATAATAGGCCACACAATCTTGCAATGGCTAAAAAAGTCAAAACATGCACGTCTTACATTGGAAAAGTGGTGTTATCTAAATCATCACTTTTGATGACTCAATTCTGATTTTAATTAACAACCGAATTGTAGATTGACCGATGAAAAATTAACTTCATGTAAATAGCTTGTATTCTAAAAGAGAAGTTTACCAAGAAATATGGTCCATTTGAGAAAAAAAACAATAAAAAAATAATTACTTGAATCTGACACTTCAGAAAAGGTTTACATGTCAACACAAATTATACACCATATTCACACCATTATTTTATTTGAATTTTTTATTTCATCAGAATGTCAATTCCATTCAAATGATGATTCTAAGTAATACATGTATACTTTTGGGTCACTGTAAGCTAGCTACAGCGTCTCTGAGATTCAGTGATGTCATCAGAAACAGAAACGCAGTCACATGTCTGATACACATGTTGATCATTTCAGGTGAACAAATTTGAGGTTGCATCTATGAATACCTTAAAGAAAAATACTGGTGTTTCACTGATCAGTATTTCAAAGAAATCTTGTAACATGAACATATTTTAATTAATTTATGTATTTGTTTGACATAGTGTAGCTAACGTGAAATGGTTCTTAAGGGGTCTGAAAATAATGTCAGGAATTCATATGTACCCTGTTTCACAGGAGAATGATAATTATAATACAGAACAATGTAGGTGACTATGGTCCGCTCCTGGTCTGTTATCATTAGTATTGGATATAAATGACGTGATGTTTTCACCAGAGTGGCATGTCTTGATGAACCGATTGATTTAATGGATGATGAATATACACAAGTGTTTTATGTGTACTCTGATCATGACCTAGTGATCATAGTCATCAGGTAATTAAGCTATTGATACAGTCCCATGTGTTATTTCTGGGCACATCCTGTGAATTAATTCAAAGGGGAAAGAAAATCATTTCTGTTCTTTCAAATATTTGATTTGGTTCAACTATATGGAATAAAATTTCTTATGAAGACCCATATCAATACTGCTTGAAGGGATTTGGAGTAAGTCTTCACAAATTCTATTGAAAAAAGATTGTAGTGAGGGACTAAGGGTTTTTAACCATACAAATCTATAGTAACCCCACATGTAGGTACATGAGCTGTTGTTTCTATATCAGTATTACTAGAGGGGCTGGATCAGTCCATCACCAGCAGAATAACACAGGACATACAGACTCAGCTACCAGGGTTTTCTAGTCCCCAACTGGTGAAGCTGAAGGGGACTAATTTTCTCTATTTTGGGGAAATTTCACTATGTTTTCAGTATATTTTCTGGATGGGGAATCTGTTTTTTATGTAGCAGGGAAAAACATATCATTTGGGGAATAAGTGGCCTTTCCCAGTAGTAAAATTTTGTCAGACGAATCCTGATAGTCCCCCATTTGTTACAATTTGTTTGTCCCCTGTTTGTTCTACTAGAGGGGGCATGAGGTTTTCTTGTTTATCCCTCTCCATTTTATAGAAGGGGGCTTAGGATTTCTATCTACTACTGTACTGTTACTGCAGGAGGGGGCTTGTAATTTGTATAGTTAGTTTCAAACTGATAAAGTTGGAGGGTGCTTCAGTACACCTGCTGTAGGTATAAATGCAAGTGTCAACAAACAATCCCTTTTCCCTTTCAACAAATTCTATTTACATTCTAACGTTCTCTCCAAGGATCAGAGCTGACAACTATGTACCTTTTATTATTGAGTTCATAAGGAAATGAATTAAAAAAAATTAATTCTGAAAGAAGATGGATAACTTTGTTACACGCACATGATACCTCAGCTGTATTTGTTGGATTTTCTCAACTGAATCCAGAACACCATTCCCAACATTTTAATGAATCCCAAAGAAAAATAATGAGTCAAGGACTCAAATATATTAGTCCCAAAGATCGATCTATACCACATATTTTAAATGTACCTGTATGTAAACAAATCAAACCCTCCATGAATGAAAAGGTCACACCTGTCTGAATTTTCAATTGTCTTTTTCAGTTACATTTAGCGGGATTCAGACAGAAGACGCTGAATCATGGGAATATACCTCAAGATAGTTCTATCCAGTTTATTTCTTGTGGTTGTGCAGCATCTCGCCAGGTTAATGTGAGTGTTAGAGTTATCTCCCTTTCTGTCTGTGATTGTTTCATTTGTACTGTAGTTAAATACATTCTGTATCATAACATGCTAAAAGATTCTGTAGTTAATCTGATTATGATTAAAAAGGAATTGGTTACAAAACTAGTTCCAATAAATTGATTTTTAAAGACAGGTCAGCTGCTTGGAATATTGGATAATGCTTTCTGTTACTTTGTGTACAAACCTACAGAGATTCAGATTAAAGTGCTATAGATATCTGACCTGTTGAGTCACTTGAATTTGATTGGTACTAATAAGTTCAAAGTGTAAGTGTCTTAACATCCATTGTGTAAATAGATGTAGGGAGCAATGTTGATAAAGATGAGACATGCGTTGTGTAAATAGATGTACGGGGTGATGTTGATAAAGATGAGACATCTGTTGTGTAAATGGATGTATAGGGCGATGTTGATAAAGATGAGATATCCATCGTGTAAATAGATGTATGGGGCGATGTTGATAAAGATGAGACATGCGTTGTGTAAATAGATGTACAGGGCAATGTTAATAAAGATGAGATATCCATCGTGTAAATAGATATACGGGGCGATGTTGATAAAGATGAGACATCCATTGTGTGTATACATCCAATAGTAATTTTGACAGGATATGTTACAGTATCAGTGTTGTCTGTCCATCTTTCTGTCATAAATCAGATCACAATATGACACGAAGTTGTTATCCATATGAGAAGCAGTTTGATTTGACTGTAATTGGAAGAGTTATCACCCTTTGTTTCATGATATTTATCTTGTTTAGAGATCCCCTTTCCCAGTTTTCAACTGATTTCTTTTCAAAATTAAAATGGTTTTAGTTTTCACTGAGGTATGCAATTGTGTTTTCCTAGATCTTTAGTGGAGCTAGAATTATGACTTATATTTTGTGTGATTGTGTTGTAGTTACACCTGTGGATTCCATAAACATGTTTATAATCATCAACCTGGTCCCTGTAAATACTTGGATGGAGTGGGTAAGTATTACAAACACATCACACATACATGGTATACAATCATATGTCTGGTCTATGGTAAACTTGCGAGAGATCTTGTTTGTACTGTGTAACAGATTTTTTAGGCTACACATAAATTTTGTCATTTGGTGTTAAAACGAGAATAACCAATTTTAGCCATGTCATAATTCTGCCATTGAAGTGTAGAAATTAAATGTATATGTTATGGCCCTTTCTAAAATAAAATTTCCCAGTTTGAACATTTGTCATGCAATTGAAAGGCGAAAACAGTGGAAATTAGACATGGGCGAAAAAGCATGCTATGTTGTATGGTGGCTCGCAAAGCTATCACATATACAGTGTGTATCAGCCCCCGGCTTCCAACTCTAAGATGAGGTGGCATGTTGTAATTGGTTTTGGTTCACTGAAAGATGTGGCTATCTTATGTAAAATTTGAATGAATGATTTGTTCAGAATTTCAAATTGTGTATAATTGAATAGAAGGGAACTTTTTTATATCAAAAATGTATACGATCATTTGTTAGCTAAGTTTTCAAATGGTTTTTCAATGCTATAAACGAGGTAGTTCACCTGGGAAATTCAAAGACAGTTTAATGGAGAACTGAAAATTTTTTATGTATATAAACGTGTTATATAAATGTATCTGCCTCTGCAGTATATCTAGTCTATGTAACTCTCACAGTTTCAGTCTATCATCACAGCCTTTGAACAAGCTGTTACTACTAATCTTAGGTTTCTGATTGGTGGAAGTATTCCCATGAATTATTAGTAACCTCTGGTGGCAGTCATTATCAACAATGCCGCCATTTTTCAAAACAGTGTCATGCATGCATTCTCTTGTTTAAATATTTTTAATGTCTTTCAGAGTTTGGGTCGGAGGACATTGCCACACTTCCCGATGGCAAGGCTTTCATTACCTCTGTAAGAATCATCCACAATTCTAGATACAATAATATTATTTAAGTCTTGAACCTTTAAATACAAGATTTCCATTTAAATGTTAATTGATTTACTCGTTAGATATATAAAAAAAAGGATAAAGAACATAACAACACAACAATAAATCTTATCTTATAAAACATTTAATGTAGATTAGATACAAAGGGGGTGGGGAGAGCTAAGATATAACCCTGGCGTCCCTTTCAGGTGAAAATGAGATGTAAAAATAACATATTACCTAAGGTACATCATTCTCATTGCACATTGTATTTTAAAAGTTGAATGATAAAGAGTTGTTTTTGTCTGTTTATGAAATATTTGTCTTGAATGGACATTATTCACAAAATTTCATACCATACAGCAGAATTCAGCCTGCTTTCTTCAGAGGGTGAATCCTGTTACTTCATAATTTGGGATGATAGGTCAAGGTCATCTGGGACCATTAACAAAATCTGTCCTAAGTATGGTTAATCAAAGGCAAACACATTTTGGTTGAAGCTGATAACAGCAAAGATGACGAAGATATTTTATATTAAATTTATTGAACCCATCCTTTTACTGGATGTTTGAGTTTAGTTCACCTGATCTGAATGGCTATGTGAGTTTATGTACAGGCACATTATCTGTCCCTTTGTCATCTGTCTGTTCATCCGATATCAATTTTTCCATTTGAATGACTACATTTCAATAAGCAGGAACCCAAAGTAATGATGTTTGGCTGACAGGTACCTTGGATAAGGTCAAAAAAAGTTTGCGAACAGAAATGACCTTGACCTACATTCATGGTCACTGGGGTTGACTTTGTTCAAACTTTAAATAGTTTCTACTACACAAGTTCTAGCAGCTTGATCTTTGGCAGGTAGGTCTTAGAGATGTAAAAGGACAAACTTTGTGAAAAGAAATGACTGTGAACCATATTCAAGAATATAGGGGTCAAGACATCTTCCTGGTAAGCTAGAAGTAGGAGAAGCAGAATACCTGGTGTTAAGGCATTTCCAGGTCAAAACCGGGCAAATGTTGTGGGGAAAAAAATGACACATTACCTTAAACCTAGTTCATAATTGCTTCTGTTTAGAAATGAGTGTTAGAAGTTAATGTTTGTTGTGGAAATGAACTAAAATTGATACAAAGTGATGTCTTTAAATGTTACACATGCTGAGGTATTTGTGATGAAAATTGATTCTATTTTTGATAAACATTACATGTGAGGTGAGCAATGCATGCGCAGGCCCATTGGGCCTCTTCTTTTATGAGAATTATTTGAATTTTTATGGTTTTATGCAAAGATTATTCCTTCCTCTTCAAGACATACTTTTGCTTCTCTCAGGGACTTTTAATGCCGTCTGCCTCATCACACTATCGGCAAAGGTATATAGACAGTGGCGTCAGAGGGCAGATATTTTTCTTCGATTTCAAGTCCCCAGGTTCAGGGGTCACATCACTCACAATACAAGGCAACTTCAACACTTCGGACTTTCACCCACATGGAATTGACTACTGGCTTGATGAAATATCAGGTTTGCATCATTTTTATTACAATAATTATGACGTTATTCATCCCCTAATAGTGAAACTGTGGGGAACTATAGTTTTCCTCTCCATCCATCTGTCCCAGCGTCCATCCGTCCACCCTTCCGTCCTTGTGAAAGTTTGTGAGTGATCTAGCAGCTTCATTTCTTGAGGGATTCTCATCAAATTTTGCATTTTATTAAGCATCATCTTTTTGACAAGTTTATTCAACTTCAAGGGCTATTGGGTCAAGGTCAGTGTTACTTTTTTTTTCAGAAAGTTGGTAAATCATTACAAGTAGAATAGTTTCTGGAGGCCAGTAGGGGACAAATATTACTTCAGCAATAAGCATTATGCTTGTTGAAATAAAAAAATTCCTCCCAAATAACTTTGAAGACCAAGGTTTGATTCCTGGTCGAGGCACTCAACGTGTGTATTATCCCTGTTCTTTAACACTAACACCACTGCTGTATTTTTTTCTGCAGGAAAAGTATATATCTTTGTGGTTAATCATCGCCAAAAAATGGATGCTGTGGAAAAATTTGAATTTGTTCCATCGGACAAAACACTCAAGCATGTACAATCCTATATAGACCATGCCATTCATTTGTAAGTATTTCATTCTTACTGGATCTGTATGGGCCTATATAAAGTCCTGTTTATCAAATCTGTAGGTGTTTAATCAACACATGTACCAACAATCTTAACTTCACTTCATTTTTCTTTTATTAAGATATTTATGATATTGTTAATGTTGTAATTTCATCATACCCTGCCTCCCAGACCGTATTATATTATATTGTATTATATTATATTGTATTATATTATATTATTATACTCCTGAATAAGGGCCTGCATGACTTGAGCGACATTATATGTGATGTTGATGCGCTTCCTAACCTTCCTGTCCAGCTTGTCCCACAAAAAAAAAATTGATTTGGGACAAATCTGGACTGTATGGTGGCCCATCAAGAACTTGCACATTGTTTTTAGTCAGAAAATCATGAGAAACTTTTGCAAATCCTCGCATTTTCCTGCTACAACTTAAGGTTACATTGATGGATAAGAGGAAGCACGTATGGTCTCAAGACCTGGTCCAGATATGTTACTGCTGTTTGGTTGCCATGGTAACCACGAGATCCTCTCCAAATCTGTCGCTTTTCACTACACAAGCATCAGATAGACTTGTTGTCGCCCATTTGACCTGAAAAGCATGAAGTGAGTCTTGTCAATAAAACAATAGGTGTCTCCAATAGGCCAAATGAAACTGATCAGGTGCATATGCAAGCAGCCCCTGAATTTGGTGTTGGCGTCCCCTTTGTGTAAGTGGCAGACCATCATAGGGACATCGTGGCCTTAAATGAAACTTCTGCAATCGATTCCTAACTGATCCTGGACACAATGGCCGACCATGAGTGCCGACAAAATGATGTGCTGTGTCTGTCACCATCTGATATCGGTTATGGAGGTGCAAGAGACATATGGCTCCATCTTTCCATCGCGATGTAACATGCAAGCTTCTGCTCTTGGGACGGTCACCCTATCTACCTGTAGCCCTGAGACGTCCAACTAAACGGGATATTGTTGTCTCATGTACACCATATTGCTGGGCTACATAACATTGCGAATGCCCCTGTATAATCATAACAATGGCCCTAACAACTTCACTCAATCCTGACATTTCTCTTTACAATATCTAAAAAAAAAAGTTGTGTAGGAGATTTGTACTGTTCCAATGATCAATTTTTAATGATTAACTTGCACATATTGGACAGGAGTACCCTGCTTTCTTAAAAAATCTGCTGAAAACATTCCATCATCGAGCGGGGTCACGGTTGGCTGAATTTTAAGATTCAAAGTGCATGGATGTAGCTCAGTGTCAAATTGAATTAAATTTCATCCAAGTGTCTAAAATACAAGACCAAACTTCCATTTCTTTTTTCCACTAGGATATATATGTATACATTTGCCGAGAGCTTGTTCATAGAAAATAGTTTTGAGTTAAAGTAGTATGCCAACAAATTTTCATCATGAGCATCATCCTTTTCAACAAAAGAATTTGTTTTTTAATTGTGACACATGTCGTCATCTGCTAGATGAAAAAATCATTGAATAATTTTGAAGGCAATAATAGTTATTGCAAACCATGTGGATTTAAATTCATGGTGATAAAGGGAGACAATCTGTTTTTTTATTTTTTTCCAGTATCAACGACGTTGCTGTGACGGGCGAGAACTCTTTCTATTTCACAAATTTTTTGAATTCCCGAGGCCCATTTTGGGGAATATTTGAGATATATTTGATGTTACCATTAGGGAGCATATCCTACTTTGACGGAAAGTATTATGAGACTGTCGAGGAAGGCTATTTAATGCCTAACGGACTGGCATTATCACAAGATCAAAGGTAAGTTCTACTACATATGGTACGATAAAGAGTTTTTATCTTTCTGAATAGTAGCTAGCACATTTATAAAAGTAAGTCTGAAGTTTGTGGACTTACAGTGGTTATATCAATGACTAAAGTATGCTTTTTGTATTGGTTATATAAATACAATAGCTGTTGAATACTATATAATACAGTTGTATATCCACTGTCTGGTCTTTAAACAGGGTACTGTTACTCTTGCTGTGACTGCAATTATGTCATAATTGACATACTATTTATTGTTATGTTCAGTAACATAATATACTTGGTACTCACCTTCTCGGATATCACAAGCAGCTGATACTCTACATTTTCTAAAACTTAAATGCTAATGTATATCACCCTTTATCAGAATTATAGAAAAATTCTTTACTTCAGAATAAATATTTCGCTTGCAGTAAGCCCAGAGTGCAATCACCTGACTTCTCACTCGAAGTGGGAGTGGGCTTATTACAGGACAATGAAATAGATTTCTTTTTAAAGTTCATTGTAAAATCCCACTTGATGTGTGCAGTTTTCTTGATTGTCAGAATCATTTTGTACACAAAAGTATTTGATGATTTATTTATAAACAATATCAATAAAAAAGGTATCTGCTGTATTTTTAGATGTTAGATCAGAGTCAATATTATCTAAAATTATTATGAAGTGTTTAAAAACGATAGCGAATAGTTAGTCGGGACACTACAAATCGGTTAAGACAGTGACCTGTTTGGAACATTTCAAAATATGTCAATCATTTAATTCGTCTTCACGTTGTATATCGTGATGTCTTTTTGTGTACTGGCGGAAGTAAGCATTACGATAAATAAATATAGGGGAATCAGTGGGGAAGTGAATGATAAAGCGTGACGTGTCTGATGTTAGGCAGATTTTTTATTGTATTTTTACTATGATTAAAGAGAAGAAGGTAATTAAGAGTCAATAAATGAGATGAAAACGAATTTTGAGAAGAATACTGTGTATTTTCGAACTTCATATCATTGGTCTGACAGGTTAGCTGAATAGTCTGAGATTTCTTGGGTTTTGCTTTTGACTGAATTTCTAAATCACTTAAGTAGAAGTGTATAGTAAGCATTTCCATACAAAAAATTCAAATTATGTAAGTGTGCGCGTTACATAGGTTTTTATGGTACATGTGGACCAGTATTTTGTTGGGTATTATACTTATGTGTTAAGATATTGAAACTAAAAATCAAGGAAATTGTTAACAGGACACTGGATGACATGCACTGTCATTTTCATCCAACGTAGAAGTTCTATACTCCAGTTTCCTGAACAGTACAGAACTTATAGACAGATTATATGTCAATTTGTGGCATTCTGAAGATAAATTATAACATTGCATACCGTTTTCTTAATCACAAAATTTTATCAACTTCAGATATGGGAAAAAGTTCTTTGATAAACCTTATCTTATCTCAGTTGCTTGATAAAAGGTCAAAGATTATGGGTTATAATATATTAAATGAAAATTTATTTTCTAAGTTTGGATTCAGGAATTGTTTTCACATTTACAGGTACTTATACATGGCCACTTCTGTGAATGGTGCAATTAAAGTGTTTAAGAGACAACCAAACACAGGGCAGCTCATATTTGTACAGGTAGGAATCATACAAGTACATGCAAATGTATATCCATACAAATAAAATTCATATACTTTTTAGTTTTAATTGTAAACAAATTTGATTTTCTAATTCCATAATAAACATGTACATGATCTGGATGGAATATCCTTTTTATGCTTCCGGAACGGAGAGCATATGGTCACCGCCTTGTCTGTCCATCCGTTCGTCCTTCTTTTTGTCCATCCATCTTAATTTTGTATGGAGCATAACACAAAAAACTATCAACATAAAATTTCATAGGTAGATAGACAGACCCCAACAAGGAGACATGCAGTGGACCAGAACCATCACTCTCTTTCGCATAATTTAGGAGTTATTGCCCTTTGTTTTTATTTTCATACTCAAAATTGTCTAGAGAAGTATCAAAACAAAACTTCATAGGTAGATTGATCATAACAAGGAGAAGTACAGTGCACAAGAACTATCACTCTCTTTTGCATAGTGTAGGAGTTATTGCCCTTTGTTAACTAGTCACTTTAATATTGTTTGGAGCATTACACTAAACTATAAGAGGTACCAACATGAAACTGTATATGGTAGAATAGATCTCAATGGGAAGGAGGGCAATGAAGAAGAATCATAACTCCCTGATTGCCTTTTGTTATTTTTCCTACTTAAATTTTGTCCCATTCCGTGTGCATAACCCATCTCTGACAGCCCTTGTTGTTGAATATTTGTAAATATGATATGTTGACCTTGCCATGTGTTGTGTATTTCCAGGAGGTGAAGCTGTATACTTCTCCTGATAACCCAACTATTGACCCCCTTACTGGACATTTATTGGTTGGGGCCCAGCCAATCATTATTAAGACTGCTCAGACATTGGAAGATCCTCGTAATCCAAGTCCTTCTCAGGTAACATAAGTTCAATTTTAACATATTCCATTACATATGTAATATATCACACATACGTTTTCAGTGGTAACAGGCGATTGTGAATTAAATATTGAGGTTTGCTCAAATGAATGATCCACGGACTCATTTCCTTTCTTGCACATGAAATTTGAAGTTAATATAAATTATTATACCTTGGTACTTTTCTTTCGTTGATTTGTATTGAATCATATATAGCCCACCCCCATCCCCCCTCATCCACCTCACCCCCCACACCCCCCCCCCCCCCACCTCGACCCCACCCTAGAAAGCCTAAATGTTCAGGGATGTAGATCTAGGAGAATGTTACCCTGATACATGATTTTGTTTGTAGGTTTTACACTTCGAAGTAAATGAGGGAACTCTGTCTAAAACCACAGAGCTGTACATCAATGATGGAAGTGTTCTCTACTCATCATCAGTAGCCTCCCTTTATGGAAATCAAATGCTGATCGGCACAATAAACCACAAACTACTACATTGTGAGGTGAGGACGCTGTGAAGCCGTCATCGATTCCAGGACCTGGTGCTTAGATTTTCATAAACATTGAAAAAAAAAATGTAGAATTTGTATTTCTAGGAACAAGAGAGTTTTTTAATAACATCAATTTTACATCAGTAAATGCAGTGATAAATCATATCAAGGGTTCAATTTTGTACATTTTTCAAAAAAAAAAATGATAAAAAAAATTTAATCACAAGGTAATAACAATGAAAAAAGGTATTTTGATTCAGGTATTGTTTCATTTAGATGCTTTGAGCACGTGCATATATAATTCTGTAAGTAATCATATTGAACTGACAGCGGGAGATTTTTTTATTGAAGTCCTTTAATCAGAATAAAACCTGTATATGACTCCCACAGAGGATACTGTTATACATCTGTTAGCTATACAACATTTATTCTGTAAATCTTTTCTTTTCTTATATTGATCTTAGAGATAACCATTTTTTACCTGTTGACTACATCTTCATGTTCTCATGTCTGTGGTTTAAAATGATTGCAGTTGTATCTTTGTGAAGATGATGAATATTACCTGTTCTGTCAAAAATTGCTCAGTGTTTTGTTAAAATGAAAATATAAGTGAAATTATAACCATATTTGGCATTACTACATTATACTTACACTGTAAGCTGTAATTATAAAGATTTAGATAAATTTACAGCATTTACATCCTTTCAAATGTGATGACAAGTTGACTCCATCAAAAATATTGAATTAAAAGCTGAAAAGATTTGGCAACAATTTAGTGCTAGACAGTACAGGTAGCTTACAGGCATTCTGTAGAGTGATTATTTATGAAACATGCACAGTGAGAAGAAATCATAGAAATAAAAACATTTTACACAATACTGTGCAAGAAGTTCATGTTCTAATGCACAAAATTGAAACATTTAGAGTCTAACATCTATTTTTCACTTACGTTACGTTTTTGACTTTAAAGAGCATGCTCTTCAATTAAATAATGTGTCTCACACTTTAAGCTAGTTTAGTATTTGCCCTGTGACTTTTTGGCAAAAAATTAGGTACTGGTAAGAAAACCTTTAGATAAAGTATGTAGTTTCCATGTATTAACGAAAGTACCAACCTTTATTAACCCAGTTGTGATTTTATAAACACTGTGATCCTGGCCTCATGTTGTATTGAGTAAATTATTCCTGTGATTTACATTGTATAGTAACAGTTCTAAAAACAATATACAGAAATACCTGTTTTATCTTATACTGAATTTGATACCAAATATTCTTTGAAATATGTTTTTGAAATGTGTTTCCAAACATTGTAGGATTTAATATATGCACATATCTAGAAAAAATGATAAGCTTTGTTTAAATGTTTGTAATTTTTTTTTAATAATTTTGTATTATTTTACACCTGCTTGAAAATTGACTCCAACACATTGTCTCCGTTCATGTGAACAAAGATGGGTTTTTTTCTCATGACAGATTTAATATATAGCCTGACGGTGTTCTTGTGGACATTATATCTTGTCCTACTGTATTGGTGACCTGTACTTGTCCTACTGTATTGGTGACCTGTACTTGTCCTACTGTATTGGTGACCTGTACTTGTCCTACTGTATTGGTGACCTGTACTTGTCCTACTGTATTGGAGACCTGTACTTTTCCTACTGTATTGGTGACCTGTACTTGTCCTACTGTATTGGTGACATGTACTTGTCCTACTGTATTGGTGACCTGTATTTGTCCTACTGCATTGGTGACCTGTACTTGTCTTACTGTATTGGTGACCTGTACTTGTCCTACTGTATTGGAGACCTGTACTTGTCCTACTGTATTGGTGACCTGTACTTGTCCTACTGTATTGGAGACCTGTACTTGTCCTACTGTATTGGTGACCTGTACTTGTCCTACTGTATTGGTGACATGTACTTGTCCTACTGTATTGGTGACCTGTACTTGTCCTACTGTATTGGTGACCTGTACTTGTCCTACTGTATTGGTGACCTGTACAAAAATTACTGTACCAACTTCTGCATATGCATAGCCTATAAGCAGCGTATGAGAAATAAGTTAGAAACATATGCAAGTTAGATTGTGTAAGTGAAGATATTGCTCGCCTTAATGCAGGTTTGTAATGATATGATAACATTAAAAAAGGATTTCAGTGTAATCTCATGTTAGTGATTCTGTTAATGTTAGTGACTCTGTTCATGTTAGTGACTCTGTTCATGTCAGTGACTCTGTCATGTTAGTGATTCTGTTTATGTTAGTGATTCTGTTAATGTTAGTGACTCTGTTCATGTTAGTGACTCTGTTCATGTCAGTGACTCTGTCATGTTAGTGACTCTGTTCATGTTAGTGACTGTTCATGTCAGTGACTCTGTCATGTTAGTGATTCTGTTTATGTTAGTGACTGTTCATGTCAGTGACTCTGTTCATGTTAGTGACTCTGTCATGTCAGTGACTCTGTCATGTCAGTGACTCTGTCATGTTAGTGATTCTGTTTATGTTAGTGACTGTTTATGTTAGTGACTCTGTCATGTTAGTGACTCTGTTCATGTTAGTGACTGTTCATGTCAGTGACTCTGTCATGTCAGTGACTCTGTCATGTTAGTGACTGTTCATGTTAGTGACTGTTCATGTTAGTGACTCTGTTCATGTTAGTGACTGTTCATGTTAGGGACTCTGTTCATTTTAGTGACTCTGTTCATGTTAGTGACTGTTCATATTAGTGACTGTTCATGTTAATGACTCTGTCATGTTAGTGACTCTGTTCATGTCAGTGACTGTCATGTTAGTGACTCTGTTCATGTCAGTGACTCTGTTCATGTTAGTGACTCTGTTCATGTTAGTAACTCTGTTCATGTTAGTGACTCTGTTCATGTTAGTGACTCTGTTCATGTTAGTGACTCTGTTCATGTTAGTAACTCTGTTCATGTTAGTGACTCTGTTCATGTCAGTGACTGTCATGTTAGTGACTCTGTTCATGTCAGTGACTCTGTTCATGTTAGTGACTCTGTTCATGTTAGTGGCTGTTCATATTAGTGGCTGTTCATGTTAGTGACTCTGTTCATGTTAGTGACTCTGTCATGTTAGTGACTCTGTTCATGTTAGTGACTGTTCATGTTAGTGACTCTGTCATGGCAGTGACTCTGTCATGTCAGTGACTCTGTCATGTTAGTGACTCTGTTTATGTTAGTGACTCTGTTCATGTTAGTGACTGTCATGTTAGTGACTCTGTCATGTTAATGAGTCTACATTGTAACTTATCAATAGTATTCTGTACTTTCTAAATCTAATTGCCATTTTCAAATTGGAGTAAATGGAAGCATGATTGAATGTACATGGCTCGAGATTTCAGTTGGAGTTAAGGATGAATGTGGCAGTAGATTATACATTATACAAATGTGCTGTATCCTAGAACATCTTAAGGTAAAGTTCTTTAATTTTTAAAAAAGAAATTTCTTCTGATTTAAAGTGATATCATACAATATTAAAGTGATATTAAAGTGATATCATACAATATTGAAGTGATATCATACAATATTAAAGTGATATCATACAATATTGAAGTGATATCATACAATATTAAAGTGATATCATACAATATTAAAGTGATATCATACAATATTGAAGTGATATACAATATTGAATTGATATTATACAATATTGAAGTGATATCATACAATATTGAAGTGATATCATACAATATTAAAGTGATATCATACAATATTAAAGTGATATCATACAATATTAAAGTGATATCATACAATATTAAAGTGATATCATACAATATTAAAGTGATATCATACAATATTAAAGTGATATCATACAATATTGAAGTGATATACAATATTGAATTGATATCATACAATATTGAAGTGATATCATACAATATTGAAGTGATATCATACAATATTAAAGTGATATCATACAATATTGAAGTGATATCATACAATATTAAAGTGATATCATACAATATTAAAGTGATATCATACAATATTAAAGTGATATCATACAATATTGAAGTGATATCATACAATATTGAAGTGATGTCATACAATATTGAAGTGATATACAATATTGAAGTGATGTCATACAATATTGAAGTGATATCATACAATATTGAAGTAACATCATACAATATTGAAGTGATGTCATACAATATTGAAGTGATGTCATACAATATTAAAGTGATATCATACAATATTGAAGTGATGTCATACAATATTGAAGTGATATACAATATTGAAGTGATGTCATACAATATTAAAGTGATATCATACAATATTGAAGTGATGTCATACAATATTGAAGTGATATACAATATTGAAGTAACATCATACAATATTGAAGTGATATCATACAATATTGAAGTGATGTCATACAATATTGAAGTGATATCATACAATATTGAAGTGATATCATACAATATTAAAGTGATATCATACAATATTGAAGTAACATCATACAATATTGAAGTGATGTCATACAATATTGAAGTGATGTCATACAATATTGAAGTGATATCATACAATATTGAAGTGATGTCATACAATATTGAAGTGATATACAATATTGAAGTGATATCATACAATATTAAAGTGATATCATACAATATTGAAGTGATGTCATACAATATTGAAGTGATATACAATATTGAAGTGATGTCATACAATATTGAAGTGATATCATACAATATTGAAGTGATGTCATACAATATTGAAGTGATATACAATATTGAAGTAACATCATACAATATTGAAGTGATATCATACAATATTGAAGTGATATCATACAATATTGAAGTGATGTCATACAATATTGAAGTGATATCATACAATATTAAAGTGATATCATACAATATTGAAGTGATGTCATACAATATTGAAGTAACATCATACAATATTAAAGTGATATCATACAATATTGAAGTGATATCATACAATATTGAAGTGATGTCATACAATATTGAAGTGATATACAATATTGAAGTGATATCATACAATATTGAAGTGATGTCATACAATATTAAAGTGATATTATACAATATTAAAGTGATATCATACAATATTTAAGTGATATCATACAATATTGAAGTGATGTGATACAATATTGAAGTGATATCATACAATATTGAAGTGGCATCATACGATATTGAAGTGACATCATACAATATTGAAGTAACATCATACAATATTGAAGTGATGTCATACAATATTGAAGTGATATCATACAATATTGAAGTGATGTCATACAATATTGAAGTGATATACAATATTGAAGTGATGTCATACAATATTTAAGTGATATCATACAATATTGAAGTGATATCATACAATATTGAAGTGATATACAATATTGAAGTGATGTCATACAATATTGAAGTGATATACAATATTGAATTGATATTATACAATATTAAAGTGACATCATACAATATTGAATTGATATTATACAATATTAAAGTGACATCATACAATATTGAATTGATATTATACAATATTAAAGTGATATCATACAATATTTAAGTGATATCATACAATATTTAAGTGATATCATACAATATTGAAGTGATGTTATACAATATTGAAGTGATATCATACAATATTGAAGTGGCATCATACGATATTGAAGTGACATCATACAATATTAAAGTAACATCATACAATATTGAAGTGATGTCATACAATATTGAAGTGATATCATACAATATTGAAGTGATGTCATACAATATTGAAGTGATGTCATACAATATTGAAGTGATGTCATACAATATTTAAGTGATATCATACAATATTGAAGTGATATCATACAATATTGAAGTGATATACAATATTGAAGTGATGTCATACAATATTGAAGTGATATACAATATTGAATTGATATTATACAATATTAAAGTGACATCATACAATATTGAATTGATATTATACAATATTAAAGTGACATCATACAATATTGAATTGATATTATACAATATTAAAGTGATATCATACAATATTTAAGTGATATCATACAATATTTAAGTGATATCATACAATATTGAAGTGATGTCATACAATATTGAAGTGATATCATACAATATTGAAGTGATCTACAATATTGAATTGATATTATACAATATTAAAGTGACATCATACAATATTGAATTGATATTATACAATATTAAAGTGACATCATACAATATTGAAGTGATAACATACAATATTGAAGTGATATCATACAATATTGAATTGATATTTTACAATATAGATATGCTTGTTTAGGTACTGTAATAAGTCTCCTGACAAAATGGAAGTGCTGTTTTTGTGAAGAGATGACTAAATTTGTCAGTAATTCACTAAATTGATATACAATGCACTGAGTTTATCAACTGTAAGATTTTATATAATCATTTAAATGTATTTTGAAAGTCTAGTTTAGCTTGGTAATCAAAATTTGATAGACCATGGAGTTAAATCATGTTTAGCTCACATCTGAGAGTATTTGACAGATTTCTAGAATCTTGCACTCCAGTTATAATATTCTATATTGAAAACCAAAGAAGTGAGGGTACAACTTCCTAACCCACCCACCCCTCCTCTCCCCTCCCTCCTACTCCTTTGGGAGGAAGGGGGAACCTTTATTTGAGGGTTTCTATAGTCACCAATAAATGATTTTTCTGTCATGATTTTTTTTTTTTTGCATAAATGAGCACATTCCTTACTTTAGCTTTATATCACACATGCTCACATGTTCAAATGCACATGAACTGCTTGTGTTAGTTCTCATGTTGGAGTGTCATGAGCTACTCGTATGCAGATTGAGGACAAATTTTGGTACGAGTACAACATATACATGTTACTAGAGTCCCTTGCTTATTATTTTCCTGTTTATTGGTATAAATTTAATGAGTAAACGAGTATACATGACAATTGCATTAGTTTTATGATTACCTGTGCAGTATTTGAATAAAAGTGACAGTATACACACAGTGAGGATTATTAAATGTTTTATGAATGACATCATTCCACAAATTTGTGTATCCATTAATTTTGTGCCAAGATCTTCTTATCATTACACCCATTATACATGTTGTGTTTTTTCCAATAAAAAGTATTTTTACTTTCTTGTTTGAATTTGATTGGTTTTATGTTTGAATACATTTTCTATGTCTTCAGAATTCCTGAACATTGTTTATGCCATGGTGCAGTGTCCCGCGTCCCTCAACTTTTTTCAAGAAATCAGTACCAGTCATGAATGTCTGAACAGATTTTTACCAAATTTGGTCTGAAGCATTCTTTGAGGAAGGGGAACTAACTCCATCCCCATCCCCCACCCCATGCTCCCTCCCCCTCTCTCTCTGTATGTGAGAGTGTTTATATAAGTTTGAGTGTTGTGTGTGTGTGCCACCATGTTAAAAAATGAATTGTATGTGCATGAATGGGAGTGTTTCAGAGATTTACGATGATGATGGTGATAATAATGATGTCATGGTGATGGTGATGATGGTAATGGGGAGGATGTGAGTGAGTGAATGTAAGTGCACTCGTGGTGTGTTATTATGTATATGTGGAAAATCTTTCTAAAAATAAATATAAGAAAAAAAAGTTTGTATAAATATTGGTTTTCAGTCTTCAGAGACTGTCTCACTAGATTAAAGGCACCAATGGAACTAGAGAAATTAGATTTGTTTTCTCTGAGATATGGCCAAGAGTGCATTAATGGGTTTTGAACCAACCCAAAAAAATTACGTTTGGTTAGGATCAGACCCACTGGTAGAATTGGAGAGTTTTACATTTGGTATGGTTCCGACAGACTATGACTGCAATCATGTTACAATATGGTTGTCATGACTGCCATACTGAACTTCTGACAAGGTAAAAAAATGACACTTTGTTGACTTCCTTTTTAAACCTACCCAAATTTTCAGCTCTATGTCATCATGGGAACTTGAGAATGGATTAAAATGGGCTTTCTTTTAAAGAATGTGGCCATATTGAATTTAAGACTGACCCGAAAAATTTTGGTCGGGATCGTCTCGGGATCCTTTCAGACAAGTTTTAAACTCAGGGGAAGTTTAAAATGTGAAAAATGTTTTTACAGCAGACACAGTACAACGACAGGCTAAACATTGTATCTACAGGTCAATCTGACCCTTCAGGTCAGATGACTACAAAATGTTCGAGGACTAATGGATGGACCATGACATAGGACAAGTTGAATAAATCACTATTTGATGACGGAGGGCTCAAAACCTTGAAAGATGAAAAAGTAAAGATGACAAGAAATCAGAATATTGGTTGTTTCAATACTTTAATGTCTACTTTGAAAAGTGTTAACAGAGCTTCTGTGCACACTCTATGTACATGTTGTAATATATATGAAAATTCTCTGAACATATCAACAAGAATTTGGGATACAAATGTAATTAGTCTTCTCTGACAGCAAGGAATTGAATGTACCAATCTGCTCATCATCTAAATAGAAACTGGACAGGTTTTTTACCACACAACAAGTGGCCTGTATTTTAAAAGGTGGAAACAGATTTAAGACATGTCAAAAGAAAGATCACTTTTAACATTCAAGTGGAATTACTTTTTGTCGCAACACCAATGATTTCAAAGCATTTAATATCAGATTAGACATGGGACAGATCATGATATTAATTTCACAAAGGATAGATTGATTCAACAGCATAGTGTACATACATTCAACTGACAGATTAACAAAAACTGAACTTTATCAAATTGATGTTTTGAAATTATGTTTTGACATCAGTAAGGGATCCATATATACATATTAAAATTCACATCATACTCATTTCATTCTGTAATCACTTTTATCAATATTGCACATCATGGCTTTAACAAAGGCATTGTTTGTTTCTAAATAGCATGTTAATTCAATGGTCAAACAAGTAGATCAATCTTTGCACTTTGATCACAAGATTATAATTTTCTAAAATTCTACATGTGTCACCAGATCTGACCTATTTTTTAAACTGTATGTTGGAAAGTTCCACTTCATCAAACAGAAATTTCATTATCCTTCAGCTCAGGAGAACACTCTGGCAATGACACATGTGGTGATAATATAACTGCATCGATAAACAACATCACTTTTTGAAGCAAATTTCTTAAATTCCTATTCCGTACTTTTTCACTTATATTCAGATAAAGTTGGCTGTAAAACCAAAAATATTCATGGTGCTCTATTTTCATGTCCTTTTTTTAAATTTCATTTTTGTAGACACTTGATTTCATCTTTAAGTAAATCTTATAATTTACATACACAGAGTTTTTGAACACATAAGTACAATCTTCTTGTGATACCTCTCGACAGTCTGCTTATCTATCTATCATCGTCTACAGCTACACAATATAGACCCAACTGGACAAGGGAGATAATTCTACTGTCCCTTCTATAGAGACTCCTTTCTCACTATACAGAACTTTCAGCATTCGGGAAGTACTTTTCACATATTTTACTGATTAAGGATGAACTTTTACCTCAACCATTATCAACCTATATTAATATGATTACACCTAGGAGAAGTAAAATTTATGAAAAATCCGCTTCTACTAAGCTGATTACCATAAACTGTTACCAGTACAAATTATTCAGGGATTCACCTTGATCAGTACACTTGGTTTCTGGTCATAACAACCCTGATGTAAACTACTAAGACAGTAATTCTAGCATCTTGTTTAATTTCCACTCTATAAGGAATGCAATCCACTAATGTAGCTCAATACTTTGTGGGTTTCCTAAAAACATTTAACAAGAATATCATCCTGAAATGTCTTTTATGCATCAATCAAATTTCATTTTTTTTTCCCAATGAAAACTGATATATGTCTGTCAATCATCTCCGCATTCCCCGCCCCCCACGTCCATTCATTGGAACCATGTTTCCACCATGACCTTGTTGCATGCCTCGACCTTGACCAGGAATTTGACCTTGTCCAGGAACTTGACCTTGTCCTGGTATGAAAGGTCGTGATGGTCTTTGATTCTGATAATTAGGGTTACCTGAAATAAAACACAAAATTTCAACAACACCACAAATACTACAGTTATAAAGAAATCAAGATCCTAACAAGAAATTAGACTTACACACGAAGAGCAAAAACAAGAGGCCAAAAGGGCCTTAACAATGATCCGAGTTCTACAGAAGCTGTTACAACGTGTACCATGGAAATTATCTTGCTTACAACCTATGATAACATGAACTACAGTACATAATACATGTAATGCAAATGGTTTCCAAGCATAAAGTATTTTCAATTAAAAGTATACAAATTACATTCAAAACTTTAAATTTCTTGTATATACTATATTTAATTTTACACCTCCTAACAATACTGGGAAAGTGTCTTAACAACAAACTTTGCAATTTACTCCTAAAAATTTCCTTCCTAGTTCACTTATTTTCTTCCCAAAATGACCACAACCCATGAAAAATAGCCCTTGGCTTTATACCTGTATGGTACATCAACTTGCTGTTTTTTTTGTTCAAAACTTTTGTCAAAGTGAATGAAAGTGAATAATGAGATCCATAAAAATGTTACATATACAACAGAAGCTGTTAAAACTTACCTCGACCACTTGGTGGTGTTTGGTTGTTTGGTGGTCCCCCTTGATTTGGGATAAGTCCTTTGTCACCACCTTCTGTAGGTGACTTTCTCTGACCAGGTGGCTGTCCTTCCTGATGAATAGAGAAAGTTTTACAAAACGTAATTAACAGAAAACTGTTTCCCCATCATCATGTAACAGATCAACAGGAACATCGAGATTAAGTAATCTTTCCTGTCTTTTCCCCAATTATGCATAAACAGATCTGGTCGCCAAATTCTGCATAAGCAGCTCTAGATGTGGTTTAGGTCCTTCTTGAAAGCTATGATCAGAATTTGATGAGTAATCAAATAAACAATTAATAGTTGACAAAATAACATGAGAAAACTACATTTTATCAAACAACCATTTAACAGGATTTCCTATAACCAGCAAAGTTCTGATGGAGTTCACAGCACTTACATATAAATTGTTATTGTTAAATATATGAAGTCCCATGTGAAGCAGAAGTGAACAAAAACAGGCAAAACCTTAGCTACAAAGCAGAGAATGCTAGGAAAATCTAAGGATCAGAATAGGAAGTCAGTATAACAGGCTTCAAACAATGAAAAAAACTGCATTAGGAATAAGGAAACACTCCCTGCTCAAGTAAATTGAAGGTGAAGAGTAAGCATGTGTTATAAAGGGGTTACTGAAGGAGAAATTATGATGATGAAATGACAAAGGTTTGAAATAAGTAGGCTGAAATAAGTTTGAGCTGTGATAACCTGCGTGCAAATTTCTTTAGATTGTCACATTTCACAGCAAGTGGGTGTTTAACTTTATCACTATTGTTGATACAAATTGATTCTGTCACCATAATGTGATTGCCTCGTTTTGGTATGACTTATAAATATTGTAACCGAGGTCATTTTTCATCTCAATGCCTCCGCTAGGAATCGAACCCGGGACCCCTGGCTTACTAGTCTGACGCTCAACCAATCGAGCTAAAGAGAAGTTCTCTCTAGCCGAATGGTATATTGCGGGTAATATTTTACCAGGGTTACAATACAGATACTATCGGCTTTATATTTAGAGGGGTTTCTCAAACAATTTAAGAGGTCAAACTTGACATTCAGGATTGACTATGGGTATTAAGATGACATTTAGGTATCATTGGAACTATAAATAACATGTCTTCCATTTCTAATATAAACAAGTTTTTATCATTATGTCCCTTTAAGCGCTTTATCTATTTTCCTGAACGACATCAAACTACTGAACTATTTTCCAGATCACCATCAAACTACCGAGCTATTTTTCTGATCACCATCAAACAACCGAGCTATTTTTCTGATCACCATCAAACAACCGAGCTATTTTCCTGATCGACATCAAACTACCGAGCTTTTTTCTGATCAACATCAAACTACTGACATATTTCTCTGATAAACTTCAAACTACTGAGCTATTTTCCTGATTAAAATTAAAGCTTCTAGCTGTTTTCCTAATCAATGTTAAATCTCTTTTGTTATCACTGTGATCCACCTAAATTATAATGGGAGTCATTAAGCAAATATAGAATGGTTGGAAGTTTTACATTAGAACAAAGTTGTCCATTTATGACTCAAATTTTGTAAATGGTTTTACCTTCTGTACAGCCTCTGGGATAGGTTCACTCATATTAGGGGTCTCTGAAAACTGCATACAAAACCTGTTGATTAAAGACAATACTTAACTTAATTAAGTATCCACATTTTCTGTAAACCATACTTTCTGATACATGTACACACAACATCAAACTTGGTATTTTGTATACCTTGTTGGATATCACACCTTGTAATTAAGACGAAAATCATTCTGCACCCAAGTGTAAAACCAGAATGTCGCATTTTGTTGCATAAGGTCACTAAGATGTAAGAAATTGAAGCTAGCTAGGTTTATAACCTCATGAACAGCCAGAGTCATTTGGAGGTAGAGTCTCCTTGTAACAGCTGGTGCCTACCTCAGTGAACAACATATGGAAGGCCCATTGCATGCCATTCAGAGCAATAAGGTTAAAGTGATACCCAAGGACACAGCCAACATAACACCGATCTGTTTCTAAGTTTTTTGTGAAATAAAACTGCAAAGAACCACAGCAGAGAGTGTCAAATTACGCACCTAGGATTTTCACCTGAGATGGTTACCTATGCTAATGATTAAATCGGGTAAAAGAAAAAGAGTATTTAATTATTTTCCATGACTTCTGTGTTCTTAATTATACAACTTACTCTCCAATTTTGATTATCTCTCCATTTTTTCCTGTATATAATGTCAAACAGCCTTTCCAAATATTGGCATATCTGAAAGTACAAAAAATATGATACATGATAACTTTCTGAGATGAAATATAACATAAGGTGAGAATAAAATACAAGTAATTAATATAAGAGTTTTGAGAAGAGTTTAGACCTGTGTTTTACAATGATTACAAAACATCACATATCAGTTTCCTTTAATCTAGGGATTTGTCTAGATAAATTTTACTACCAGGAAAGAGTAGTATTCTCCAAGTGGTATTTTTCTCCTAGGAAAATAAACAAATTCCTCACCAAGAAAATATACTGAAAACAAAGGGAAACTTTTCTCTAACCAGAGTTATTTAGTATATTTTCAAATTATGCCATTATGAAAAAGAAATATTAATACAACCCCAACTTTTCAATATTTTTTCATATACTCTTCATGAGTGCCAAATACTTTTTACCTTATCCTTCTTTTGAATTCTTACAAAAAGGGTTGTCCAAAATTTTCCATTTCTCAAAACTGGCCAAAATTTCCTCTTTTTCCAAAAGGCAGAATTCCCCAAATTCTAGGTTAACCAATAATCTGATAGAGGAATCAATTAAAGAAATTTTAATCAAACAGGTAATAGGCTTGTGAAGCATCCACTATATCATCTTCGAAGAAAATGTACCACAATGTGACTCAATGTCCTGAAAATACCACACTTCCAAACCATACCCTTTGGTCAGGCGACAGATATCCCCAGTCTGTAGAAGATCACCCGTCTCGTCCCATATGGAAATGTTGATACTGCCAGTCTTGTCTGCAACTTTACAGGAACGTACATCATGGCCATCTTTTGTTCTTGTTGGTTTTCCTTCATACAATGAAAAAATGAAAGATTTGTGAGAATTACAACAAAAACATCCTTTCGAAAAACATTCAGAAAATACCAACCTGGCAACATAATCATAATTCAAACTCAGATTCAATAAAACTAGGACAGAAACAACAAAATACCAACCTGGCAACATTATCATAATCCAAACTCACATTCAATAAAACTAGGACAGAAACAACAAAATACCAACCTGGCAACATAATCATAATTCAAACTCAGATTCAATAAAACTTGGGAAAAATATTAAAAGAAAGATTTACACACATGGACTCCTGAAAGAGTACAAGAATAAGACATGATGTTCTGAACGAGTGAATATTGCAATAATATAAATAACAGGCATCTGAAATTTCATTTCAACTGACATTCACCAATCCCTATACTGAGATCAGGTTTAACCATCCCTAGACTGAGATCACGTTTACCCATCCCTATACTGAGATTACGTTTACCAATCCCTATCACGTTTACCCATCCCTATACTGAGATCATGTTTACCCATCCCTACACAGATTACGTTTACCCATCCCTATACTGAGATCACGTTTACCCATCCCTATACTGAGATCACATTTACCCATCCCTATACGAGATCACGTTTACCCATCCCTACACTGAGATCACGTTTACCCATCCCTATACTGAGATCACGTTTATCCATCCCTACACTAAGATCACGTTTACCCATCCCTATACTGAGATTACGTTTACCCATCCCTACACTGAGATCACGTTTTTGGAGATATTGATTGTGTAGCCAGTTATTTACCCATCCCTACACTGAGATCACGTTTTTGGAGATATTGATTGTGTAGCCAGTTATTTTCACAGCAATTAATTTGTTTCTTTATTTCATGGTATATTAACCATTAATTATGAAAATTGAATCAGTGAAATAGTACATTAGGTATAATTTTACATCTACTTGCAGATCAAGACATTTTAGTTGCTTAAAATATAAATAGATCATTTTGAAAATTGTGAAAATTTTGACACATTAAAATTACAAGCTATATCCGTTATGTGATTTTAAGCAAAGAGAGGAGAAAGCACATATAGTTTGTATACATTCCTGTCTGGCATCAGCCAGCGATTAATCTCAGGTCTTAGCATGATCATTAAAAATTCAAAATGAAATAAATAGCATGCTACATCTAATCGGCTGGAGCATCATGATGGAGACCCAGGTTTGACTCCTGTGGAAGGACAGGGATGTGGTTTCCCTATTCCGTTTCATTGGTCACAAGTTGGATTCCACACTAAAGACCTAGGTTCCTTTACATTTCGTCTCAGGGAATCCAAAGGGATAGTGTTTTTCTTGTTGTGTAGCTGAATGTTCCAACAGAAATTGTGCCTGGACCTCTAACACATTACATCCATGACTCTACTGATCAGACAGAGAGAACCACAGAAACAACAGGGTGTGTGTAACTTCATGAATACCAAATCAAAGGTGAAATATCATATTGGTAACCAGAGTTGCAATATACTGTTTGGGGTAGTGAGCCAGTGGCCCTAAATTCATTTCCTATCGGAGGCAATGACATCGACAAGAGATCGCAAAGAGATCTACACATCCACGTGGAATATCCTGCATCTAAAAGACCTAACAAGAACTTTCTGAGAAACACTTAAATTGTCATAATCCAAGATGGTCTCCAGTCAAGCCATTTTGTTTTCTTGAAATGATACAAAATTTGGATCAGCTTAACTTGGGACTAAAGTGAACTGACATATTAAGTTAAAAAATACCAGTGCTTCTCAAGAAATAGCAATAACAATCTTCAAATGTTAAAATCCGAGATGGACACTTGTCCACCATTTTTTTTTCCTGATCAAATTTGAAATTGAATGGGCACATCTAGGGATCATATGGCATATGTATATACATATTAACTAATAAGGTTGAGAAATATTCATCCAGTACTTCTAAAGAAACAGTTAACAGTCAACTATCAAAGTTCAAGATGGCAGCCTGTCACCAAATCTGTTTTACTGATTGGACTCAAAGGCAAATAGGAACAATTTGCACTTAGGAAAAGAGAGGAACCTTCAATTAAGTTTGAGAAACATCTTTCTAATACTTCTTTATAAACAGAGATTACAAGGAAAATTAACCAATGCATGATGGATTAACCAGCGTAAAACTGCAATTAAAACAATCCATCATTTGACGAAGATTTACATCTGTTACAATGGCACCAGCGAAAGAACTCAAACTTAGTGCTTTGAAGTACTTTCCGAAGCATTGCTGTAACCCCTGGAATATCAAGGACAATATCCAAGGAAAATCTAGTGTGTAACCCTAGCCATAATATATTGCCAAGATAGAATGAGCTAGCTTGTAATTCCCATTGGTTTGAAAAAAAGTTCAGTTAAGTTGGAGGCCAAAGGTTCCATTCTTAACAAAGGTTTTGAAATAAATAATGACCTATATTACAAAAATATTTCCGAAATTACTGCAACATCACATCATCAAATCAGTGAAAGCCAATTAAAAATGCACGGTCTGTAGTTCCTGATTCATATCAGTGTATTATTGGTTTAAGATGAATGTTCGACTCGTGCGTTAAAACATATATGCAATATATATACGTTGACATGCATAATCAACAAAGATTATAAATCTCTTTTTCATTTTTGCTATATTTATGTTAGAGCATCACCCGGAACTTTCTATTGGGGTAAAAAAATCAAGTCGACACCGCCAATAATCAAGCTTATTTACCGATTTCCAGCACTATAAACATGAGGTTTACATTCTTGATTCCAGGACGCAGGTCCTTTATATGGTGATCAGACATCTCGGGAGAATGCACAGTAAATGCCAAACCCTAGCTCTGCTTCATCCTTTTAAATATTGCCTGTCGTTTTCCTGCAACGAACCACTTCTTTTTTCCAGAGATCGTGATATTGGAAGGCCCGACAGCTTTTCTTTTCTACTTCTACCGGTGTAAATTATTTTCTGTTACTTCATGACTTCCCCTGGTGTCTTATCTTTTAGCATATAATAAGGAAGGGTGTCGATTTGACTTTGCTTTAGAGAAAAATCTGGGAAGAAGACCAACACGGATGCGACGGATAGTCAACCTAGCCCTATCGCGTGTTTTGTACTGTCATCCGGGCATTGTGACAAGGGAAATAACTCGGAATTACATATGAAAAAAATAAACCAAGGACGTAAAACACATTTTTCTGCACAAATCACATTTTTTTCATTTACGTGTTTTGCGACGCACTGAAAGATTAAGAAATTATAAAAAAAATGGATTGAGAGAATGCACTATGTCGCTTTATTCATATATAAATAGGACTTGGATCGTGTTTACACTTAAATATATATAAGAAAGCCTGGTAGGGACTTTTTTTCAAGTATTTTAGAATTAATATGGAAATTATAATCAAACACCATACAGTATAACACTAACTTAGATATAGATCTATAGAACAGTATGTGATACTAGATTATTAGTTTCCTTTATTTAAGAACTTTGCTTTGCGTATATATAAAATATCCCTACATGCAAATTGGCACCCGAGAATTATTGTATTCCAACCATATTTCCTTTAACTTCATATTAATATCGTGTCTATTATTGTTGCCTATAAATGTTGATCATGTTAATTAGTAATTTTATTGATCAGTGAAAAAGTATATACTGTATTTTTTTCCTTTCCTGACACCTGAACTTCATGTATTTTGTGTTTATAACGAGTTACTGTTTATTGTATCTGCCTAAACTACTGAAGTAAATCATAAATATTTAAAACTGATTTTAATTCAGTATTCGAGGAATTTAAAAATCTCTTTCAAAACCTTCTTCAATTATTTATCATGCTATAAACAGATATTTCTGTAACATTGCTTTCAAGGTTGTTCTTCATCTTTCACTGCCGATTTACAAGAATATCATTGACCTAGTTATAACTTCGGATAAACTGACAATTTTCCACGTAAACATGAAGAAGTGTAGGTTAAGAAATTCTTAACTGGAAAATGCTGTGGAGGAATTTCATATATTTCACGTAGACACAGGTTCTGATGAATATAGAAAACTTGACATTTATTCACGTAGACACAGGTTCTGATGAAAAAACAAAACTTAATGGTTTTTATTCTCGTAGACACAGGTTCTGATGAAAAAACAAAACTAAATGGTTTTTATTCTCGTAGACACAGGTATACATTACAAAGGTATACATTCAGTAACACCCTGGCTTTACAATTGTATTGGAAGGATCAGTTGTAGACGAAATCTATGATGTGTGGAAAAATACTGCACAACTACTTAACGTAGATGTGTATAAGATGTGCATATCACCGTACGCTTTTCAACACTCAGCAGAGACACTAATATTTAAAGATGTATTTGTTTTTAATCAGAACTTTCTCACTGATCACTGTTATTATGCTTCAATAACATGGGTTAATGTTTTGTCATTGTTTGGCTATATTGTGCCTCCGATGCCTGTATTCACAAAACAATTCTCATGCTCAAGCATAGATTTTATGCTCAAGCAATCTTTTTTATAATTCACCTAAATCATATAAGATAATACAAATGTCAAATATAAACCTTGAATATGGCTTTGACTTGAAGTCCTTTCAAAATTTGTTTTAAATCTTTGGCAAAATCAGCCTTATTTATTCATTTTAAACTTAAACAAGGCATAAGGCTGGAGCACAAAATTCATGCTTGAGCATGAGAACGCTTTAATGAATACGGGCCGTACTAGTTAGGTCTCGTGCGATCAGTAAGTTGTTCTATAATTGGGGAAGTGGGAAGTTTAAATTGAAAAAAAATATCTAAAAAATGTAATTATTACCTTATAAACGTAACCTTAGTTTACAAGGTACTAATTACACCCCCACCCTTCCCCACTCTTTAGGTAAACGTCGTTCCGAAGGAGTAGTTATATAAAGGTTTATTCAGAACACGGATTGAGATTTAGATATGTGTCCCTGTACCAGAGACGTCTTTGCCTGTACAAAGCAACAGGACGTCTGTGATTAAATATTATTTTTTACAATTGATTGGTGGTATGATAACAGGATACCGAAATTTCACAGATGAAACTTTCGGTTTTTGTCATGAGTTCTTTCATATTTCGGAATTCATAAAATGGTGATGTAAACTCAGTAAATGTAACAACATAAGCTCGGTAAATGTACCGATGTAAACTCAGTAAATGTACCGATGTAAACTCAGTAAATGTACCGATGTAAACCCAGTAAATGTACCGATGTAAACTCAGTAAATGTACCGATGTAAACTAAGTAAATGTACCGATGTAAACTCACTAAATGTACCGATGTAAACCCAGTAAATGTACCGATGTAAACCCAGTTAATGAACCGATGTAAACTCAGTAAATGTACCGATGTAAACTCAGTAAATGTACCGATGTAAACCCAGTAAATGTATCGATGTAAACTCAGTAAATGTACCGATGTAAACTCAGTAAATGTACCGATGTAAACTCAGTAAATGTACCGATGTAAACTCAGTAAATGAACCGATGTAAACTCAGTAAATGAACCGATGTAAACTCAGTAAATGTACCGATGTAAACTCAGTAAATGTACCAATATAAACCCAGTAAATGTACCGATGTAAACCCAGTAAATGTACCGATATAAGCTCGGTAAATGTATTTATGATATAAATGAATATATTGACATTACATGTTGATCACGTGTCTTGTTGTTTTGTCCTGTATGTAAAACATTGTAAATTACTATTGTGTATGTATAGTTAATTTCGTAGGGGCACTCAGAGAGACAAAACTGATTGTTATCCGTAAGATATACCAGTGTATGTAGCCGCGAGCCCTTCCTACACCCCTTATGAACCTTCAGTAGAATGTCATACCTGAGTGACTCCCAATCACATCTACCTTCTCACGGAAACAAAGTACAGTCAGCTTAGTCCCAGAAGGAAAATTCTCCCCAAACCATCGTTTAACGTGTTTTCTTGATTTTTGGATGTGTGTGAACGTGAACAAGTTAGCTTGACTATAGTAGCATATACATTGTATAAATAGTGTTTTAATGCGTTTACTATTAACTCTGGGTTAGTTTAGGTAAACTCGTAATCGACTATTTTAAACTGTTTTCAGTTAAAGTACCAAACAAGTCTATAATGTAAACGGTTACAATAGACTGAGATATTCGATAAAGCTAACAAGTAAAGAGTTGCACGTTCCGATCGAGATCCTACGGGCACCCTAAAATAGAAGTCGCACACAGGTACAAAGATTGTACGGGATATAGTGTGACTCTGTCTCATTCACCTGAGGTATATGAATGTCCGGATGTTAATGTGTGAAAAGAATTGATTGACTGAAATTAAGGCGCGCAGTACAGGTATGTGACAGACGACTGTATACAGGTATGTACAATTTTACTAACTGGTCACATGAACCGAAATATATGTAGTTTTATGATATTTTGAAGTTGTAAGTTTTGTCATTCGTTATCATTACAACATATCTGTTATTTAAAGAATAGCAAGTCTGCTGCACCCGTTTCCTAGTAACACTGTTGTGACTAGACACACTCGTCACTAATAAGTCGTGGCACATTACAAGTCCACGTAGGTCGTGGTTTCGAGTTCTGTTTTGTCCTGGAATACGTTCATGCAGAAACACTACACTTGCATACACGTTTGGTTTGATATGATAATGGCATGCTGTGGTTATGCCAAGATGGATACATGTTTCCTGTGTGTGTTTGACATGCATGTTGTCTTTCATAAAATAACGTAGAGACCTCTTCAATCAAATAACGTAGAGACCTCTTTAATCAGAAAACGTAGAGATCTCTTTAATCAGAAAACGTAGAGACCTCTTTAATCAGAAAACGTAGAGACCTCTTTAATCAGAAAACGTAGAGATCTCTTTAATCAGAAAACGTAGAGACCTCTTCAATCAAATAACGTAGAGACCTCTTTAATCAGAAAACGTAGAGATCTCTTTAATCAGAAAACGTAGAGACCTCTTCAATCAAATAACGTAGAGACCTCTTTAATCAGAAAACGTAGAGACCTCTTTAATCAGATAACTTAGAGATCTCTTGAAGCACAGATTGTGAACAGTCGAAGTGATTTTGTAAAGTTAACAAACAATTTTGAATACTTGTCAAACAACATGGATTTATCAACACAAACCTTTCATTATCTGCACGTGAACATGTTTTAAGATAATTATAATTTAAGATAAAAAAAAAAGCCTAATAAGGAATGACATAAATGGATTGTACAGAATATCAACGGACCACTGCATCACATTCTACGAAGTACAACTCGTATATCAATTCTTAGAAACTGACTCAGTTTTGTCAGACGTTTTCTAAGAAAAAAAATGACATACATATGTATACACCTGTATTTCTCGCTAACTGGTTTGAAAGAGAGTTCAATGAATTTGCAAACAATGCGATATTTTAGAGACCGTCAGCACGGCGAATCGACTAGTGAAATGTTATCATCTTGAGTACATTATATCTGTTATCGTGTTACTATTTTGTCACACTGTATACAAGATTCCTTACCATCTCGTCCACAACATACGTTAGTGTCAATAATACCATTCAACCATATCACTGGCTTCAGATGAAAATCATATTTATCTTAACGTTAAATGGGATTTTTATCATAGCATGTACCTCTAAGATCAACATTAATTATAAATCACTTTCATATCCCAGGAGATCAGTCGACAATCTATATCCCCCAGTACTAATTGCTAAATGCATAATTGATTATCTTTTGACTGTGGTTCGATATTTGAAAGTCAACAGGGTATAAGATGGAGTGACACTGTAAATGGATTACATATTCTACGGCCAGCAGCTACACGATGAAATGTGTTCCTGTAGATTCTATAATTATGATAGTATTTGTATATCACGTCCATGAAATAATAAGTTCTAACATTGTCTCTCTCTCTTAAATATATGTGTATTTCACCTTGACCATGTTAAGGCAGTGGTCAGGGTTACTGGTTAGTTAAGGCAGAGGTCCGGGTAACTGGTTAGTTCAGACAGAGGTCAGGGTAACTGGTTAGTTCAGACAGAGGTCAGGGTAACTGGTTAGTTCAGACAGAGG